ATCCCACTCCCTCCCCCTCCTCCTTACCCCTAGCTTTCCTGCAGCAAACTGCACAGACTGTGCACATAGGATGGAGGTAATTGAAGTTAAAAATCTAAATCAAGATTTTAGAATCTTTCGGTTCTTCAAAAAATGATCCAAGTATGTGAGCCGGATAATCTGTAGGATTTCATAAGTCATAAAACTGTAAAGGGATCGGAAGACGTCCTAAAAGATTTTGTGAAGCTGCTTTAAGAGTTCAGAATGATTTACACGCTAAACACTTCGAGCACTGAACAGCTCTCTATTTCTTAGCCTTAGAAAGAACCCTATATGGAATTATTCTTGGATTTTACGCAACTCCGATATTGATTATATAATCATCCTGAATACCATGGTTGAAGAACAAAGTTCAAAACTTGCAATAAATAACGACTGTAGTTCTACACCTGGGTGAGTGTCCAAAAAGCCTTATTCGTTCAAAAGTTATTCCAAATTATTCGCTTGGTTATGACAGTCAGAACTGGTCCTGACACACGCCATAAACGAGTCAATAAATTCTAAGAGATCATTATTGACACTAATGCATAGTTCCCGCGTTAGGAGCCCTTAGAGTGTGGGTTGTAATACTTTAGCTTGATATTGTCGTGCGATCTAGTAACTTATTTTTTCCACCAGACCTTTTTGCACTAGGATCATTAAATGATTTTCTTCGCAGCTGTGTGAAATGCCAGATTTTTTTATGGAACCAATGTGATGTGAATCATCATATGTAACGGAATAAAAAAACTTTGAACGAAAATATTTATACTTCAGTGATGACTGATTGCCGCTACTCTCTTTACCCACACGCGCGTAAGCGGAGGCCCTCCCTTTCTTAACCCTTTCGTTCACACGCTGTGCGAGTGAGTGGCTTATGCTTAAACAGGGCTAAATATTATTGTGTGTGAAATTTAAGACACTTGTAGCGAATCAGAAAAAAAAAACTCACGGTTATTCCATCAACCGCGGCTAGAAAGTATCCGTCTCGATGCAAACAGAAAGCTGATTGCATAGCTCACACGCATTCAACTCCCGCGAAACAACTTGCACAACATTGAACCTTCGCTAAAAATTAGGAGGATAAGTAACTGCAGTAAATCAGCAGGGGTCAAGGGATAGACCTGTTAGTAGAGCCCGTTTGCGTGTAGAACTTTTATAAACCCTGAGAATTCCCCCTCCTCAGATAGTTTAACGCTTTACACTCTGATGATTATGGAGCCTACAGCCACCAATAGACAAGTTGGGGTACTTAAGGGGTTTTGAAAAGAATATCGATTCCCTACGAATAAAGCGAGATAGCTGTAACGAACATTTGCATCTACTCTCAATTTAGGATACATTGGATCTAGGATTCAGAGCAGGTCGGAAAAACAGGTGTTACGGGATAAAAAAGGCTAGGATTGCGTTGAAAAGAAAGAGTTTGATAGGTGTAAAATAGTAAATTTAGGACGAAAAACTTTAGATTTCCTGAGATATATAGACCCATTTAGAGCGAGTATTCACGCGAGACTGAGCTGGAAATTTTCCCTGGGTGAAATTCTTTAGTTTCTTATTTTTCGGCTCATTTAGACACCATTGGAACTAAAAACCCAAAAAATAACTCATGCAGGGGCCTTCTGAATCAATCACCGATACAGTCGACCCATACGGATTTTATTACTTACCTCAAAAACTGGCAGGGTACACTAGTAGGACTACGCACTGTGGGTGTCTATTTTTCTGCTCTTTTTGTGGGATATTCGATTCCCCTTCCTCCTCGGTTGAATTTTTTGATTACTAATAACTAGGTGAATTATTTTAAAATTTAAAAAAAAAAAAAAAAATCTATCTGTCTTGTCAGGAAGAAACTTGTCTTATTCCAAAGTTTTGGTGATTAAGAGTTCCCCGTATCGTAATTTTACCCTTAGGTACACATTCTTATTCACTCATACGTCTTTGATTACTTGTTTCGCAGAGATTGTTTTTGCCCAGTTGAATTTGAAAAATAGCTCATGTCACAAGTTTTGATTGAGATGTTTCACCCTGTTTTTTTTATTTTGAAAGTAGAATTAGGTCTGATTTGAAAAACCTTCGGGTAAAGTAGGAAACAGGAACATTTACTTAGCTCGTAAGTACTTAGACATTACTCGATAAAATTATTAAAAAGTATCATTATGATTATAGTCAAATCATAGCACTACACTTCTGAAAATTTTATCCATCCACCTCTAAATTTTTTCAGCATTACTCCTCAATAATTGAATAATTTTTCACAGTGTATATAAGATGTATGGATTTACTTTTCCGCCCTCTTTCACTTAATTGTTTGCTTCATATTCAGCTTAACCACCTGCAAGCCTGGCTTCTACTTGTACCCCTCTCCTTTGCTTTAAACCAATAACTGTCTGATCGTAATTCCCCTCTCCAAGTGTACCCACTACTTTATAATCCAATCAATTTAAAGGAAAAAATATAAAAGAAACTTGGTAACAAAACGTATAAACCAGGAAATGACCGATGCTCATTTTTTTGGGGAAATTGCGTTATGTAGGAATTTTCTTGCGGTGAACTCGTCAGTTTATGGTTTTTACCAAGTGATTAATGAATCAAGAAACTTCGCGCTATTTTTGGAGATCGTGAGATTTAATTTTTGATTTGGGTGTAATTTTTTTTAATTTTTGCCTTAACAAGAAGTTAATTATTTTCCTTGGAGTTATATTTTCTAAGATTTCGCTTCGATTGGATATCGCAGATGTTTGATATTCTTGAAACTGAACGAAGAGTCATGAAATTCATAAAATTTCAAAATCCGATGTGTGTGTGTGTTTTTTCTTTCTTTCTTTTTTTTTTCTTGTATCAAGTTGTCAAAGCACGGCTACTCGGACCGCCGACCGCGCAAAACAGAGCGCTAATGTAGAGAGTGTTACCAAGTCTGTACAGAATGAATTAGCATGGTTATTCAATTATATCAAAAGTTTTTCATGAGGATCTGGAGGACCACTATGTGAACAAATCAGATCAAGGAGAATCAATAAGAGATCCGAATTAGGGTGATTTTCCGTTGTTTTTTTCATCAATCGGAAAAATAAAAATTTATCGCATTGTAATTTCTAATAATGCAATTTTCCCAGAATATGTAAACTTGGTCACGGTTTTTCACTTAAACTCAAATAAAGCATTAAATAGCTCAGTCATTAGAGACAAAAAAATCAGTTACTATGGAAAATAAAGAATGTGATAGAATGTTTCATGAGTGATTTTGATGTAAGTTGTAGTCCTGAGTTAGAATATAAACTTATTTCCAAAAACCTCAAGAACATTCCAATTTTTGCAAAAGAGCGTTTCTTCGGGGTATATTTCACATTTTGCTCTGAAACTCCTTCAAAATTCATTTTTTTTCAAATGCAGTTCGATCGTTGAACAATTCAAAATCAAAATTTCATAGGTACTCTGTAGATTTTCGAATGAGTCACCAAAGCAAACATCAAAATTTGGGAGGAAAAAAACGAACTCTTCATTATTGGAACAGCGAAGTTCCAGAGGGAAATTTTAGTCGGAGGTTGAAACTTTGAGCTCGGGCCTAAAAATTACATAAAAATAATTCAGTACACTGCCGTGCTGCGGAAACGCCGTATGAACATTCGGGAGCTGCCGTATTTCCTGCGATAAATCGTTCATTTTTGAGGAAACAAATGAATATTTTTCCTTGAATATTTCGAAAACTTTCGGTATATTACGAACAAAAGTATCTGATGGAGATGTTGCATGTGTGAGGGATTTGCAATTTGACCATTGATTCTCATGTAAAAGTTCGCGAGAAACACGATGGTGCCACTGGTTTTCTCTGAAATTATCTCCCAAGTTCAAAAAAGCTCTCAAAGTGAGGCCAAAATGGAGGGGATATCCCGCCCTACCCTGAAAGTCCACCTCTACATCAAAACAAACTCTCCATGCAAAGATAGGAGCAAATACATTGACAGGGCTGCCACTTCATTTGGGGACTCCAAAACTGAAAACACGGCAACCCTGCTAATGTATTTGCTCCCTATCTTTGCATAGAGAGTTTGTTTTGATATAGAGGTGGACTCTCAGGGCAGGGCGGGATATCCCCTCCATTTTGGCCTCAACTTGAGAGCTTTTTTTGAGCTTGGGGGTTGATTTCAGAGAAAACCAGTGGCACCATCGTGTTTCTCGCGAGCTTTTACATAAGAAACAACAGTCAAATCGCAAATCCCTCACACATGCAACATCTCCGTTATGAACAAAATCATCTGAAAATTGGAGGAAAGGCATTCATGAGTTTTCTCTGAAATTCGTATTTTATCAGAAGAAATTTGGCAACGTCTGAAGGTTCATACCACCTTTTTCCTTAGCACGGTAGTATACTTACCTTCTATCGCATGTTTCGCAAGGTAGACTTCCCTAATGACTGAGCTACAGGGTCGTACAATTGAGAGCCAAGTATGAGCGAGGCGTGCTTGTGGCTGAAGGTAAGTGGTGAGCGTTTTGATTACAGCATCCTCGGCATGTACCTTTTCGGCGGTAAGTTCTGCATGTTGGTCGATGGCTCGCGCGAGTGCAACTGCTTCGAGATCGTGAACAAACTCCCGACGTGCAGGTGTGATCGCAAACACTTTAATAATATCCTCTGGGCCACTGTCACCGTTTTCCAAGTAATTCTTTTTCTTTGTCATTTTTACCTCTTCCTCACACCCATCAACGACCAAGTGATGTCAGTTTTTTAGTTGAAAGTAGTGGTGCACTGAAAAAAAATTCTCGGCGTTTTTCCGTTGGTACCTTTACCATCTCACTTTTGTTACCAATTATTTGTAATTTAACCAAGACAGACTGGTAAACTTACCTAAAAACGGGTATTTTTACTGTTTTTTTTCAGGTAAGAATACCACTTTTATTGGTAATCAATTCCCGGTAACTTTGCCATTTTATCTCGGTAATTCTACCTCAGACAATAAAAAATATTGGCGTTTTTACCGGGGTCCAGTAAAATTACCGAGAAAGTCAATAATTTTACCGAGAATTCTCGGTAAAATTACCAATTCCATAAATGGTTATTTTACCAAGAAAAAAACTGGGATCAAGTAGAACCCTGAATGCTTGGTAATTTTACCCTTTTCTTAGTAAATACACCGAGATCTTTTTTTCAGTGCGTGGTGGACCTAGGGTAGATGGTGACGTGGCGTGCCCTCCACCCATTGTTGAATCGAAGAAAAGAAGAGAGAGGAGGAATCAAGCGGAAAGGAGAAACGATCACAGTAGAAAAGCACAATTTATTAGTGTAGCCTACATGGAATAAAAGAGATTGACCAGTAAATCTTGGTATTTTTATTTTTCTGTAGGCCAAAAACATTGACAGACTAATTTCTATTGTCTTTTAAACACGTTTTCGCCTTTCCCGCCTCTTCTCCTCTCCAAAACTAACATTCTTGGTAAAATCTTAAGAAGTTATAAAATTTGTCAATTTTCACGTCACAATTAACTGAGGGAGGGGGGGGGCCTCAAACCCTTCCTTTGCCCGGAGGGTGGAGAGGGAGGGGCTGTCTCAAGTGGCCCCTTTTTCAGCTATCTCTGGATTCGCCACTTAAATTAATTAAATTGTGAATAGTATTTTATAACTCAATGCCCTAAACGCTGGGAGGCTAAATATTAGCGCTTCAATCATGATTTTCAAGCTGACCAGGAATAGTCCTGTTTTAAACCTCACATTTCTTTTCTTTGAATTTTTCTTGTTCAATGTAAGCTTGATTACACATGTAAGCATACCTACGACCTCACTTGGTTTCTTTTGGGTCTAACCCCTCTCCCCTAGTCGATGTTTATCCCTAGGAGCACCAATTACTGGTGTCTTTTTGTTTCATTCAAGTGATTAATAATATTTCTCAGTAAATGCCAATTTACCGTATAAATGATTTTTATTTTTGCAAGTCTTTTTGTCTAGTTTTTTTTTTTTTATTATTAACTATAGAGACATTCTAGTATAGTATATAGTTTCTGAATCTTAGAAAGGACCCATATGTAAGTAGGTAGTGATAAAAACCAGCACCTAAGTTCACGGGTCCAGCATTGAGAACTATAATCTAAAAATGTATTCAAATTAAATTTACTCTTTGAAACCGGAGGGGCTTGTACCTCTACAATCTCTCGATGAAAAATTTTTTCTTGATTAATCTTTGAATATTATTTTGCTTTTTTTTTGAATATTCAGAGATTACTCTCTGCATATTCATGAAAAATTCCAGATTCGCTGAAAAATATTCAATGACCATATTCTGAATATTGCTCCACTGTCTGAGGAATAATATGCTACATTTCTGTTTGTAACCGCAAGGTTACAAACTGACACAACACGCATATAATGAAATTTATTTGTGAGGCCTTGCAAATGAAACAAATTCTTTTTCAGTCATGTGATGTGATTGTTGAATTTTTTTGGAAAAAAGTATTATTATTAAGAATTTACTCGTATTGGAGACTTGGACTCAGCTTTAGCCTTAGCCTCAAGCTAAGGTCAAGCGTTGTGAGAGAATCAAATTTTAATAAAGCTTCATGGCAGCCCATCCTCAAACAAAAGTGGAACTAAAAGTCTTATTGGATTTTGGGTTTAGGTCATTTTGCAAGCTTTAGCGACTTATTCAACGTCCAATGAAAGTTATAAGAGGCTCTTGTAAGCGCTTATCGTGGTTCAACTTAAAAGTCGGAAATTTGAATGAAAAGTAGTTTTCACATCTATAGAACTGAACTTTATTGAAAAATTAAAGAAAGGATTGAAATTCAAGACTCATATTCTTGCAATTTTGAAAATTATATCATCTTAGTTTTACGGAAGCAATGCTTTTTTATTGGTCTTTAACCAACCGAATTCATTTGCAGATTTTGACCCAAGAGGATTGGAACACTGTTCTATTCAACGGGATGGAGAAGACAAGTCATTGGGCTGCGTTGTACTTTGTTGCTCTCATGACCTTCGGGAATTACGTTTTATTCAACCTCTTAGTTGCCATCTTGGTTGAAGGTTTTTCATCAGAGGTAAAGATGTAAATGTATCTTTTAAGGAACCTTCTTCATCTTCGATAAACCCTGAAAAAACCTCGATCCTTTAAAATGAGTGTTTTATTAATTAAAACTCCGCAGACTTCTTCTCCCAACAGTTAAACATCCAAAAGTCACATTACGTTCAATTTATGTTATTGAGAAAAACACATAGAGTGTGGCCCAAACTGTAAATAACAGAATGGTAGAATACTGCTGGGTTGAGTCTACATTATTCCGCGAGGAAATCAAGGCCAAAAAACCCATCAGATTGAAAATTTGATTTTCTGTAATATCGATGGTTGAAGTTCAAAACGACTAATCATTATTGCGGTGTTTGAAAAGTTTTGCTCCTATCTTTTTACGAAAGGAGATACAAGCCAACTTAATAGCTTGAAAAAATGCGTACAAAATATTCTGCTGATAGAAAAGAAAAATCAAAGACGTTTTAAAAAATATGCGTTGACAGATTTTCCAATGAAAAAATTAAGTTTGACAGAAACTCTGCAACGTCGCAAACGGAGATACGTGCTTTCACACTTTGACCATAGCTACGCTTCTGACACGAAAGTTAAGTAGTAATATATCAACGGTGTAAGTCGGCCATCACATAACTCGGTTTGCGACGTCGCAGACTTCCTGTCATACTTTATTTTTAAACAGAAAACAACTCAACGGCAATTCTTTAAAACTGCCATGATTTTTTCCAAGAAAATTCTGCTTAATCTTCAAAGAATAATTTCAATTTGTTCTCCTTTAAAAAAATAGCACACATGCGGAGATTTTCAGACACCGCAAACGAGATATGTGATTGCAGACTTACGCCACCGATATAAGTAATATTCATTGGCCAGGCGTGCTTTGCGATATCTAGATTGATCTGCCCTTTAAACGCACATGGAAAAGGATACGTTTGTGTGGAAAGGATGAATCAGTTTGTGTACAAGGAAAAGGATCGATGGACGGGGTGTTTGCAACGAAAATTTTAATAGTAATCGATTCTTTACTACAGCTTCAAATTGGGAGAAATCTATAATCGATCATTGACACCTCGCCTCTGCCACTGGTAATAATGATGTGTTAGTGTTTACTGACGTTAATTTTCAACGGTTGTCTTTTTTGTGTTGTTTGCTCCTAACTGATTTTTTTTTTTTTTTTTTTTTTTTTTTTTTTTTTTTTTTTTTTTTTTTTTTTTTTAACAGCGGCATGAAAGGAGAGAGCGAGAGCAAAGAGAAGCGGCTCGACGAAGAAGGAGGAAGTTTTCACAATGTTACAGTGATGATTTGTGTCGCAGCTCTTGTACAGCTAGCTTAGAAAGCGAAAGTTGTGTTCAAGTAAGTACCTCTCATTAGTAAGGATATTGGACAGGCAGGAATTGCGACACAACATGGAAATAGAACAAGGAGAACGCGCGTTGACGATGGCGCAGAGATACAACTATTCGTGCATGAAGGATGTCCGTGTCGTATCTGCAAAATTGAAGGCGCGATAGCGTGATCGCTAGGCTGTCAATGTAATGTCGCTCAGATTCGGGAAAAAAGCTTTAAAAAAACCAGGCCTGATTACGTCTCTCAGTTATGGTTGTGTTGACACTCAATTTATTTCCTTTTATTCAATTTGATGCCTGATTCTCTTTTTTAGGATGTATTTGTAGATCTATATCGAAATTTTGTGTATGTACCGCACAATAACTTTCCCGTCAATTTGAGCCGGCTTGGGATTTTTGGGGGTGGTTGCTTCTTTTCCTTCCTCTTCAATTTGACGTATGACTCTTTTTTTACGGTGGATTCGTAGATCTATAATACATAATATATCAGAAACAATTACATTTGACGGAAATATTGAAAGACGAATGCTTGATTACCCTGTTTAATTCAGGAACGATGTGAGTCGGACCGAAAACTCGAGGAAAACGAAGAAACCCGAAGGCATAACAACTGGCGGAGGAGAAATAAATGCAACCTAAAAAAAGGTAATTTTCAACTTTCTCAAAACATTATTTTGTACTCACATTAAATGATGGTTTTTTCCAACCTTCCCACGACGTAGTATTTGGTATATACCTAGACACAATTTCAGCCTGCATTTGGGTCCCTACCACTTTACCCACTTTACCCCTGTAAAGTGTACTGTACGCCTTTACTGTAAGCCTTTGCTGAACGGTCCAATATGTGCAACATCCCAGTTTGCTTTTTACTTTTACTTATTTATTATTTATTTGTTTACTTGTGACCAGCTTATCTGGAATCGTTGTATTGATAAGTCACTTATGCTTCGGTTTAGCTGTGAAAGGACACTCTGCAAGAATGACCTCCCCCCCCCTCCAGCCATTTTTTACAAATTTTGGGTATTGATAACTCATATTTGAGTCTTCCTTTTCCTAAATGGTTCAGAACCTAAAAAAACATTAAGGCAAAACCTTTACGACTCCATATCTTTCGAACAAAAAGGATACCGACGTGATATTGGTGGTATCGTTATATGGTCATGATCAACTAAGAATATCAGAAACATCGAAAAGAATCAATTAATCAATACCATTTGACCAAAAATCGGACCTACCATTGTTTACAGCTTTATTAATTCGGTATCGACTTAAGGTGTTGGTTTACTGATTTCTCAGATAATGAAATGTTGTGCCCCATCATTACCCACACCGCAGCAACACCGCAGGATTCACCGAACACAACTTTGGACTCTCGTGAATTCAGGGCATTGAACAACCACTTCATGACACAGTCCCCTAGCCTTTCCATTGATTCCTTGAATTGCTCGCTGGTAAGTTTTTATATAAAGGATTTTTTTTTTAAATAACAAAGGGGATGCAAATAATATGTAATACAGTAATCTCTTTCTACAGCGAGAACCCAAGGGAACGGCTGATTTCCTCCCTCAGGAGAGGTTCTCACTTTAACGATAGTCGATCAGAAAAAAAACGAGCGATTAACGATTAAAATAACGTTTTACGAGCTTCGACATCAGTGCCTCAATAGACTAAAATACCATTCAGAGGTGCAAATTCTCTACAATCCCGCGATCCTAGAATTGCAGGCTCGGGGTGCATACTGGTTGGAAATAGTGTAGACCGCGGTAGGTCCGGCACCGAGATAATACTTTTCAACGATCAACGCGTAATGCGTGAAGTATTCGTTCAGTCTTGTAGGCGCTAATTTATGCGTCTCACGCGCCGACCAACGAGGCAGCGACCGCACTGTGTTTAGCGCAATGTGTGAAGTATTCCTGCACTCTTGTAGGCGCTAAAATGCTTTCCGCGCCGGCAGGCGGCCGCACAACGTTTGGCGAGATTAGAAACTATGATGCAGCATTGGATTTGAGAGAAACTGTAAAAACAGGGGAGAGATAATGCGTTTGAAGAATGGCCGGGTAAAATTGATGAAAAGGTTCATGCAGCGTGCAGACAAAACTATTTGTAAATAAAGAGAATCAAAAATTAAACGAAAACAAGAACAAGAAGCTGACGCAAGTAAATTTTCACCCGAGAAAAAGAGACTTACATCGGAGGAAAATTTTGACGTAAAAAGACAGCGTTTATTTTTCCAATAAAGAATTGCACCGAAGAGTTTGAAAAGGAAAGGGCAGATTTTCGCAAACAAAACAATAAGTTAGGAAAAAAAATAGGCGAGAATTAGGTAGAAATGAACAATTTAAAAAAAATAAACACCTGAAATAAAAATTATACTAGAAGGTAACTATAAAGGTTTTTTTTTTTTTTTCTTTCGCATGATGCACTCATCACGGCTCGATATTAATTGACTTCCTCATTTGTTTCAGTCGGTTCCTGGTCTATTGAAACCCCCTCAAATGACAGTCAACAATCTATCCTCTCAGTCCCTTTCCAGAAAAAGTAGTATAAGTTTCAACCAGAGCAGTAAAGAGAAAGAACTTCAGTTGAGGTCAGTTGTGTCTGTATTCTTTTTAATGAACCTCAATAAGTCTGTTTCACGCAACAGATACAGCCAAATAAACGTACTCATTTCGAGTAAAATTGCACAAAAATTACGTCAGGCACGTCAAAAAAGTCTTAAATCTATTCCTCATCGCGCAATCTGCGTTGTTTGTAACACGCTTTTTCAAGTTCTGCGCGTCTGCGGGCAGGCAAATCGTATTACAAACTACGTAGATTGCGCACTAATGAGTGGATTTCAGACTTTTTTGATGCGCCCAAATTGATTTTTGAGCAAGTTTACCAACAGAAAGTGTATTCTCTTGGGTGTATCTCGTGCGTGCAATAGACCCATTGTAATTGTTGTCTTTAATATGTTTATGTTTTTGAGTGCATTTGCTGTGTTTCCTGTATTGAGTGTTTATTGATGCTTTCGGTGCGTTTGATGTGTTTTCTGGGTTTTATGGTTCGTTTTGTTTGATGCTTTTGGTGTGTTCGCTACATTCGTTTTATCCAACTCCAATTTTCTTCGTGTCCTTGTTCTGTGTGTTGCGATTAATGCGTCTAATTCGTTCGTCGCTTTCAATGTATTCGGTTTGTATGATGTGTTTGTTAATAAATGAAAAATATTTAATTTAAAATGCACATCTTCCGTCAAATTATTTCAATTCAGCAAGATGAGCTAAACCCAATTTTCCTCTATTTTCATTAATATTTATATTTTTCAAAAAAATGTCCACCATTAATTGATGACCGCGAAACGGTTATAGACCCCGTTTATCGGGACGGTTGAGGCACTGGCTGTCAGTACTGATGATTTCGAAATGCAATTGAATTTACATACCTCTGAAATACCTCAATTCTATCACACTCTCAAAATTCCACCACAACTTGCCTCGGGAAAAAACACAAACGTCTCATCGCGCATAGTTCATAATCAAACTACAAGGGACCCCGCTTAAAATTAGACTCCTTTACTTCTTTTGGCGTGGACATGTAGAATAAAAATAAGAGACAATTTTATGACGGAATACTAGTATCAAGATAAAATCAATTACCCAATCTAGGTATCTTTCAGTATTGTAAAGAATTCGTTCTCAGGTTATACAATTGTATAAAGTTATTTGAATGAGTTGTCCGAGCCGCCCGTAAAAGCGCGCGGGTGTAGTCGCCGCCTATATCGATGGCTTAAGAGCGAAACCACGTATCTCCGTTTGTGACGTTGTAGACTTCCTGTCTTACTTCATATTTTCTGTAAAACAAGTAGATAATGCGATTTCCTGCAAACTTCCCTGATTTTACTTCTCTGTCAGCAGAATAGTCTGTAAAAATTTCAAGCTAACTAATTGGCTTGTTTCTCTCCGAAAAAATAGAATAGAGGCGGAAATTTTGAAACATGGCTATAAAAATTCGTGGCTCCACATTTTAGCCATCGAAATGCCACGTCTAGCTTGGCAACTTAGGGACCAATACTGCCGCGCTAAGGAAAAACGCCGTATGAACCTTCAGGCGTTGCCAAATTTCTTTTGGCAAATCACGAATTTTCGGGAAAATTTATGAATATTTTTTCTCCAATTTTTCAGATAATTTTGAACGAAATTTTACCTAAAGTTCCTTAAAATTTCAAGGAAAAATATTTCTAGCTCTCCTCAAAACTAAGCATTTTATCAAAGGAAATTTGGCAACTCTCTAATGTTCATACGGCGTTTTTCCTTAGCACAGCGGAATGCCTCCGGATACGCTCTGACTGTATACGGAAAAATCAGAATGAATAGGGATGGATCCGTATAAAGTTGGAGCCGTCCTCTTGTTCTTTTATTCTTATTATTGTTTTTTCTAAATGTTACACTCTTCGCAGGTTCCATGGGGGCCTATCATGGAAACTAAACAGAGCGTCATTAAGGAAAAGGGTCAAAACTGGCATTGGAGATACAGAAGAAGTCAACGGTAAAATTCCACTGAACAATAACAACCACCTGCTTGTCAGCCCATTGTAAGTTGAGCCAAATTTTCTTACAGACGTTACCAATAGTGTGATCAAGCAAATATTATAATCAACCAATTATTCTTTGTTTGTTTGCTGCGACTTGATTGAAAAATATGGTTTTCAATAGTCGAAAAAATACGGCAAGAAAAACTCGAAAATATTTTTAGAACTGTGAGCCGTAGAATCCCTTCCTAGTATGTTTTGTATGTGTCCCTTCCTAACATATTTCAGCAGTGCTGAACTATTTCAATCGTGTCTTTTTTCAAACTTTCCGCTATGCAGATAAGACGTTTATCGCTCAAAATGCGTTCATTTGGTACCTAGTATAATGAATTTTGAAATTTGGTTTTACTATATTCTTTCAAGTTGATATTTTTTGTCATTTTTCAGTCATTCTGGAGATCATATTTCCTGTAACGGCGTTGCAGTTGCAACTAAATGCAACAACACGCGAATCGAAAACATGAGTAATCCTCAGTTCTCTTACAATGATGCTCTCCCAGTGAGTACTTTTAATGAATACTGATTTTTCTTTTATTTCGCATAACGAGGGTGTATTTTGAAACAAACTATTAAAAGGAGTAATGTGTAGCCTAAAAGTGCAAAAGACCGGTTAGGACTCTGAAACAACCAGTAACGTAAGACATTTTTTCTAAAGGCTCTGGATCCTGCCTTACCGGACTCTGAACTGACCAGTGGCGTGGCGTGCTTTGCGATATATCGATCGCTTTTTCATTCAAATCTATGAGAAAGGATCGATAAACAGGGTACCTTAATAATAAACACCTTAATAATCGATTCTTTACCATAGCTTCAAATGGTGAGATATCGATAATCGATCATTCACGCCACGCCATTGGAACTGACCGCAAGTTGATGTACACTGCTGACTGGACTTTTTTTTAACTCTTCCGGATAACAAATACCGTGTTTGATCGCAATTGGTTTAAATGAAATTCGGTGGTGGACACTTTCATATCAACATTCAGAAGCATATCGAAAGAAAACATGAACTGGTTGCTATTCAGCACTCATTAAATCCATAAAAAGGAAGACTTCTTACACTCCTTTGAAGAGAACTCTAAAATGCATGCGCGGACACTTAAATTGTTTGGCATTTTGAGGGATGGCATTGTTGTATTACATTTAAATGCCAATTCATTTTTCGGAAAAGTAGGTAACAATGTCGCCATAAATATCAATAATAGCTTAGTTCAATAGCACAATTGACAATGCTGGAATTGTGTTAAGGCGTGAGAGGAACACGCAAAGTGCCCTTTGTTAGTATCGCATGCGACGAGCATTAAACGAAATTCATTATAACGTACGGATACAACTATTCGAGCTCTACGGATGTCCGTGTTGCCTACGCACGAATTTGAAGGCGTTTTGACACTCCAAATACTCATCCGTGCGATTTGTATTATTAGTTAAATATTTTTTTAGCGAAACGAATAAATAAGAGAAATGGTATGTAAACAAATAAAAGTGAGACTGTTTTTCAATTTTAAAACTAAGCTTGCGCAATCAATATCAAAAGACGTGTTAGAGAATTATTTGAGCTGAAAAAATAATAAGATGCGAGGAATATTTTCCGGGCACATACCATTTTTTAGTAATATCGTCATAACATTTTATGCAAAAAGATACGTTCTTGGCATTAAATTTAACCCTTATTCACATTTTTTGCAGTACTCCTTTGTAACAAGTGCGAGGAGAAGGAATTCCACGTGTGAAGCTAATGATTCTCACACCCTCTACTTAAGGAAGGTAAAAAAAATATATTTGTTGAAATCTTAAAAAACCTTTCAGAATTTTTTTTTAAATTCATATTTTGAAAGCACGAAATGAGGAAATTTTTATTTTCCCACTTTTTTTTATTATACAATTTCAGACTGAATAATTGATAACGAAAGAAAAAATCTACGAGTCTCAATGGTATCGATACAGAAGCGGAATTCCAAAGTTCAATGGATTATTTTCCTAAGAAAAGACGCTCTTCCCTATGTTCTCTCTTCCCCTCTCCCTATCTCAATTGTTTTCTTGCTATGTTAACATCAGCTAATTCAAGTATAATTTGTTTTTTTCTGTAGATGAATCCATCAAAAATGAGTGCTTTAGCCGTTCCTCCTGAAATGAATCAAGTGAATCGGATCGAATCACCGTTACCCAAAGTGAAACATTTTCCTGAACCAAAGGACGCTTATGATTCTGCGGCGGAAAATGATGGAAACGATTTGCCCCCAGAAATCATAAGAAAAGTTTTCTATTTTTTTGAAGAAACTGGTTGCCTTAAAGATAAAGTTAATTATTCCCTGTATATATTTCCTCCCAAAAACAAGTAAGTTAAATTTTTATAAGTGGTTAAAAACTCTTGAGAAATAATAGACTTAATTATATAAAACAAGAAGGTATGGAAATGTATGCACCCATCAGATTTAAGCTATTAACAGTTAATAGCTATGCATGAAATACCATTTTAAAAGAGTGTCAATCTCAAGTTAACTTTGAAAAATATCATGACTAATTTGCGGTTTAGAGTCTTGGCTACCAGCAACGAGATTCCGTTCCTAAGTTTTACCATTATCCTAGCCATGATTATGAGATGATCTCTTCTAGACCTTTTTAATTAAAAGACGAAAATGTAAATGAACCTCGAAGCGCACATTCCTTTCCCACATATCTTTAGAAAAATTCAATGAATAAGTATTCCCGGACCTCACCTGAATCTAACGAGTATTATTCACCTCGAAGCCTTCAAGCGATTTTGATGTCATATTTTGACTTGGAAATAATGAGTATGGAACATTTTTACAAGTATTTCAGAGGACATTCAAGTAATACATAAGACCTTTTCGCCAACTTTTTGACCCCCTCCTTTCCCCCTGGAAGGTAACCGTAAGAAAAACCCGCTCCCCCAATTTTTCAGAAAATAACGAAGGAAGCCTGAACAATAGCCAAAAAAATTATTATGATTAGAAATTTTGTTTAATATTTTTTCTAATGTATGAGAAGTTTACGCAAGACTATTCTTGAGACACCTTTGTAAGACACAAAGGCAAGCTTAAACTGCTCAATTTTTAAATAGCTAATAATGATACATGAGAGGCCCTTTTCGTTATTGATCACTGTTACGAATGTGGGGATGAAATCAGCAACAGTGCGCCCTTTTTTATTTTTTTGAAAAAATTTCGTGAGCGCTGTTGATTTTTCTTACTAATGTGTGGTGACGCTAAACAGCAAGAAGATATTTTCAAACTATGAAAAAGTAGTTATGGCGCCGCAATATGCGAAGACAAGGACATCTCGGACTCTTCAGTCGATCTAAAGCGTCGGGCGAGTCTTTGTCGGATACCTCGTCGCTCCTTGGACCTAAGGGCGTATTTCGATACCCGCATGACCCCCCAAAAACACGAATTTATATGGAAAACAGGGCTCACAAGGAAATTTAGATACGCGTTTACGCCAGAGGGGTAACAAAATAATTAGCGCAGCCCTTCGAATATTTGAGCACTCGTCGTGCCAAATAATACAGGATCAATCCCCTTGATCTGTGGTGTTATGGGCCTCTAATTTTCCCTCTTTTCCACTTTAAGGGCCCTTCCGCTTGGCTTCCTCTCAAATCCATAGGTGTGTCTTATCCTCTTTGGAGTATGTCTTACCAGCTCATTTATATTTCATGCCCCATTGTCTTTTTATTAAGATGAGTATCTTCTTTGTTACAGATTTAGATTAATGTGTGTAAAATTTGTAAGTCAGAAATGGTTTGACAACCTTGTATTATTTTTCATCGCTCTCAACTGTATAACGCTTGCGATGGAGCGGCCGAACATTCCGCCGGACAGCGTGGAGAGATTTTTTCTGTCGACCGCAAACTACGTGTTTACCGTTGTATTCGGCCTAGAAATGTTCATTAAAGTAAGGAACCTTGGTGCTACTAACATTCTTTCCCCTTGCAAAGTTTTGTTCTACTTTCTAACCTAAAATAAGGATAACAGACTGCTGCCTAACTTCTAATTTTTGCAGTGGGCCTACTTTCTGACGTTTTAGAAACCTAAAAATAGGACAATGGTAGGGGAGGGAATGGAAAATTGAAAATCTATCCGAAAATCCACCTATTTTGAGGCAGGGAGAATCTGAACGAAAAGGCCCGAACTCGGGGAAAAACAAGATGGCTGGACTTTAGAAAAAAAGAGGAGAAGGCATCGCAATGCAACCCCCTTCCCGTTTTTTGAGAAGGTTCTGAAAAGGTCGATCGGAATCTAGGGCCATCTAAAATCAGAGTGTTTAGACATATAACGCTAGTAGGCCAATAATGAGGTTGCGAACAGCCTCCAACCATAAAAATTATGTGTTTACCGTTGTATTTGGCCTAGAAATGTTCATTAAAGTAAGGAACCTTGGTGCTACTAACATTCTTTTCCCTTGCAAAACAGAAATACATGATGTGCAAGATGGAAATAAAAGAAATAACATATTACAAAAGTGATAGCACTCCAACAATGCAACTCCTATACGTACCTATGAGTTTTCATTATATGGAATATGCGAGTAAAAATTATTTGAAAACGCCAAGTATGGCATTTGTGTTATCAGGTGGTTGGAATACCTGTATTTAAATAGATCGGTACATCTCTATCATACATCATCAATAGTACTGAGTATTTTCCGTAATTTTTAAAGTTTCCATTTCCAAAAAATAGAGAATGCGCTCAGTGCACGAAAATTCTCTCAAATTTTTTCGAACCATACCAACTCACGAGAAGCGAGTTTAAATTTGTGCAGCTTGAGCTCTCGATTCAATACGCATCACCGCACAGTGGATCGAGTCAATTAGAGAGATCGGACATGAAATTTTTGACTTATACTGCAAGTTTTGATGTTTATTTCGACACATTTTCAATTTCATTTGTTGCTTTAAGAACAACAGTTTACGAATATACCAATGAAACCACTTTCGGAACCTCAAAGTTTTGGATGAACCAAAGATTACTAAGGACTCCAAATACCGCACGCCGTATACTTGCCGTAGGAAAGAAGCGGCCCCCCAGTCGCCTGCAGAGCCAGGGTAGGCAACCTGTGTAGCGGTATGCCATACTTTAGCCCACTTGTAATGGAAGTGCATGGGAAATTGGGAAATTGCACTTCGAATGTGCAGATTATGAACGGCAAATTGCGAAAATTGTTCATTTTAGTCACTAGTGAACTCACTAGTGGACTTAAATGGACTCAGAAAATTGAGCAGAGTTATTTGCATTAATTTTTTTTTCTTTATTTTTTTTTTGGTTTTTTCGGCATTTTTTAACGATATAAAACATAAGAAAATTTAATACAGTGAATCTTCAACCAAACTTAGCACAGCACGGCGAAATCGGTCAAACACACGGCAAGCAGTATATTCGTTAGCTCGAAGTATGGCATACCGCTAAACAGGTTGCCTACCCTGGAGCTGCAGGGGACTGGGGGGCCGTTTTTTATTTCAATGCGGTATCTGGAGTCCTTAGTAATCTTTGGGATGAACGGAGTTATGAGCATTTTAAGTTTCCAAATCTTGTCCGACCTCTCCTGTTGACTCGATCCACTGTGCGCCGTCGTAACCGCACGTCGATAATGACAACTGCACGGACCATAAACTGCGGCAGAAGTGTAGCGCGGTCAAGTGCACCCTAGGGTACGGCTTAAAATGATGAATTTCAAAATAAACCAAGGCACCCCTCCAAACGTTCCGATCTATGTGTGATGTAAAAACAAGTGTTGGAGAACGAGTTTGCATTCGGTCAATATTTAAACGTTCCGACGGACCGGTTATAGGACATTCTGTCAACGATTTTTTGTCCGCGCACCTGTTTTTCCCAGTGGTTTACGTCCACGCGTTTCTTGGGAAGGAGAGTTTCGGTCCACTTACCACTTGAGACCCAAAGTTAATTGGTCCACGTGTAAATACAAACGACCATTGCTTATGACGTTTTTGGATGAAAATGTTTAATGTCTTGGGAGAGTGTAGAGTTGATTTTTTTTGTTTGTTTGCTACAACAGAGAAAAATATATAATTGAGAGTTTTGGTAAAAATGAGGGAGCGTCATCTCCATGAGAGAAAATTCACTGAGACTCTCAACACCTCTTTGGCACAACAGGACTTAATTATCTTTTAAGAAAATCCCATCTTGTTATACCTGAACCGGAAAACCTTTTGATTTGCCTCCGTTAAAGGCTCTTATATTTTTCCTATGTATGATAACTTCGCGACGGCACCGGCATGCCGCAGCGTTTTGAGCTACTATTTCGCCACGGAGGTGTTGCGCAGTATCATATGAGATTGAAGGCACCCCATCGTATTCATGGCGTCTTGCAAAAGCACGAAGTTCCCTCGCAAATTAAATCGAGTGACGGCAACAAAAAGAGAGCGTTAGTCGAAAAACTTTTTTTCCTAGTTTCTGAATCTAATAACGTTTAGCATGATTTTTTAACTCCATCAGAGGACAAAGTGACCTGATCCAAAGAAAAATATCCTCAAATTTACCGCCGAGAAGATTTCCTTATGAGTCAATAAAGAAAATAATGCTTTTTAAACGAAAAAAAGATGCTTTTATGAGAAGGAAAGTCACTTACATCAAGCAAAAATCCGCTTTTGTTCACCTATTTTATTATTGATCAAAATAAAATCTTCTTGACGGCATACTCAAGAATGTTTCTGTACCTCTTTTATCTCAATTCATTTTGCAAGGTAAGTTCCTTACTCTTAATGGATGCCTGTCATTCTTAATATGTTGGGGCTTCTTCAATTTCATATGATACTGTACAACACCTCTATCGTGAAATAGTGAAGCGCCGTGGGTGGCACGCTGCGGCGCGGCGGGTGGCCGGCCAGCACGCAACGTGCATTGGCGCCTACAAACCTGAGGGGATACTCTACGCATTGCGCAATGCGTTAAGTATCCCCTTAGGTTTGTAGGTGCCAGTGCGCGTTTCGTCCTGGCAGCACGCCGCGTCACTCCGCTTTATGTTAGGCCTTATTATTGAAACTTGCGGGGTCAGCGTTTTTCAACTCGTGATTTTTGCATGGATTACTCTCATTTAAATGATAAAAAAAAAAAAAAAAAAAAAAAAAAAAAAAAAAAATATATGCATGCATGAAAGGAAAATATAATGTATGTTTTGTAAATATTAAGGTAGTTCCTTGTAAAATGTAATGATTTCCAAAGCTTATGAATTATTTCTTTTATATATTGTGCTTTTACTGTGCTAAATTGTGGTGCACGCCCAACCATAAACGCTTAAAATAGGATGTATTTGACTCTAATAGATCGATGTACAAATGGGCTAAAACCAAAAATTGTGTGCTTCTTGGTTAATTTCCCCTGTTATTCATTTTTTATAGTTTCTTTCAACACAACTACTGCTCATTGACTTTAATATCGATACCAACGCTCGGATTAGGTTGTATAAATATTTGCCACGTTTTAAAAATGTAAATGTTTTTAAAATAAAGTAATATTTTCATTAAAAAAAGTTTATATAAGGTTAACTTTATTACGAAAATTTTAAAGATAGAAAAAAAACCAAGTATTCACTCATGCCCATTAAAAATAATAAATCAGAAGAAGAGAGTAACATTTCATTTAAAAAGCGAGTTACCGCAACAACTCCTCCTTCTCTCTCAATTTTTTCATTTCAATATTGTCAATATAATTTTATATACGCAATAAAATAAAACACTTGATACTTGATAAAACACTAAAATAACACACACATAAGTCACTGTTGCTTATTTTACGCTTGGACGTAAACTATTGAAAAAAAACAGGTGTGCGGACAAAAAATCGTTGACGGAATGTCCTGAAACCGATGGACCTACAAATGGCTGAGTTTTACCCCGAAATATCACGTTTTATAATAAGTCGCCTCTGTAGAAAATTATTGATGAGCAGTCTACACGGAGAAAAAAAACACGGTTATTCGACGGTTACCACGGTAATAATGTCACACTGGATTCCACGGTAGTGCACGGCGAAGAAATCTTCGTGCATGGGACCCGAAGTTGAGGTCATATGGATCTCTGAAGTTTTCTGATCACGCATCCGAAAACTTGAGGTCGAGCTGCCGAAGTTCGGGTCAGACATCGAGGCACTTCGGTATGTACCGGAGTACCTCAGATGTGTGACCCGAACCCTTCGGTAGACATTGAAGTACTTCAGATGTCTGGCCCAAACTTCGGCAGCTGGACCTCAAGTTTTTAGATACGTGATCCGAAAACTTCAGAGATCCACATGACCTCAACTTCGGGTCCCACCCACGAAATTTTTTTCACCGTGTGGAACTGTGGATTTTGGTAATATCATTGATGAGCACAGTAGCATAACCATGCTCATAATAGTATGTCTGTGCCCACAGTAATGTTACAGTGATCACCGTGCTCATCGTTACAAGAATCAAAATCCACGGTTTTACTACCGTGGAATCCCATGTGACATTACTTCCGTTGTAACGGTAGAATAATTGTTTTTTTTTTTCTCGGTTTATAGATGTGTGTCTCGTCATATTTCCTGTACGTTTTAGCTTACATTTAAAATTGCTTTTGGTCACAGGTTGTTGCGGCTGGGATGTTTTATGGCACTGAACCCTATTTCTCCTCCGGCTGGAACATCATGGATGGACTCTTAGTCATTATTTCAATTATAGATTTACTCATGTCTTTAATTAGTGATTCTAGTCCGAAAATATTTGGTATTTTAAGGGTGAGTATATTTACTGAGGAGATGTTTTTCTTTTTCGTCCTGCATGTTACACCCTTATCACTTTATCACTGAGAGGGATTATGATCGAACAGAGTATGTAATGTGATCATTAATAAACAACATGGTATTGAGGTATAACAACATTAACGCGGTATTGAGAGTTCTGCGTCATTTAGGTATGACGTAAAGATACGAAACATTCGTGTTGCACAGAAGATTTGAAATTTTTATTTCTGTCAGAAATGTACCGCATTACAGCAAAGAAAGGAACAAAATGATGAAACTTGCTGATTTAACACTTTAATTGTTAAATCAGCAATCCATTTTTTTTCGTGAACGAATGAGACTAATTATTTGTTTTCTTTCCTAGGTTTTTCGTTTGCTGCGATCATTACGCCCGTTGCGGGTGATAAACAGGGCACCGGGATTGAAACTTGTTGTTCAGACGCTTCTCTCCTCACTCCGTCCTATTGGCAACATTGTTTTGATTTGTTGCACATTTTTTATAATTTTTGGCATTCTCGGAGTTCAAGTAAGTATATAGAATTACGAATCTCTACAATAAAACAACATCTTCTATTTGCGTTGAAAAGGGAGGAGATAGGGTTTGCACAAAAAATGCATTTTTTAAAACTGCGTGTTAAATGTAGTAATAAGGTCAAGTTATGAACCAAAATATGGTAACTTTCTTTAACTGTATCTTCGAACAAAAATCGCACTTTAAATCCCGCTTGGGGGTGCATTGTTGCCAGAATGTGTGAAAAACCGTTAATATTTTACATTGAGTTAAATGGGGGAATGTGCTGGATTTTCAGCACAATCTGGCACAGTGGTGCGGGGTCATGTCGTTGCGTCGCCGCCTCTGCAGCATACCCATAATTTATTCACTTTTCTATAATGGATTCTAAAATATATGCATTGGCTCCGTCTCTATTTGAGATTTTTTCTATTTTTTCTCGTTCTTTTTTATTTCCAATATTTAACGTTTCCCATGTTCTTTGGTCGATTTCAGCTATTCAAGGGGACCTTCTTTTATTGCGAGGGGCCTAATATCAAGCACGTGAGAAATAAAACAGACTGTATAGCGGATCGAAGGAACGTTTGGATCAACCGGAAGTACAATTTTGATGATCTGGGCAAAGCCTTGATGTCTTTATTCGTTCTTTCCTCTCGGGACGGTTGGGTGAACATTATGTACACAGGCCTTGATGCTGTTGGGGTCGACTTACAAGTGAGTCCATTAGGGTAATATTACCTACGTATTTTTATCCAGAACCGAGGTTTTTTTCGGGGGGGAGGGGGGTAGGAATGGGGGATGGAAGTTGGAACTTTCGTGAGAACATTCTCTGGAATTCCGGGTAAAATTTTACTTACACACTAAACACATTCATTCATACTAAGGGCAATTCAGATCTGTAAAATTAACTTCTGAAGCTCAATTTTGACACTTTTTGGTCTGTAATTCTAAACAAGCTGCTGGTTCCAACACTACTGTGTTGGAGAGCTCGCCTTCGTGAAACTATTAACATGACAAATTTTTCACACCGCAATAAATAAACTGAATCATTAATAAAACAGAAGATAAGAGTGAGATAAGACAAAATACAATAGAAAAATGGTACAACGAAATTTATTTCCAAGTGGGCGAAAAAATGGTCCTCTCCCGAGTGGGCGAGCTCAAAAACCCACACGCATAAATACGTAGATTTGCATTGCACCTTATACTCTAAGAGTCTTAAGGATCATCCCCGGGATGTTCTGCCGTGCTAAGGAAAAACGCTGTATGAGTCTTCATGCGTTGCCAAATGTCCTTTGATAAATCACGAATTTCCTGCTAAATAAATGAATATTTTTCTCCTAATTTTTCAGATAATTTTGCTTGTAATTTCAACTAAAGTTCCTGAAAATTTCCAAGAAAAATATTCATAAGTTTCCTTAATATTAAACATTTTATTGAAAGAATTTTGGCAACCTTCGTAATGTTCATACGACATTCTTCCTTAGCACGGCAGTATTGTGATCCGTAAGTAAATATGCAGGATGAGAAAATGAGAAAGACAAAACTTTTCAAAACAACTTTTCTTCAGTTATTTTCTGAATGCATTGTAATACAGCCATCATCATTAGCTAACTTCAGAGCCTCTGATGATTCCATTGCCACCTATTATTTGTCTGCGTTCATTTGCTAACTGCTGTAGTTACTGTTGTTTGTTTGTTGTTTTTTTTTAGCCGATTGAAAATTATTCTGAGTGGAGGCTACTTTATTTCATATCATTCATCCTGTTAGTTGGATTCTTTGTCTTAAATATGTTTGTTGGAGTGGTCGTAGAAAATTTTCACCGTTGCCGAGAAGAACAAGAAAAAGAAGAAAGAGTTAGAAGACTCGCCAAGAAAGCGAAGCAAATGGAAAAGAAGAGAAGAAGTAAGTGTACAAATCGAATATACCTTACGATTCTGACACGATGTCGTAGCATACTAGTGTTTTCCTATGTATTTTTCTCCATCTCGCGGGAAAAGCACTCTTAGATAAAAGAGCGACGGTAGGCTGTACGTGGTTTAAGGTAGTGCAATATTATCATAACAGACAAGTGATTTAACTCAGTCATCCTTCAATTCAGCGGTTATGCAATGCGAGTCACCCAAGAGTTAAAATAGTTGTATCCAGCAATTTAGAACCGCTGTGCTCCATTTAAACTCCTAAGTCTGTGAATTAATTAGATAATTATTATAATTCGCGTACATTAAAGGACATATTCAGTCAAGTTAACGCCAACTTGCTAACAACAGGATCACATCATTAAGGAGATATCTGCTCGGCATTAACATGTTATCATGTTGGCCACAAGACCCATTAAGATATTGAAATGTTAACACTCTGATCTGGTATTGTAACAATATAGTTTTTCGGCCACGTTGAAATTATGTGGAGGATAAAAATAAATTGATGCCACAATGGTAACATATTGGTATCATAGTCTGTGAAGAAATTGTATAGGATGTTGGTGGTCGTTCCTAAAAAAATGAGTCGCAGATTTGGATTCAGGAGTATCGATGTTGAATGCACTTTGTGCTCTTACTTTACAGAATTATGTAACTAAAGTCATTTTTCATGCGTATGTCATTGTTTTTTGTTTATTTTAGAAATGATGGAGCCTCCATATTACAGCGATTACTCGAAATCCCGATTACTTGTACATAGTGTGGTTACGTCCAAGTACTTCGACCTTGCTATAGCTGCTGTCATAGGTTTAAATGTCATCACGATGGCAATGGAATTTTATATGATGCCTAAGGTAACTAAATTTACAGAGAACTAACTCTAGTACTTAAAATGTTGGTTTGATAATAAACAAAAAATAGAAAAAATGAAATCTTGTCTAAAAAGGATCTGAAGATTGGAAATTTTCCCGGAATGGCTATCGTCTAACTAAAGAAATATAGAAAAACCAGGAGATCAGGAAACAGAAAAGGTAACATTTTCAAAGAATTATCCATAACAAACCAACCTTTTTCGGAAACGTTCGTATATAATGCCAAACATGCCTACCTACATGTTCTATTTAACAGTGACAAAAATTATGATTATACATTGTGTTATTGTGTATATTTGCAATTTGGCCCATCCGAAACTAATTTATCTGTGTTTTTTCCAGAGTCTGGCTTATACGCTTAGGATTTTCAATTACTTTTTTACGGCTGTCTTTATTCTAGAATCAATTATGAAACTAATTGCCTTAGGAATCCAACTTTATCTTAAAGACAAGTAAGTCTTATCTTATGTTTTTATGGATTCCTCATTGAAATGCAACTTGCATTGCAGTTGTTTCCTCGTTTGCAGTTCATCATAAATTAAACAAGAAAGAAAGAACAAAAATAAATAATAGAATAATTTATAAGATTAAAAAAATTAAAATCAAACTCTACATAAAATCACAAATGTAAGATTTTTTATGTCAAAAACATTGCAGAAAAAGTAAGACTGCAAGGGAGAAAATATGTCCAACTAGTTGTTAAAAACTATAGGTTAACAAGCAAGTCAAAGTTGCTTCAAAAACCAAGAGACAAAGTCATATTTAAGCTTAAAAATTCACCGATTGAAAGTTGTACCAATGATTCAATTCAAATTGTTTCCTTATTAATTTTAAATTATTCACATCACCTATCTTCATACTTATAAATCTATCGTATCCAATGTCAACCTGATGCATATTCCGTAAAATATTTTGAACGAGCCCCTGTTCAAAAATAAAATAAAAAATATCATCCCTTTGTTATAGCGACAGTGATGTCCTGCCCTATGACCTATTCATCACAGGTTTGGTATTACCACCACAAAGGCCCAGGCTTTTAGATTGAATGAGACAGTCATTTTTAAAGCATTGTAACTGGTCGTCAATGTACTGGAACTCAGCATAATGCAATGCGGTCCAGGCACAACCCGAGTTGAAGTCTGTCCCATTGACCAGGAATCACCATTTCATTCAAGCAAATTTTAGGGGGCCTAGTTTTTTTAAGGATGACTTATTTCTTTTCGGTGTTTAAGAATACATAACTGAACTTACAATGCACTTACTTTTTCAGGTGGAACCAACTTGATATAGGGATCGTGATTGCTTCTATCGTTGGGATTGCTCTTGAGGAAGTGGAATCAAAAATTATTCCAATCAATCCAACTATAATTCGAGTCATGCGTGTCTTAAGAATCGCTAGAGGTATTTCTATTATCTTTTTCTCGTCTCCTCTTTTTCTCCTCTAAGTTTTTGTTGTATGTATGTATGAGCCGCTTTTACGGCGCGGTAGGGCGCTCTGCGACGCCTATTCTCCACAGGAATCTGTCATGGTAGAGATCCTCCGGAAGCTGGCATCTCTCCATCTCTTCATGGATGCCCTCTACCCACCGTTTGCACGGAAAAAAATGACTGTGCGCGGATAACCATCTTGGTTTTGTTAATTAAAGGTGGTGCCGTATACATGAAAAATTAATAGAATAACCAACGGCATTGTATGGTACACGACGTCTTTAGGGAAATCAATCATTTTCAATTAGTTGCTACTAGCTACTACAAATCTGTTCACCGAGACAAAATTGATGGTAAACTGCTCCATCAAGTTGACTCATTGCACCAAAAAGTGCGCTTGCGCTTCACCTATCTTGTTTTTGGTTGATGCTACTCGGTTAAGTGGGCTCATTGAACTACAGAATGCGTTAGTGCAAATTATAAACTTGTTGATTATGAAGATATTTGCACAAAAAACATCGCTGGAATTAAGTTAAGTCATGAGAGAAACGAGCTAACTGCCCTCGGCGGGTGCCGCATGCAACGAACGCTTAACGAAATTCATTAAAACGCCTGGATACAGGTGATACAACTATTCGGGCTCCACGGATGGCCGTGTTGCATACACACGGGATTGAAGGCGTTTTGATTCTCCCGGCACTTACCGTTCACCCGCGCCATGGCAGCACTAAAGTGGGCACTACTGCAAGGATCTAAAAAGACAAAGCGTCTTCGATTCTTCGTTTGTTCCTCGAAGACATACCTTAGACAAGACAACTTGAGCTCGGGCATAAGTAGGTATCTTTTGTGCTTCACTTTTGATGTCACAATGTGCTGAGCATAAGTATCTCTGATTGATCAAATGTTGTACCTCTTTTCATTTCAGTGCTGAAACTTTTAAAAATGGCAAAAGGGATCCGAGCTTTACTGGATACTGTAATGCAAGCTCTACCTCAAGTCGGAAATCTTGGTTTATTATTTTTTCTACTATTTTTCATATTTGCTGCATTAGGAGTCGAACTCTTCGGCCGCTTAGGTTTGTATTTATTTTTTCTTAAATTTTTAACTTTGTCTAACTTAACATAAGTGTCTAATTACACCTATCGACGGAGAAACTACCAAACCACGTATCTCGTTTGCGGCGTTTAAAAATCTACGCTCACATTTTATTTTTTTTAAGTAGACCAAATCAATATCATTCCTTGAAATTTTCGCGGAATTTTCTCCGCACAAAGAGGAAAAATCACAGAAATTTTCAAGACTGGAAGTTAAGTAGTTTTTAATTTAAAAAATAAAGTATGACAGGAAGTCTGCGACGTCGCAAACCGAGATACGTGGTTTGGTAGTTTCACCGTCGATATTCAATTTATCGAATGCACTTGCACAAAACTCTTACTGTTTTGGTTTTCTCTCTTCTTTTCATTTGGTGATAAACTAAAGGTTAGCATGTGGTGTGGTTTTTCTTTTTATTATATTTTTCGACAAACTCGATGAACAAATTATAACAATATAGCTAAAATTCAAGGTCTAAGATCTTATTACTCAGGAGCAAAAAAACACGAAACTCACCGTGGAGGACTCTGAACAAAAACTATCTCTCAGCCAAGCTAAAGGGGGTCAAGCCAAGCTTACGTATTCAAATTGGGGTGAGAGGTTGGCTTACGGGTGGCTTACAGGGAGGGGGATGTCAAGGAGTCCGCCAAAACGGCTTAAGTAATGATTGAACGGCATCTCGTTGCTGGCGTCGCTTCGAGTTGGGTTCGAGATACTGTCTAATTGTAAGATTGGCTGGTATGGGATAACCACCCCTCTTAAATCAAGCAAAGGGGATGTTTCGTCGGGTCGATGACTGATACCTGATTGACTGAAAATTGGATCATACATTTGGACATATTTCTACCAAACAGAATTAGAGACAGGTGGAAAAGAAAGGGTGTGCTTGTTAGTCGAGGGCCGTAAGAAGGAATAGGAATTATGAAGCGCCAGTGACGTCAGCAGCGAAGAAGCCGTCGCCCTTGTCGCTCCTAAAGTCCCTTTATACTGAGAGTCAAGACAATAAGAATCCATTTCTGATTAATTAACCGGATTTTAGGCCTTCACAGTGTCACAAACGGGAATAAAGATTACATTTTCACCAATTGCAAAGATTATAATCTGGAATGGACCGAGGAATTTCGGGTTCGACAAGGAACAAACGGAATGAGAGAAGGAACGGAGAAAGGAATTTAAGAATGAGCCGATCAAAGATTACGAAAAACGTTCAATTTGTGTAATCTTTATTCCCGTTTGTGACTCCATGAGGGGTGTTGTCTTGACTCTCAGTATAAAGGGACTCTAGTCGCTCCCGATCCGCATTAACTCATGAGCTCTGTCTAGGACGCTCTTTTGCCATGCCCGCGGCTCATGAGTGCCGCATGCAGTTGGCACATAGTTCTGTTCGATAGAATGTATAATCCTGCTTTTCAATTTCTCCAAAGGGAATCTCGCCCACTTTTACAGTGTTTCTTATCCAGGTCTCTAGAGCACATCTCATCTTTTTCACTCACACATAGTTCTGTTCGGCAGAAATACGTCCATTTTGAATGAGGAACTACTATTTCATGCTCATTTTAGAGACAAGCTATGTTCCAATAGTTTTTTTTTAAAACAGGAAGATGATATTCCAGTTAAGCCACCTAGGCAGGAATTCATAGGGATTCTCCTCCCCATTGGAAAACGTAGTCCAACCGATGTATCAGTAAAAATGTACATTTCTACGCTGCAGTGAATTGAATTTTCACTTCACCCCATCCACTTTAAAGTATATATATAGTAACAAATTTATCTCCACATTTCCATAATGAAATAACAAGTACTTGTATAAGTTAAAAACAACAGTGGGAATTTACGGGAAATTACCTTTCAAATCAATAATGCACGAATATCTGTAGTAATGCGATCAGCGTCATGATGGCCCACTATGTTCCGACACGATGGGTGTCAGAATTCTCTGCTCGACAGTTTTTAAGCGTGCCAGTAGGGCTCGCTTTTTGAAATCACTCGGATGTACCATAGTACAGCACACCGATCAACCAATGCTATTCAACGGGCCGTCCAAATATTTTTTTCCTCGGACCCGTTTTCTTGTCTTTGAACCATTATACTGTCAAGCCCTGATGGTCTCTTACCAAAAAACCGAATGAACTGCTAATTGGGAACCCATTTTCCTGTCAAAACCGTATTATTTCATTTGACAAAAACCTCATAGAAGCTTTCTTACGCTCGGAGGACTCAACTCTAGAACCTTCTTTCCCGCCAAAACTGTTTAGCCAATGAGCGTTTAGCAATCTGTGATGAGCCTCGTGACTCTTTATACCATGTACGAGGGGCGTTCAATAAGTAAGTATCCCCCCCTCTCTAAAATCCATAAGAATGGACCAATTTTAAAAAAACTTGGGCTCAAAATCTTCCTTAGGATATTTTGAGTTCAACAAAACAAACCGCAACAAAATCGGACTATGTGCGGCCGAACGCGAGCCGTTTGAACGCGCCGAGGTGCTCGACGCTCCCGCCGAATCTGCGAGGATTTGAAGTCCGCTACAGGAGAAGAGCTTCTCTGCCAAAGCCTCAGTCGTTCATCACTGACGAAAAATCAAAGAAATTTTTGTAGAATAAGGGGCTTACCTCACTTCTCCACATAACCAGCTCGATCCAAGCAAGTCTGATACTGAGACTAAGACTAAGAAAACAGCTTTTGGATGCCTCGTGCGTGGAAGTCTTTCAGCTGACCGCGGATGAAAGAGTGGACGGCTTGTTTGACCTCTTCCACTGATTCAAAATTAACTCCTCCAAGTTCAGATTTCAGGAACGGGAATAAATGATGGTCTGGTTTGCCATTTATTATCGTATCTGAAATCTGAACTCGGAGGAGTTAATTTTGAATCAGTGGAAGAGGTCAAACAAGCCGTCCACTCTTTCATCCGCGGTCAGCTGAAAGACTTCCACGCACGAGGCATCCAAAAGCTGTTTTCTTAGTCTTAGTCTCAGTATCAGACTTGCTTGGATCGAGCTGGTTATGTGGAGAAGTGAGGTAAGCCCCTTGTTCTACAAAAATTTCTTTGATGTTTCGTCAGTGATGAACGACTGAGGCTTTGGCAGAGAAGCTCTTCTCCTGTAGCGGACTTCAAATCCTCGCAGATTCGGCGGGAGCGTCGAGCACCTCGGCGCGTTCAAACGGCTCGCGTTCGGCCGCACATAGTCCGATTTTGTTGCGGTTTGTTTTGTTGAACTCAAAATATCCTGAGGAAGATTTTGAGCCCAAGTTTTTTTAAAATTGGTCCATTCTTATGGATTTTAGAGAGGGGGGATACTTACTTATTGAACGCCCCTCGTACTAACCGTGGCCCCTGCAGAAATCCACTCAAACCACTGCAGTTATCTCCCGATATAGCTTTGGGTGTCAGGTTTCGAGCAAGGCAATAAAAGACGGCGAGGAGAGGGTTGCCTCGTCGAACCTATATTATCTTCCACGCCCGATTAACCATTCATCGTGACGCCAGGATCCACCAAATTTTCAAAAAAATTGTTTTCCGTCTATTCAGCGAGTTTTTCCTTACTTTCCGTTAAAGTACAAATAAAAAGAGACCTCATTTGTAAAAATCGGCCGAATAGGAGAGAAGTTACAGTTCGAAATCCAAAGAGATTAACTCAACGCGATTTCGATGCACGGCAGTTCGCCCAAATCACGGTCGTGCGAAATGCCGCATATCAGCTTAAAATCAAGATAATTGGACGGAATCTTTAAAATCAATTTACATTCAACGTTCATGAATCAATATTTTCTCCCAAAATTAGCAAAAAGTACCAATTGATGCAAATAACAAAGACGTGAAAATAGTAGGTATGTGTCCAACATTTCAGTTATTCGGCACGCTTTTCCAACATATTCATGTTGGATTTTTCTGCTTGTTTTCTATTGATTTAATTTAAAGAAAGGCTTATGTGGGCAGTAAAACGTCTGACCGCTGGGGTAATTTCGGCGCGCCAGATTCTTTTTAATAAAAAAAGACGATTCAGTTGTCCAATTTACAAGACAAAATGCATGTTTATAGAATTGCTCTCACTGACTTGTATCCAACCAAATTCCGAGTAAGGCTGACTTTATTCTACGGGTGAAAAATTTCATAATCACGATTACTTGTTCACAGAGTGCAGTGATGAAAACAAATGTCAAGGCCTGGGGGAACATGCTCACTTCAGTAACTTCGGAATGGCGTTTTTGACACTCTTCCGCGTGGCAACAGGTGACAACTGGAATGGGATCATGAAAGATACTTTACGCGATAACTGTGACGAGAGTGCTGATTGTGTTCGCAACTGCTGTGTTCACTCGGGCATAGCCCCTATGTTTTTTGTCATTTTTGTTCTTATGGCACAATTTGTACTCGTCAATGTTGTCGTAGCAGTTCTTATGAAGCACTTAGAAGAGTCTCATAAACAGGTAATTGGACTTTTCTAGTTTGTATTCTACCAATCCTTACAACAGATTATTCCTATTGCTGGGACCAACATTTTGTTAATATAGGATTGGAAACTTCGGTTTGTAGTTCAAGCATATGTTGTGGTAAAGATAAGGTGCAGGATTAAAAACCACACGGAGACGGAATAAATATATATGAAGGGCTTAGAGGACAAGGCACATAAGTTCAGTTTTGCTATTTCGAGAAATACGTGTTTGAACTCTCGAGATTACGTGGATCCTCATGGCGGAGAGGAAGTTCAAACTAACTTTTTGATGCTTGAAAATTGGGGTTTGGGAGCAAATTCTGTCGTAGACTATGCATAATTTACTTGAAATTGATGATCTCGAAACTTTGAATACTAGCACACTAGCAGGTTAAAGCTGAAATATGCGTATCTCTACACCAAAGTTTAAAAATCTTGCTAATGTCATTTTTTTCGTATTAAAATCAAATAATACTAAGCTGAATAAAAAAGGCACAAAAACCAAATAGCACGCAATTTTTGGTTTTAACCAATTCGAACATCGATCTTTTAGAGTCAAATACGTCCAATTTTGAGCGTTTGGTTGCGCATGCGCACCACGCTGCAGCACAGTCAAAGCACAAAATATAAAATGAAAAATTAAAGTGTGTTGGAAATCATTAAATTTGACACGGAACCATCTTAATATTTACAAAACATATTTATATTTTCCTTTAACACGTATTTTTTCCTTCAATACATATATTTTTTCATCATTTAAATGAGAATAATCCATGCAGAGTGTGCAAAGATTTTGAAAATATGAGTTGAAAAATGCTGACTCCGCGCGTTTAAATATTAAAGCCAGACTCAGCGCAGCGGCTTGCTGCCAGCACGATACGCGCACTGGCGCCTACGAACCTAACAGGGATACTTCACGCATTGCGCAATACGTGAAGTATCCCTGTTAGGTTTGTAGGCGCCGATGCACGTGTCGCGCTATGCGTGAAGTATCCCTGCTAGGTTTGTAGGCGCCGATGCGCGTGTCGCGCTATGCGTGAAGTATCCCTATTAGGTTTGTAGGCGCCGATGCGCGCGTCGCCCTCGCCCGCCGCAATGCGCGCCACAGCACTTCAAGCAAGTCTTCCCTCTTGGAAATAAAAAAAAAATTGTCCATTTTGAGGAGAGTCTTCTGTTTTGATATATTCGCTCGCTGATGGATGTTACCCTCTATTATTTAAAATTTTCCGCATTTTTTTTTCAGATGGAGGAAGAAGCAGACATGGAAGTTGAACTAGAAAGAGAACTAGCTGCAGAAATTGCACTTGAGAAAGGAGAGGAGCAGGCTGAAGACATTTGGTTTCAACACGCCTTGGAGCAAGATGCGGCAATGTCAAATAAGAGACCCTTGGCCAAAGTGCTTTCATTACCAGCCGATTTCACCTTCCACAGTGTAACACAACCAAAAAGTACGGCTCATCCTTAAGTTTAAAATAACTTATCGTTTCCTCTCTTTTTTGACATAGGGACTGTGTTCGTCTATTTTACACCCAGCAAAAGATGGCATGCTGATTTTTACTGATCATCTTGCATCTGATTATGTTATCAGTTTACGATTTTGATGACGTCATGAAATGAATTACTCTTAAAATTGCTCTTAAATCATAAACTTTGACATGGATATAATGACCATCCGTAATATATTTTTTTTTCCTGCATAGGCAATAAACGTCGCAGGAGTTCAGTAAATTCCTGGAGCAAATGGAGTGACGGTTACAAGACCCGGAGGAGAAAAACTATTCAAGATTCCTCCTCTCTGATGCCTCATGTCTACACAACACAGCACGACCAAGCTGTAAGTGTCATGTGGTCAGTTCCATTATCATAGACTTCTGGGAAAAATCTAATCGAATGGAATCGTTGCACCAATTTTATGCAGCGCTTTCATCAATCATTGGTGTCATGAAAGTTTGGATATTCACAGGGAAAAGTCTATAGTGAATACACCAAGATGCAGACTTTCAGGTGAAAGTAATCTAAGTCCCGGTAGAATTTACCATGCTCTTGCGTAATAATTAAGGACTCATTTTACAATAGGGAACTCATATTCCGGCTCGCCTACAAAAGCATCTATCTGCATGTTGGAACTACGGTCTCATCTCGTTGTAACGTTTTCGAAGGAGATTCAGGAATGCTGTTTCCGATAGAACGTTATTGCGAGAAACGTAACGAGGTACGAATGTAATATACTTGAACATGCTGTGTTTCTGAAAGAAGCCAGAAATGTTACTTCTCGATTGTAAAATTTAGTCCAGTCAAGTTGTGGTTCAGCAAGGTACCAATACCAAAACTTACCGCACTTCCCTAAGGTTTACCGGTGCAAAATCAGGTAGACATGTGGTTATACACACCATACGCTTATCATTGATACTCTTTCATATCGACGGTGTAAGTCAGCAATCGTAGAACTCGGTTTGCGACGTCGCAGACTTCCTGTCATACTTTATTTTTTAAACGGGAAACTGCTCAACTGTTTAAAACTGCCGTGATTTTTCTTCTCTGGGCGAAGAAAATTCGGCAAAAACTTCAAGGAATGGCGTCAATTTGTTCTCCTTTAAAAAAATAACACAGAGGCGGAGATTTTCAGACTTCGCAAACGAGATATGTGATTGCGGACTCCCGCCGTCGATATACAGTCTGCCACGTGAAGAAAATTCATGAATGGATATTAAACTTGCGTGAAAAATAGGTTTAAAGACTAATGATCAAGCGGATATGACTTGAATCGGTCTAACTGCATTTCGCGATGCGATTTTTATGTGTGAGATTGGGGTCGAGACGATTTGAAGCGCCAATTATTCGTGAGTAAAGTTTGATTTTGTTGGTCATGCGAGAGAGAGGCAAAGGAAGTGCCCTCAACTAGTATCACGTGCGACGAACACTAAATATAATTCATTATACCGCCTGCATGCAACTATTCGAGCTCAACGGATGTCTGTGTTGCGTACACACGGAGTGAAGGCGTTTTGACTCTTCAGACACTTATTGCTTCACCCGCACCGCGTTATGGTGTACACTAATCGTTGCGTGGCCTCTTTGACGTAAGGGCGTATCTGAATTTCCACGTGAGACTTGCTGTCCATGGTACCCCATATTTTCTAGGGCTCAAGTGAAAATAGAGATACGCCCTTACGTCGGAGGAGCGCGTAATGTGAGGATCCAAAAGGACGGAACGTCTTCAATGGAGATGTTGCATGTGTGAGGGATTTGCGATTTGACTGCTGTTTCTTATGTAAAAGTTCACAAGAAACACGATGGTGCCACTGGTTTTCTCTGAAATTATCTCCCAAGCTCAAAAAAAGCTCTCAAAGTGAGGCCAAAATGGAGGATATATCCCACCCTACCCTGAGAGTCCACCTCCACATCAAAAGAAACTCTGTAAGCAAAGATAGGGAGCAAATACATTAGCAGAGTTTCCGTGTTTTCAGTTTTGGAGTCCCCAAATAAAGCGGCAGCCCTGTCAATGTATTCGCTCCCTATCTTTGCATGGAGAGTTTTTTTTTATGTAGAGGTGGACTTTCAGGGTAGGATGGGATATCCCCTCCATTTTGGCCTCACTTTGAGAGCTTTTTTGAGCTTGGGAGACGATTTCAGAGAAAACCAGTGGCACCATTGTGTTTCTCGCGAACTTTTATACAAGAATCAACAGTCAAATTGCAAATTCCTCACACATGCAACATCTCCATTCTCCGTTTGTACCGCGAATGCATCTTTTAGACACGAAAATTTGTACGCAGGCATCGGATAGGCAAATTATTCAATTTGGAGAATTTTCATAGGAATCAATTGCTCTGCATCTCTTTCTCGAGACATAAATCGTATTGTTACCAAATCTACAGCTTATACAGAGTCAACAGATGCAGAGCACATCCTAATCGGTTTGACAATTCGTCAAGAAATAGTGTCTCCGAGGATTCGACTTGTAGCTGTATACTATTGTTGATTGCTACACATCAGTGCCCCAGAGCCAAAATCTACACACACATGTTTGAAAAAATCGATTCAGTGTCGTTTTGGAAATCTCCAAAAACGGTTCCGCGTGTGCGGAAAATTTGGCAACCCTATCTTATGCCGGTTATGAGATACGGAATACCAAAAAATGCGATTTACATTTGAATTAATGGGGCCGTTTTCCCTGATAACTCGGAATTACTAAAATGGAGTGGGCTATCTTTTGACTCTGGGGCACTGACATGTAGTTCCCTCTCTTACCATGTGCCACTCTTTGTCCCCTTCCGCCGAAGAATTTTAAGTGAAAATTTTGAAAAGCATATTTTGGAAGTCTTGAAAGAAAGTGTCAGTGTGCTCCATACTATACAGACGAATTTCATTATCAAAGTGACGTAATCATACGATTCGGTATATCTTCTTGTTATATTTGAATTTTTAGATTTTGTTTCTTTAATTGATGGTTTTCTGGAATTTTCAGCTTCTGTCGAAAAAAATAGCGGTCAGAAGAGTTAGGTCAGACTTTAGCGCTTACAAGACAGCACAAAAACCTCCCCTTGAAGATTATCACTGCCATTCTGTAATAGCGGTTCCAAAAGCCTATTTAAGCTCACCTTTCGACACCAAACAGCCGTCTGAATTTCATCCAGCACTCTATTACACGTCACCAGAGGAAGATGTCTCCCCCGAGTGCGTCTCACCGTCTGCACTTCTGGTACCTCCGTCATATCCTGAAGCATCAACGTCCATTCAGTCGTTCAATTTTGAAGAACCACCTTCAGTCAAGCTTTTGTCACAGCAAAGGCTCAACGAAGCGTTGGGAGCGGTAGTTTCAACACACAGCTTCTCGGACACGGTTTTAATGACCAACGACAAAAAAATCGTTGTGAAAAATTCAAATTGGAAAAAAGACCATGTTTCACGACAAGACTCTCGAGATGTAAATAGTGCGGTCGATGAAAATGAAAGGCTAATTAGCAATCAAAGTCGACACACGAGTCTATGATAATCACCTACCGATTTTCAATCATACCTATCTGACACCTTCTCTGATAAAATTATTTTTTGGGTGCTAATTTTATGATTTCCTATACTCGTGGGAAGAATTCATTCATTCCTGCCTTGTTGTATTTGTTGATTCGAAAATTAAAATATAAAAACGGCCTCGGATTGAATAACTAACGTTTTCATTCGGGAGAAAACGTTGACGCAAGACAGCAATAAGCAGAAAGTAGGTAAGACTTTGAACGGTCGGCGCGGGGAGTTTCTTGAAGAGTAGGACAAATGGATTCTGCGGATGAAGTATTTTGGTCAAGTTCATTTCAGCATTAAATGTACACGATCCATTTCACTCTTTCAAAAACGGGGCATAAAAAGGAGAGCAAAGATCTTTCGTTTTTGTTTTTTTTTTTTAAAAATATAATTAAGTTGTATTTCATTCTGGTGAATCGTACTTTGAGATTCAACTTCAGCTACCTAAACTAAACCTCGGTTCGTGATGAACACCGGACTTTTTCAGTTCGGATAACAACGGGTTTCAGATATAGGAATTGAATTTTACTCCCTGTGTATATTTACTTCAATCGAAACATTTATTTCAAAAATCACTCTAGGACACTTTTGGCTATGTGTCAGGAATTTCAGAGTCAATGCGCCTTCCCATGGAGTTTTCATTTCCGCTCAAAAATCAATTTTGACCAAAAGTGAAGATTTGCCCTCTTCGAAATGATTGTTTCACTTTTCTCAATGAATTAAAAAAAGAAAGAAAAGAAATAGAGAGATAGAGAATAGAGCGCCGCCCCCCCCCCCATTGTGAGTAGAGGGAGAGTAGTTACTACGTTAAAGAACGAAAAAAAAAAATAATAGTAAGGACGGTGAGGATATGCACTTTACAATGAGTTATTTGGTACTTTTTAAAGCTTTTTTGTAATGCCTGAAAAATTTAGGGACAATTTCTCTTTACTGAGGGCCCGTGTAATAATGGTTAGGTTCCCACATTTTTGTACTATTTGATTACATTGTACAAACGTGGGATTAGAGAGTACAGACCTGCGAAATAAATTTGAAACATTTTTTTTTTTTCAATTTCGTAAATCCTACCAACTGTGGAATGGAGCGTGAGCATGGTTAATACTGAGAAATTAACTTTGGTACCTGCGCTGAACATGGATCAGGCAATCTGGTGTGTGTTCATTATTATAGATCTTGCCGCGTCGCACAGTGGATCGAGTCAATAAGGAGAGGTCGGAAAAAATTTGGAAACTTTAGATGCTTATAACTCCGTTTATACCAAACTTTAAGGTTCTCAAAGTGGTTTTATTCGTTTACCCGTGAATTTTTTTTCCAGAAACACCCCTCAAAGTTCTAAATGTGACGGAATAAACATTAAAATTTGCAATTTTAGTCAAAAATTTCATTTCCGACCTCTCTAATTGACTCACTCCACTGTGCGACTCTGTCAATTTTTGCAATAGTAGGAGTAACGCAGGGACCAAGGGACCTTCCTAAGCGTGGCCCTTGTGCGTCTGAAGCTTGTACAAGCTTGGCTGTACTGACAAATCATCCTACGGGAGGTTTCAACTATCTAATTTTTGGTAGGTGATTCTTGTCGTATCACATTCTTTAGTCTCGTTGCTTTAAACCCACTTGAAGTAAGAATAATGCAATTTTCACGAATTTCATATCATGAAACATGTTACGTTTTCCATTGTTAAACTAATTTCACAGCTCATTGCGTTTTAATGTGTTCTTATTTAGGGTCTGTGGGCTACTTTCTGCGTAAAAACGGCAATGAGCTTATTTAGGGAGTGAGAAACACTCTGCAGCGGGAACATGCCCCTTGCCTTATTGTTACACTGGTGGTGTGTGTTTGGGGTGGGGAAGGGGGCAACCGGTTCCTTGCTTTCTTTCCTCTAATTTTGTACTCTTGCTTGAAAAATCAATGACAGTGTTGGTATCCGGTAAAATCCGGTGCTAAGTCTCGCATGCAATTCTTTTGGATTGTTTGACAAGGAGACATACAAATTTTCCCTATTATTAAGGACTGATCCGAGAATGATAACGAGATTTCTTCCCTTCGGAATCTCAAGAAAAAAGGAGCGATAGTGATATTTTACCACGAAGACAGCAAATCCCTAATTGCGTTCTGTCTAGTTGCGATACTGATATTTCAAAATTTTCCCGAGGAAAGACCCCTGTCTCATTTTTTAAAAATTCCCCTAACCCAAAAGGTTCAGTCCACACGCCGCCACCGACACCGACTTGTTAAGAAACTGAATCTAGATCTCCGCCTCGGCATATTTAAAGTCGATAACTATTATAAAAACAAAATTATAAAGAACACATCGACCAAAATAAAGAAAGAGAATGAAAATGGATCATACTATAAAAGAGAAGAGGGAAATAGAAAAACATGAACCGATGTTAACTTTGTATGTCAATTTTCTTCTTCATTTTATTTCCTTTATTTAATTCTTAGGTTCGTTTATTTCTTCATTTTTAGATATTTTTTTTGGTAAAATATTTGCCTTGCATTTCTGACCTACGATACCAAAGTAATCATTAATGTGAAAATGTAAAATGTAGAATTGTATGACGCTGTATTTTAAACTATTTAAGATTTCTTCCGTAGATTTCTATGAATTCTCTCCGATGCATATAAACTCTTGTGATTTCTCTAGTTCCTAACATCTGTCAGCAATGATGACCTTCGCAAGATGGCAACAGTATATTTAAATTTAAATTAAATAATTGATTTTTATCAATTACATAATTATAATGCAGTAGGTTCATGATGGGTTTAAATCGAGGGAGTTGCCAGTTTGCGTAGATCGTGCCTGACGGTAATCTGTCAGTCATTTTGATCTGTTGAAACGAAATCATATATTTTACTGCAAGTAGGCATGTATATTGTAGGCATTCAATTATTTTCAACACTAAATGATAGCAAACTGATGGCGTAGTGTAATCTTTTACGCAAACAAAGTTTATAACTGCTCTTCCATTAATTTGCATCAGTAGTCAATTAATTAAATTTTTTATACGCATAGAGTCTTGAATTTTATCATTGTAATACTGTTTTTAAGCAATTTTAGATAAGTTTGCCCAAAATGGAACACATTTTCTGTCGACATCGAAATCCAAATGAGATCCGTTTGAAAAACAAAAAAACTTGTAGACCAACGGGGTTTACCCCCTGGCCGCTAGGTAGGCAATTTGACCTCCGGAGGGCGGTTTGCAGCCATTTTCAAGAAACCGGGAAATTCACACTTTCAAAGCAATGTTTTTTCCTTCTTTTTTTAAAAAAAAAACAAAATCTGAACGATTTTGCGTAATTTCAACCAGGCAAATCATCCACAGAGAGACACTCATTCTTGAATAGGTAATACAAGAGTTGAAATTATTCGTACTTTATGACTTAGGTCGTTGCATCTCTACATACTTGAATGTATGTAACTTACCTTACCTACATGAATACATGGTAGATCGCGGTAATATTATTGAACGTGTTCATGCTGAAAAGAATATTGTGAGAATGAATAAAATCCAAAAGAACTATCATGCACGCAAATCTTATGCACATATAGTTCCCTTTGGCTAATTGATTCCTCACATATTTGGTTCATTTTGGCATAAAAACGTCCAAATTTTGATCCATAGATGTATCTCCATACCCTTCGCTCCCTCCCTGCTGGCCGGTCTAAAACTAGGCATCCACTCTCAAGCGTTTCTGACACACCTCCATTTAACGTATCGACCAGAGGCAGCCTAACAACATTCCACGTTGCATAATTTCCTCTCATATTTCATTTTTTAAAAAGAGATGTAGGTATCATAGTGTCTGAGAACTTTCTGTGGATATATCCTAAATTACAAACAATACCTGTACTCACGAAACAAGTCAGAGTGTTCTTATCTTCCTGAGGAGGATTTATAGCACGAGAAGAAATGAGGCAAATCATGAAGATAGGCTGATTTTAGGTGAATTCGTTCAGATGTTAGGTCCTTCTCGACGCTAATAATTGTAAGTCGTAACCAAACTGAACCAATGTCTTGAACTGCAACTGAACTGACCGTGCTCCGCTGGCCAGTCGCGTGTCCCGCCTATGCCGACGATGATCATAGTTGCCAGATTTTGGCTGATAATGAGGATTGTTCCCGTAAGACTCAATGTAAACAAATTTTTATTTTTCAGCACAATCTGGCAACCATGCCCAATCCTCGATTGCACTTCTCTCGCCGTGCTCGAGAGAGAACGGAGCATCATAGGTGCTTTAAGTTTTAAACCAAATTTGTTATTTCACTTTGTTACGATATTGTGATAACTCCAGGATGAGTTTGTAGTCCGATAAAAGAAATAATAATGATAAGTAGTATTATTTTTTTTCTCTGTAAATAAGATGTATCTATACGTAGAAATCACGGGAGATTGGTGACTGGAAGCCCACCTATTTGAGGTAGATGCTCTGACTTCATGTCGGTGTAACCTCCTTGCCATTTCCACAAAAATCGTCTGAGTTTCAAAAACTTATGGTATTTGGAAGGCTTAAGATACCGAACAGGTTCGCTTAAACTATAATTTGCTGCTGAATGCGAGGCGTATGTTTACTTGTACAAGTCGCCCATTGAGTGCTCTCTGGCGCTCTGCAACACTCAAACGCCGCGTGTAGCCGAATTCCAAAAGATCTTGGGGCAACTGACATCTCTGAATTTCTTCATTGATACCTTGCCGCCGTTGCATTGAGACGAGCCAGAAATTGTGATGATTTTTACCCTCAATTTTTAAGTAAAGTTATAGAACACGTCAAGCTCGAATAATATGAGGTGCCAATAATGTGGGAAATTCCTGCTTCTATCCTGCCTCATCCACCATATAGAGAAATCAATTGTAAAATGCAACGATTGTTCTCATGGCCTGTAGACTCAACTCTTAATTATTAAAAAAAAGGAAGGAAGAAAGAAAGACAGAAAATAAAAGTGTAAGAGTTAAAATTTTAACTCTCAAATTATAACTCTCTTTTGAGCCCAATATCTTCTCAAACTGAATTCTCCTGTGCCTATTGTTCTTCGTAGTTTTTTCAGTCCTTATTCGACTTTTAGAGATTTAGCTTTAGAGTTTTCTTTTGACAATCCTTTTTCGAATTTTTGCCTTTTTTCTATTGCCTTTGACCAAAATAAAAAAATTATACAATAACTTCTTGATTTTGTTCGACCCGTTTCTGTACCCCTCAGATTCTGTTTCGCCATAACATTCTATCAGTGCGTTATTTCAGTCTTCAAATGGCATAACATTTTTAAACACTATTTCGCGCTACTTTATTCACTTTCCACCATTTAAGGAGGAGAGGGGACGAGGAAGTTTTGGTCAGCCTATGCCGTAATTTATGGACGGCCCCATATCTTGAAAACATTTTAATGACAGCCAACATTCTCCCATTAACTCGATCCACCGTGCGCCGCACAGTGGACAGAGTCAATAGGAGAGGTCGGACATAATTTGGAAACTTTAAACGCTTAAAACTCCGTTTATACAAAACTTTGAGGTTTTAAAAGTGGCTCCATTGGTTGTCTCGTGAAATTTTCTCCTCGAAGCACCCCTAAACATTTAAAATATGAGGAAAATAACGTCAAAATTTGCAGTTTTGGTCAAAAATTTCATGTCTGACCTCTCGAATTGACTCGATCCACTGTGCGCCGCCGCGCTGGGTCGGAAATTATTTCGGAGAGGAATTACTAGAATGTAATTCTGCTGAAATCGGAAAAATGTTCTCGTCGAGGTTTCAGATGCTGAGCACAGCAGCAGCGCAGCGACCCGAGGCTAGATAATGCATCGATAAACAATAAACAACTGCTAACTAGGTCCATCGTGTGTAAACATGGTGTCTCGTGCTGTTCATCACTCAATGTTTTCTCGGGTGTCAGAAATGTCTTGCTCTTGATCTTGATGGAGAAGTGCGTACTGCGTATAGTAGTATCAGTTTTCCTCACTTTGTCCATCGTCTGACGTAAGGGCGTATCGAAATTTCCACATGAGCCCCAGAAAGCATAGAGGTATATGGAAGACGAGGCTCACGTGTAAATTGAGATACGCCCTTACGTCATTTCAGAGGAGCGACGATTTGTCAAGCAATCTCAAAATTGGCATGCAAAATAACTGATCCTTTGCTCGTCTTTGCTAGCGACCCAGAACTATTCCCAGTGAATATATCAATGGAGATGTTCCATGTGTGAGGGATTTACGATTTGATCATTGATTCTTATGTAAAAGTTCGCAAGAAACACGATGATTTACGATTTGATCATTGATTCTTATGTAAAAGTTCGCAAGAAACACGATGATGCCACTGGTTTTCTCTGAAATCATATCCGAAGCTCAAAAAAAGCTCTCAAAGTGAGGCCAAAATGGAGGATATATCCCACCCTACCCTGAGAGTCCACCTCTACATCAAAACAAACTCTCCATACATAGATAGGGAGCAAATACATTAGCAGGGTTGCCCACAGGGACTCCAAAACTGAAAACACGGCATCGATGCTAATGTATTTGCTCCTTATCTTTGCATGGAGAGTTTCTTTTGATGTAGAGGTGGACTTTCAGGGTAGGCTGGGATATCTTCTCCATTTTGGCCTCACTTTGAGAGCTTTTTTGAGCTTGGGAGATGATTTCAGAGAAAACCAGTGGCACCATCGTGTTTCTCGAGAACTTTTACATAAGAAACAACAGTCAAATCGCAAATCCCTCACACATGCAACATCTCCATTGAAATTTCATTTCTTCATAGGTACTTAAATACTCCTCCGATGAATCGGCCCTTCCAAAAAATACCTACGGTAACAATGAAAATACGAGGAAAGCAGTAAAAACTGATTGAGCGATCCGTTTTAAATTTTAGATTTTATAGTATTGTGATCAATTGATGAATATCTGTAATATTTTAGCGGTCTGGAATTCAGAACGGGTTATTTAAAACTGTTTTCACTGGTTTTCTCGTATATTCTAAGTACAGGCGCTTAAGTTTTTTGTGAACGACCGAATCAGCTGGAAGTTAATGGTCAAACTTTTTTCATCTGCTTTGATTGAGGGCATCAATTGATGCATCAAAACTTGTTAGTCAATACTGCTATCGAAAGAACGTTTTCCCATGACTTCTTCGACACCCGCCAAAAAATAGAGAGAAATAAATGCATAAAATAAAAAATTGAGGGGATTTCTAAATTTGAAAGTCAGAGGTCAAATTTTTCTCAAATATTTTTAAAAAGGAACCCAAGTAAATAAAATTGAAAAAAAAAACTTTAAAAAAGTGATACATAAGGCATTTTGGCAAGAGCTTTGACTCTTCTCTTTCCTCTTAAGAAACACTCGTGAGACAACATCTTAAACCTCTTTTTTTTTTTAAATATATGAGACAAGCCCGACCTTTTTTTTATTATTTTCTTTAAATAAAAGAATAATCTCCCCGTTTAAAGGAAGACTCTTTCGTAGGGCTTGACCCCTCTTCTTTTCTCGGAAGAAACCGCAGGGCAAGTTCAGATATCCTTTCCATCGTTATACTTGAACGGCCCTTAATACAAATAACAACCATGATTAAAGAAATTCAAATTCTTCCAAATTTTATCAAGTCTCCTTTGGGCGTAAAGATAAATGAAACACTACGGTCTTTGTAGTAGTTTTGTGATGCGTAACTTTCTAAAATATGTTACGGAATTAAGTCCTCATCCGATATCAAATAAATTCATATGATTATGAATAAAAACACAGACATACATAAATACGCATAAACAAAATTGTATTCACATTGAATGTACAAAATTCAAAACAAAGTATAAATTATAATGTAATGTATAGGTAATGTACTTATACACTTGATTTATAAGGCATAAATGTACTTGGTTTTCATTGTGTACTATGAATGTACATTTACAGGGTATAATTTGCAAAAATTGATGCAATATGACGATATGGAGCGTCACAAATTAAAAACTAGTATTGTTTTCTTCCACCTCGAGGGGGAAAAAAGTTCTATTTCGAAACTAAATACCGCAATCCGTCAAAAAATGTCGTTTAAATCGAATTGAAGAGAATCGTAATTTCAAATAAAAAGGTTTCTAATCAAAAACATAGCTAAACTTTGTTGAGTTTGGCCGAAAGAGAGAGCATTGGTTCTTTCATTTTAAGTTCTGCCAGCGTCTCATTCACAGGTTTCAGCGGAAAAATCCGGCTTGCGTTCAGTGGTAAGCTCTGAAGTGACGAGAATTTGGTCTTAGCTTCTCCAGAAGTAGTACCCAATTCTTGCCTCAAGTTTTTCATGACGTTCTTTCGCACCTCTAAATTCGTGCTTATCTTTTCCATCAAAGCAGCTTTGTTCTCCTTCCACTCGCTGACCGGAAGTTGTAGCTGGCGATCGGAGGCTCCTCCAAAAAGACCAGAGGTAGAAAGACCAGCAACTTTCGGTTTTGGTACACCCATCATGCCTGACCTCATTTCGGCCGAAGAAGATTTCTCAACATTGGCAGGTATGGATTTAGGTGCTTCAGTTACAGGAGATTTTTGCGTTTTGGGTTTTGGTTTTTCCGTATTGGTGGTTGTAGCTCCTGGTGTTTCAGCCAAATTGATTGCTTGAGTCTCAACAGATTTGGACTTTTGAGTCTCCGTTGATTTCGTGCTCGAAATTATAGCCGGCTGATTTTTTGGTGTTTCTATAGACTTGGGTTTTGGCGTTCCAACGGGTTTAGATTTTGAAGTTTCAACAGATTTTAACTTTGGTGATTCTGAAAGTCCAGCTTGTTGCGCTTCCGTGGGCAGATTGGTGACATCCTTTCTTAAACTGGAGGACCCAACAGGAAGATTCACTTTTTCAGGTTTCTCATCAACTGGTTTTGTAGATTCCTGATGGGTGAATTCTTGTTCCTGAGCAGTTGCGGCTTCAGTGTTTCTTATTTTTGATTCTAGCCTAGATTTTAGTGTAGCTCCAGTGTCTTTCTTGGCCAGATTTTTAATCAAAGATGTATCGAAATCATCACTATCGACGTCATAAAACGTAAATCTGTCAAAATTCCCAGTGATTTTCTGCAGACCTTCCTCGGCACTTTTTGGTGAAGAACTCTCAGTCAGCGATTCCGGGCCTTTACCTGAATTACTGCCTTCAAAGTTGCTGATAAAATGGTCTAAACTTTCTTCCACCTCCGTCTTCGGCTCTTTCGTAGCTCCATCCTTGACTGTTCCTACGGTCTCGTGTGCACCTGTATACCTGGTTGCGTCATTATTTTTTTCAGGCGTTTTTTGTGGCTCTGCCGCACTATGAGAGATTTTGTCGTTTTTTGAATCTGTGAAGTTACTACTAGACTCCTCTCCACCGGGAGTCCTCACCAACCGATTTTTATTGCACTCGATGTCTTCGTAGCACTTGCTTTCATCAGATATCAAACAGTTCTCCATCTCCAAAAATTTCAGGAAAAAGTTATCAAAAGGATTTTTAAAAGAGGCAGTCGGGACGTTGTTCTGCAAACCCTGTAAATATCCGTACATTGTTCTCGTCAACGGATCCTCGTAAGATTCATTTATCATAGAGTCACTGCTGACGTCACTTGAGTCGTCTGATGAAAATTCGCTGGCATCCATCGGATATCCGTTGAACCCCGGGAATCCGCTCAAGCTCGGGAACTTGGGTGCGTGACGTTTTTCTTGAGCGAAGGAATTCGATGACTCCTCAGAGCAGCTTTCGTCCAACCAAGAATCGGCACCTAGACCCACATTTTCCTCAGCCGGCGCTTGCATTCCCCGGACATTGTCGCGTTTGGATCGGGAGCTTCCTTTAGACTCGTTGGGGTAGCCATCCCGGCTGGGGTAGCTGAACCCAGAACCGGGTAAAATAAGTGGCGCTGGCTCATCAATTTGCCCGGATGACTCGGACAAGTCCAAGTCGAGAAATCGCCTCCACCTTGGACTCCGCTCTTGCGAATCGATGGAAACGTCTTCAAGCGAATCAGGTCGATAATTCGCCATCGGTTTCAGTACACGTTCCAAAGGGAACCCGGATTTCATTGGAATGCGTGTTTCTGGTCGGGGTGCTTCAACTTTCGGCGCGTCCAGTTTTGGTGTATCCGATTCCTTCCGCCTGTAAGAAACACCTACAGCCCTGGGGAGCTGTGGTGGTGCTGGTGTTGTCGTTGCTGATATGCGGTTCATTAAGGACTTCCGCTGCGGTGGAAAGGTCGACCTCTCCTCCTCAGACTCGCTTTTTATCTTCGTCTTCACCTCACTCGTGCTTTCAAGTAAATCACTGATCAGCTTCAGGACTTCAAAATCTTCGGGTTTGAATTCGTCATCGAATACGACACTAGGTTCATGTTTCCTAATGGGTTGTTTGTTCGTTTCCCCTTTTTCAAAGGAAAAGTCAAATTCTCGGGAGTCTTTTTCTAAGTTTTTGTCCGAGCGTCTGTTCACGTTTAAGTTTTTCTTAAGCTGAGGATGTGATTCCAGGAAATTATGAATGAGATTTTCTCTTCTTGAATCCGCTTTGAGTTTATCAATGTTGAGGGACGCGCCGGTCTGTAGCGCATTCATCAGGTTTGGAAATCGTGATCCCATTTTTTCTCTGCCGTTCGGAAACTCCAAGATTTTGTCCATGCTTTTCTCTCTCACTTTTCTATCGTAATCTAGTTCCGGCTCGTTCTTGAACATAAGAGCTTCCAGATCGTGCCCAATTTTTTGGGAGGTCAAGCTTGAGAACTCACCTTTTCTTGAGCTCTGAGAGTGTCTTTCTTGAGGAGAAATTTTGGAATCTCTGGAATATTTTTCTTCAAGAAAACCGTCTTCAGAAGAACTGAAAAGGTTGAAATCGGTAGAGAGTTTTTCTTTCATGCGTGTCTCTGAAATCCTGTCATAAGGAGTGTATTCGTAGGAATCGTCTCGATGTTCATGGCCCCTTGAATATTTGTCTTGCGTCGATTGGGGTTTTCCAAATCTTTCCTCCGCAGGAAAATCTATCGAGCTCTTGAATTTTCTTTCCTGAGGGGCGTAATTTTTGGAGGGCCGATCTTGAGAGGATAGTCGCAGCTGCCTATCTTGAGAGCTGGATGTAGTTCTTGTCTCCTGAGGGGCAGATGCCTGCAGTTTTGACTTTTGCGGAACAGAATTTCGCTGTACCGTCTCTTCTGCTAATTTTGCGTCCAAGTATATTTCCTGTGGTGACTTCAAGCGGAACTCCGGCAATTCGTAATCCGGGACATCACTGAGGTGGTTTGGCATTGCTGTGGTCATTTTGAAAGGTCTTCTCATTTCCGGTTGATGTGTGCTGGTTTCTGAGCCTTGTCGATTCGTCTCCTGATTATTCTTGGTCATTCCGAACTGGTTTCCACTCGTTATTCGTTGACTTTTGGCTGCAGGTTGAACATTCCTCGTCTCCTGGTCATATGTTGTTTCAGAATTATGCTTGCTCTTTCCCGATAACCACCCCCAACCTTTATCACCGCCGCTCCTTGTGCCTGAGAAGTCCTCCTCGAACATGTGCTGAGAGGTCCTATGACTTGGGTTGCTGACTACGTCCAGGAAATTGCTGAGCGTTGAGTGCGTCGTTGCAGGGTCGTGTGACCTTAACTGACCAGACGCCTGACCGCTCAACTTCCGTTGCTTTTCAGTGAGCTGCTGGTCGATGATCGCCATCGGGAAGGATAAAATAGATCTCCTCACTCTTTCACCATTTTCAGGACTCTTCAGATCCTGATTAGCTTTAGATTTCAAACTACTTTTTGTGTTCGGGTGAGCCTCTTCATTTTTCTGAGCATACAAGAGGTCATAAACATCTTTAAGGTAGGCGCGTACTTCTGAGTCGGTCCGGAGATCATCGATATCAATATTATCTGCTACCTTATTGGCTACTGACCCATTTTCATGGGTCGCGTTGATCTTTGTTGCATTTAAGTTTTTGTGCTGAACCGAAGACTCCTGGAGCTTTCCTTCACGCAGAGGAAGCCCAGAGAGGATATCGGAAATCATTTCGAAAAGCTCGGAGTCGTAAGGGATGCTCTTTTTACTTTTGATCTCTTCAACGAGGGTTTTGAGTTCATCGGCCATTTCACTTTTTGCAAGTTTCAACGTGTGCTTGTTAGGTGTGTCTGGAGGTGGGATATTATCAACAGATCGCCCACAGCGTTTTTTGTTGAACGTGTTACCGTTGTACCAACAACAAAGACGAGGCAGAGCTCCGTAGTATTCTTCATCTGTAATGATCTCCTCTGAAGAGGAATCAGTCTCGTCTGAATCAGTCTGTAAACAGAAATAAATTATTTAGAAAAAAGAAAATAACTGAATCGCAATAACTATATCGCGAGACATTTTTGCTAATTGGCTCGTATTTGAATTTATTGCTGAAATAGGAACCGGTGTGGCTAAGGTAGCATTTCTGTATTGCTAAAGATGAAACTTGCAATTGAAGTGGAAAATTAGTAGAAAAAATTTTGCTAAAAAAGCAAAGTAATAACTTGCGAGAATTGCAAAATGAGATTGCTAACTTCTCTACAATTTTGCGAAAATCGCAAAATGAGATTGATAAATTTCTAAAATTTTGCGATTTTTGCGAGATTACAATATTTATACATCATTTGGCCAGTAATTACCGATTTTAAACAACCAATAAAATATTCTAAAAGTCAGAAAAGTAGGCAATTCACAATGCAAAAAATTGCGACCTCTTTAAATATTTTTGCAATAAATTTCAACGAGAAGAACCCCTTCAATTGATGAATTCATAACTTTTTGATACAATAGCAATAATTTTACCATCGAACTGCAATTTTGAAACCTGCTCTATTTGAGATTTTTTTGAAAGAACCCCTTCGAACTTTATATTTTGGATGAAAATTGCCCATAAAAATCGAAAAAAATTTCTGTGATCGATGAGCAATTGAGCACTCTCAAGCGCCAAAAATGCAAGACTTCAAAATTGTTGTGCGTGTATTCATCTCATCAAGACGTTTTTCACTCCGAGCGCAATATCTGACCGAAACGCGTTTTGGAATTGTAACCCAGGAAGGCTTAAGACAGCTTTTCAATGAGGTTGCTTTTTACGTAAATATTAAGCTCATAGTTAGAAAAAAAAAACAAAAAAAACTTTTCTGCGAAATGAACTGCTCTGAATCATATTTTAAAAATTTGCGAGAAACATGACTTCTGAGCTTTTAGTCCGTAACGCAAATTTGAAGAGTCAGCGAGCTTACTTTCCATACCAAGTGAAGGCTTCTTCATGTTTTTGTCTCATGAAATGACTTTTTTCTTTATGATCTTTTAAAAAGCGTCTGTAGGTAAGTTGAAAATTCCGTATTTTTGGAATGATTAGCTGAAAATTCTGTTTCAAGAAACAAAACGTAAAATAGTCTTCACTTGAAATGAGTATGAGGCTTGCTGACTCCTACGACTGATTTACGTAACGTACACCAGTGCTCAAAAATTATCTTTCCCGCTGATTTTTAAAGTATCTCAGAATAATTCTTCTCTTAATAAAGATTTCTTTCCACTATGAGCGCATCATTTAACTGAAAAAACCAGCATTGAAAAAATGTCTTAAGCCCCTCTTGATAACATATTCACTGCTCGTCTAGTATTAGACGATGTGCTCGGTGTGAAACACTTGATGGAATACCGTCAGGTTTGGGTAAAATACGCCCTCAGGCCTAAGTTTAGGCAATACAACATTTGATTACGTAGCAAGAGTCTTACTGCCAAAATCATGATTATTCTCGTTAATTGCATAGGCTCAACTCATAGTCCATGCAGTAATTGCCAGATTTCAGAGGGGGTCCAACAAAGGCCCTTATCGCTACCCCTGCTGTCAATTGTGTTGTATTTTCAAGAGTGCAGAGAATTAATTACCTCATCGCTAGATTTTTCTTTTTTCGTTTTTGGTCTCGGTGTAGTTGTGTGTGGAACATCTAGTTTTAGATTTTGTTTAGTAATTTTTGCTTGTGGATTAACGAGGAATGTCTGGAACACACAGAAAAATATTAAATTAAGACAGCAACTCCATGAAAGTTGACTAATAACTTATTGCCATGATTTTTGAAAAACCTAAAAAATTTGCCAAGCTAATTTACGGTGCCTTAAAACAGTTTTGTTCCAATATCAGGAAAAATTGTTGTTGCTGCAGGCAGAGACAGATCCAGCACTTTGGCAACACCGGATTCCCTCCATTTAAAACGGTTTCAGGGCATTCCGTCAACGATTTTTTGTCCGCACACCTGTTTTGTCCGGTAGTTTACGTCCACGCGTGAAATAGGCAACAGTGAATTGGTCCAAGTGTCATATTTTAGTCCGTATGTAAAATTATATTGACAATAATAAAATGAGAAAATTGAGAGAGACGGAAGAGTTGTTGTGGTAACTCATTTTTAAATGAAATGTTACTTCCTCCTTTTGATCAATCTTTTTAAATTGTCATGGGTGAATATTTGGTTTTATTTACATCCTTAAAATTTTCGATGAAAAATAAACCTTATAAATACTTTTTTTTAATGAAAATATTACTTTATTTTAAAAACATTTACATTTTTAAAACGTGGCAAATATTTGTAAAACCTTTTCCAAGCGATGGCATCGATATTAAAGTCAATGAGCAGTAGTTGTGCCGAAAGAAACTAGGCACAAATGAATAAAAGAGGGCAAAACCGAGAAGCACGAAATCTTCGGTTTTAGCCCATTTGTACATCGATCTTTCAGATTGAAATACGTCCTATTTTGAACGTTTGGTTGCGCTCACACCACGCTGCAGCACAGTAAAAGCACAAAATATAAAAAAAAAAATTAATGTGCTTTGAAAATCATTAAATACGACAAGGAAACACCTTAATATTTACAAAACACACATTAAATTTTCCTTTCATATACATATTTTTTATCAATTTAAATTAAAGTAATCCATGCAGAGTGTGCAAACATATAAAAATCATGAGTTGAAAAACGCTGACTCCGCGAGTTTAAATAATAGGCCCTCCGCCCTAGCATAAAGCGGAGCGATGCGACGTGCTGCCAGCACGAAACGCACTGACGCCTACAAACCTAAGCAGATACTTCACGCATTGCGCAATGCTTGAGGTATCCCTTAGGTTTGTAGGCGCCAATGCGCGTTCCGTGCTGGCTAGCTGGCCGCGCCGCAGCGTGTCACGTGTCACGGCGCTTCACTATTTCACGATAGAGGTGTTGTACAGTATTATACGAAATTGAAGGCACTCCACCATACCAACAATAAGAATGACAGGCATCCTTTAAGAGTACGGAACTTTCCTTGCAAAATAAGTGGAGATAAGAGAGATAAAGGAACATTCTTGAGTATGCCGTCAAGAAGATTTTATTTTGAATCAAGAATAAAAATTGGTGAACAAAAGCGGGTTTCTGCTTGATGTAAGTGACTTCCCTTTTTATAAAAGCATCTTTTCTTCTTTAAGAAAACATTATTTTCTTTATTAACTCATAAGGAAATCTTCTCGGCGGTATTGAGGATATTTTTCCTTAAATTAGGTCTTTTTTACATCTAATGATGTTAAAAATCATACTAAACGTTATTAAATACAAATACCAGGACAGTATGTTTTTCGACTACCGCTCTCTTTTGGTTGTCGTCACTCGATTTAATTTGCGAGGGAACTTTGTGCTTTTGAAAGGTGCCATCAATCATGCTACGTTGGGGTGCCTTCGATCTCATATGATACTGTGCAACTCCTCCTTGGCGGAATAGTAGCTTGAAGCGCTGCGGCAAACCAGTACCGAAGCGAAGTTATCATGCACAGGAAAAATATGAGATCCTTTAGCTGAGACAAGTCAAAAGGTTTTCCTGTTCAGGTATAAAATATGGGATTTTCTTGAGAGATAATTAAGTCCTGTTTTACCAAAGAGGTGTAGAGAGTTTTAGTGAATTTTCTCTCACGGAAATGACGCAATAGCAAATAGCACAGCATACACGCCCACGAGTAAGTAGCAATACCCTTAAAATCAACAATCTCAATTTCTGAACACCAAAATGTCATTTTATTTACATTATTCAAAGCGCAACGATTGTAAGCCTCGGTGTACAAAAATCGCTGGGGAAAGCTAATTGTAATCTATTACCTACGTAATTTTTGTGTAGAATCCGAAATTTGTTTTGAATATTTCTCTGCAAAAAGCTGTCAAATAGCGCAAAACTGCCGCAAAGTAAGCTTCCTCGCGCAATTTGACAACTTTGGCTAGGTAAACTTTTCAAAACAAAATGCAAATTCGAAGTCAGCGTGAAAAACATCTAGCTTACTTTCTGTATAGAGGGTTCTGTAGCCATTGTAAAGGCCCTCATTTCTTTTTTCCTGGATTGGCTGTCGATCGGTCGCGCGCTTTAGAAGTGCTGTAACTCGTGATCAAATCATTTCCCCCGGGTCAAATTAAGTGAGGTAACTACAGAATTTTGTGCTAAAAACTGTTGCGATCACAGGATAGACACTGGTTCCCCATAAAAATTATAGATGCACGTATTTTTGCCAAACGAAACTATGTTCATTATGACGTGAGCCCTGTTATGCATGCATTCTTATGGGTCTCAGGGCTCTAGTCTTCATGCACACAGTTCCGTTTGGCAGAGATACGCGTCCAGATTCGCAAAAAGGCCGGCACTATTCACGTGTTATGATGAGAGAACTCTTACATGCGCCAGGAATTTTTAATTTAAGTACTGGTAACTATGTAAAATTTTGCGAGAAACACGATGATGCCGCTGATTATCTCTGAAATCAATTTCCAAGCTCAAAAAAGCTCTCAAAGTTGAGGCCGTAAAAGAGGGAATATCCCGCGCTCTCTTGAGAGTACATCTCTACATCAAGTCAAACTCTTCATGCTAAGACGGTGTACAAATACATTAAAAAGGTTGCCTTTTCGTTTGGGGACTCCAAAACTAAAAACTTTGTAAACTTGCCAATGTATTTGCCCCCTCCCTATCTTATTTGCATGCGGCGAGTTTGACTTGATCTACAGGTGGACTTTCAGACTAGCGTGCGATATTCTCTCCATCACGGCCTCAACTTTGAGCCCTGAGTTTTGGAGTTCGTTTCAGAGATAACCAGCGGCACCATCCTGTTTCTCGCGAAATTTTACAAGTACCAAAATACTTAAATCGCAAATCCCCCACACATGAACTCCATTAACACCGAAGTTCGTGATAGCTGAACTGCGTTTAAGGGAGTTTTTCAGTTTTTTTTTCTTTTTTCGAAATTAGTATTTTGATGGTAGATGAATCTTAAAACTCATTTATGCGGCCAAATCAAAGTAGTCAAGAATCGAGATATGAGTATTACTTGTTTCGCGGTCATTTTTCAGTGATGCGGTGAAAATAGATTGAAGTTTACCTGGATTGATTCACCATCCTTAACCGTGAGCACCAAAACATAGCAAATTGTTGTCACACACACTCCGAAAAATTGCGTCCTCATCGTTGGAAGGCACGGATTCTATCTGACTACCTGAGAAACACAATACTACAATTGCACATACTTAATCGACTGTAACTCTTGGCGCCAAAAACTAGTTGCATCGACTCAAAAACTGTTCCGTTTTCGGGCTTCGTAATCAGCCACGGCCGGAATTCTTCGGGTTCCGGAAAACGGTCTCTTTGGGCCAAATTTTTCCATAAAAGCGCTAATTTCCGAGAGATGGATAAGGAAAAATCGAATTATAATGCTGATCTGGCGACTGCCATCGCTTTTCCGAGGTATATTTGTAAGATAAGGCGATGTTTAGTTTTCCGGACTGAGCGTTGGTCACGGCGCGGCCTCGGCCACTTGAATTATCTGCTTTTTTTTTGAATGGTCACATCTCAGACAACTTCCGATTCACATCACTCTTATCAATTGAAGCAAAATTTTCGGGGATTCATTCTTTATTTCTACCAAAATCTCCTCAGAAGCTATGGGAATTCTCAACATTGCTTACGTTATCTGCTATACGTTATCTGGCAAATCTACGGCTAATGTCGGAAAATGTGCGTCTCCGATTCTTGCTCATGCTCTGTTACTTTAAACGTTTCACATATTTTCCTTGAGATTTTCTGAGCATTTTTTCGTCCTTCCTAAAATACATCCACAAAGAATTTGAAGGAGATATTTTGCTATTTCCTTTTAAACAAATACAACATTATTGGGAATTTTCCAATGCTGCTCTAGAGACGCATACATTCTTTTAATTTAGCCATCGAGGTTCACATTTGCGGAGAACATAATATAGAATTTGAGTTGAGACTTGCAAAAAGCAGTATCAGGTCTACCAACTTTTGCAAAAACGTATGCTGTTACCCAACATAGTACAAAGAGAATTATAAATTTCACCTTGTTTTTAAGTTGGGAGTCTCTGTGATAGGATTTTTCGATGGAGAAATAAAACAGAAATTAAGTAAAATCACAAAAAAAAAAAAAATATGACCAGGTCAAAATAGTTTTTTTGTGATTGTTCTTCAATGAAGAGAGATTTTACGAAGGTCACGTGAAACTTTCAATACTTTTTAATATTCCTGAATGTTATTGTCTCAAAGTATTGACAGACATGCAAAATATATTGGCGCTACGAATTCTTGATAATTCTTCTTTAATTCATTGAGAGTAAACCTATCAATGGCTAACGACGGAACCGATTGCCTTTCTCATTTAATTTTCCATTAAGGGTTTATTATTTCGATTTTATAAAACTTATTTTATTTTTCACTTCACTAATGTCTGTTTGTATGTGTTTTGCAAGCTCAATTGTTGATCAGTTTAGAGGCCAGGGTGCGTTTCCCCTTGTGCGTCCTGTAAACATACTGAAAAAATTCTGAAATTTTGTTTTCAAAAGAGTTTTTCCCTGAAACGTCTTGGAAAAGTAAAAATCAGTTTTGAAGTGACATTTTCTTGGAAAAATTGCTAGTCCGTATTAGGACGTAACAACAATATGTATAACATACCAAGACCGGAGATTTTGGTAGTAATTACTTTCTTCCTCTTTGACGATTGGAAGCATTAAGTTCTATGGAAAAACAGTTGTTGCAAACGAATTTTTCTCCTATAAAAAGAGGGGAAAATGATTTAAATATAATTTTCTTTACATTTATTCTAAAATAAATATATGCACTTAAGGCGTGGGGAAGAAATCAAGTCAAAACGGTAAATATTCCATAAAGTATATTCAATAATAACTAATTAATTCAAAGTATAAAAGTAAAAAATTGAAATTATCAAAACCCATAAGGTGAGAGTACTTTTGCGAGTTTTTTTCTTCGTCTGATGAACTCCCAGTATCAGCAGGTGCAGAATTTTCATAATCAATCCTATAAATAGACTTAAGTGTTCATAGGGTCATTATCATAGTCATTCCTAAAACGTTAAAGTCCCTTCAGCCATTGCGACTCCTACGGCTTAAGGAGGGTTTAACATTTCAGGAGCGAGTATGAATACGACCCATATCTTAGGATTTTAGAATGGAGAAATTGCATGCCATATTGATTGCGGTGCGTTTATATTTTCCCATATAATATTTCGTGACAGACACAATGGTGCCACACACTTGTTTCTGAAACGATCCCTCAAGCTCAAAAAAAGCTTGCGAAGTTGAGACCGTATTTGAGGGAATCGCTTACCTTGTGAGAGAGTACCACCTCTGTATCCATGCATAGTTATGGAACGAATACATTAGCAGGGTTGCCATGGTTATAGCCTTCGAGTCGCCTTCCTAAAGCGGCAACCCTTCTCTTGTATTTGCTTCCTATCTGTGCATGGATAGTTTGACTAAATGTAGAAAAGGACTCCTCTCGTAATGGAAGCAATCCGCTTAAATATGGCCTCAACTTTGAAAGCTTTTTTTGAGTTCGAGAGTTCATTTTAAAGAAATCCAATGGCACCATTGTGTTTTTTTTTAATGTTGGCTCAAATACATGTCTTAATGCTGCTACCAACATTGCTCAACAACTGCTGCAACATTGGTCAAAACAAAATATATTTGAATACTTTTTTCAATTGATAATAACAACTTTGGTACGCACTTCGTTGACTAGGTAGGGATGTTTGGAAAAAACAGAAAAAAAATTACATTCCTACCTACTTAACCAGTGCCTACCAAAGTTGTCATTGCTAATTGAACCGCAAAGGAACCAAGCCACATCAGCTATTGCCAAATTCAATTGAGCAATTTAATTTTTTACACGAAAACGGTTGTGCGGATTTTTGTGCAAATTTCAGTGAAAATTCTCCATAGTTTGAAGCCAATTCCCTAAAAATTTTAAAGAAATCCGCACACAAATTCTCTCGTAAAAAATTTAATTGCCCAGTTAAATTTGGCAATAGCTGATGTGGCTTGGTTCCTTTCTGTTAAACTCGGTCCAATTGAAAAATGTGTTTAAATATAGTTTTCTGACTCTAAAGATTCTGACGATGGCAATCGTGTCGAAAGACTTCAACCAAAAATTGCAATTAAATAAAACAGTTTTTATGTAAGTTTATTCTTGCACATTGTTTATCACTTTGCCTACATTCCCACTTATTAAGTTTCCGAAGGTGGAGGGTGGAAGACGTCTCAGATAATCGCCTATCCCCCTAAAATCCCATCAAATTTGCCTCACCCAAAAATTCTCGTTTAATTCTTCCGGCGAGGGGCGGATAGGCGTGGAGCTCCTATGTAAATTCTTGAAAAAAGNTTTATGGAAGCTTCAAAATGCGTCCGATTAGTTGTATACATTCTAAAATTTCTCGGGGGATGCCCCTCGGACCCCCCCCCCCCCCTCCGTGCTTGGGGCTCGGACCTTAAAACTGGTACCAGGGCCCGAGATGGGATGTGGCGAGCCTGCATGCAAAATATATTGGCGCTACGAATTCTTGATAATTCTTCTTTAATTCATTGAGAGTAAACCTATCAATGGCTAACGACGGAACCGATTGCCTTTCTCATTTAATTTTCCATTAAGGGTTTATTATTTCGATTTTATAAAACTTATTTTATTTTTCACTTCACTAATGTCTGTTTGTATGTGTTTTGCAAGCTCAATTGTTGATCAGTTTAGAGGCGAGGGTGCGTTTCCCCTTGTGCGTCCTGTAAACATACTGAAAAAATTCTGAAATTTTGTTTTCAAAAGAGTTTTTTCCTGAAACGTCTTGGAAATGTAAAAATCAGTTTTGAAGTGACATTTTCTTAGAAAAATTGCTAGTCCGTATTAGGACGTAACAACAATATGTATAACATACCAAGACCGGAGATTTTGGTGGTAATTATTACTTTCTTCCTCTTTGACAATTGGAAGCATTAAGTTCTATGGAAAAACAGTTGTTGCAAACTGATTTTTCTCCCATAAGAAGAGGGAAAAATGATTTAAATATAATTTTCTTTACATTTATTCTAAAATAAATATATGCACTTAAGGCGTGGGAAATAAATCAAGTCAAAACGGTAAATATTCCATAAAGTATATTCAATAATATCTAATTAATTCAAAGTATAAAAGTAAAAAATTGAAATTATATAAACCCATAAGGTGAGAGTGCTTTTGCAAGTTTTTTTTTCTTCGTCTGATGAACTCCCAACATCAGCAGGTGTAGAATTTTCATAATCAATCCTATAAATAGACTTAAGTGTTCATAGGGTCATTATCATAGTCATTCCTAAAACGTTAAAGGCCCTTCAGCCATTGCGACTCCTATGGCTTAAGGATAGGGTTTAACATTTTAGAAGAGAGTATGAATACGACCCACACCTTAGGATTTTAGAATGGAGATATTGCATGCCGCATAGATTTGTAATGCAATTATATTTTCCCATACAATATTTCATGACAGACACATTGGTACCACTAATTTTTTTCTGAAAAGATCCCTCAAGCTCAAAAAAAGCTTTCAAACTTGAGACCGTATTTGAGGGGATCACTTACGTTGTAAGACAGTCTACCTTTGTATCCATTACATGTTATGGAACGAATACATTAGCAGGGTTGCCATGGTTGTAGCCTCAGAGTCTCCTTTCCTAAAGCTGCAACCCCTCTCTTGTATTTGCTTCCTATCTGTGCATGTATAGTTTGACTAAATGTAGAAAGGGACTCCTCTCGTAACGAAGACAATCCGCTTAAATATGGCCTCAACTTTGAAAGCTTTTTTTGAGTTTGGGAGTTCATTTTAAAGAAATCCAGTGGCACCATTGTGTTTTTTTTTAATGTTGGCTCAAATACATGTCTTAATGCTGCTACCAACATTGAGAAGACGCTCACGAAATTTCACACATGATAAGGTGCTAAAACCTCAAATCCTCGTGGCATACAAAAGCTCCATCTCCTAAGTTCCCAAACCATTTTTTATAACATACCGCTTGTAGAACTTAATTAACTTAATGGATAGAAATGTAGCAAAAGTGCTAAAAAATGTGCAAGAATTAACTTTCATAGACATTTTTTGATTTAATTGCAATTTTTGGTCGAAGCTTTTCGGCACAATTGCCATAGTCAGGACCTTCAGAGTCAAAACAAAATATATTTAAATACTTTTTTCAATTAATAATGACAACTTTGGTACGCACTTCGTTGACTAGGTAGGAAGGTTTGGAAAAAAAAAGAAAAAAAGTACATTCCTACCTAGTCAACACAGTGCCTGCCAAAATTGTCATTGCTAATTGGACCGCGTTAAACAGAAAGGAACCAAGCCACATCAGCTATTGCCAAATTTAATTGAGCAATTTAATTTTTTACGTGAAAACAATTGTGCGGATTTTTGTGCAAATTTCAGTAAAAATTTTCATAGTTTGAAGCAAATTCCTTAAAAATGTTAAAGGAATCTGCACAAAAATTCTCTCGTAAAAAATTTAAAAAATCTCGTAAAAAGTTAAATTTGGCAATAGCTGTGTTCCTTTCCATTAAACTCGGTCTGATTGAAAAATATGTTTATGTATAGTTTTCCGACTCTAACGATTCTGACGATGGCAATCGTGTCGAAAGACTTCAACCAAAAATTGCAATTAAATAAAACAGTTTTTATGTAAGTTTTTTCTTGTACATTGTTTAGCACTTTGCCTACATTCCCCCTTAAGATCCTGAAGGTGGAGGGTGGAAGACGTCTCAGATAATCGCCTACATCATCTCCCTAAAATCCCATCAAATTTGCCTTACCCAAAAATTCTCGTTTAATTCTTCCGGCGAGGGGCGGATAGGCGTGGAGCTCCTATGTAAATTCTTGAAAAAAGTTGCGGGGCTTTCAAGACGCTCTTCCACCTCGGCTCCCGCCATCCCTCTCGGTTTCCTGTCAGGGTGTAACGCGAAGTTAGCGCTCGGTGAATCCACAAGCGGCTTTTTCAAAGAGTAGAATAGGTCCTCTGGGATCGCGTTAGTTTTCAGGCGCTGAAGTTTCTTCCTCGCCTCCAGGCTGCTCCCCGGGACGGCCCGTTGTTTTCGCTGCTGGAATGCTGTTGCCGATTCGTGACTCCGATGGAAATTCGAGAGGGAGGCCACATCGACGCCGGGATTTTCCAACAAATTCAGGGCCTCGTTCACACTCCTCTTCCCTATCGCAACTTTGACTCCTCTAAAATCATTCTCCCAAACACGATGCTGAAGATCACTTCCTACGCTTCGTCTAGTCCGTTTTACCACCGGGTCATAGACAAGCTCGTTAAAAGGATGATTCCAGGCGTAAAGGAGCTCCCCTGGAGATGCTTCGATGCTTTTCTTGAATCTTTTACCTGGAGTTTCGGCAGGTGTAATGACCCGAAATTGGCTCAACTTTGGTTGCGCTGCGACTTGTCTCCCCACCGCACGCTTATCATGATGATACCTCTTGTATGGTCTTTTTTCGTTCGACTTTTTCACTCTTTTGACTGGTTTTGACTGCGTAGATTTTGAGCCTGCCATTTGGGTGGCGGTGTGTGTTGGTGAGCCTCCAGGGATTGGACTCCTAGGCACGATATTTTTAGAGTTGGTCTTACCATTTAAATCATTTTTTCTCGGACCGGAGAAATATTTGTCGTCACTGGATCGCTTGACTGGGCTTGTCTTTGGCTGTGGAGGTTTTGCAGCTACCGTGCGAGAATTTTGAGGATTTTGAATGATGGCAGCTTTAGTTTGGCCATTTTTAACGGCTGCGTTTTTTATACTCTGTGCATGAGGATTTTGAGCAGCAACATTGGGTCTTATAGCACTAGAACTGACAGGATTTTGCGATGTAGCTGCGTTGGGTTTTGCAGCTAATGTTTGTGAGCCACTTCCATTCACTTTTTTACCCTCAGGAGGAGGGGTAATTTTTGAATTTAAAGTTTTTGAAGTGCTTCCATTCGTTAGTCCATGGGATGAAGCAGTTTGCATGGGTGAGGCGGTTTTGGGACTTGTCAAATTCTCCGATTTGTTAGAACTTTGAGCTTGTTTTGGTTTGGAGTTCAAGTTATTTTTGTCGCTCTGATCACCCAAAACATGATTTGTTGGTTTTACTGTTGATACACTTTTAAAGTTTGTAGAGCTTAATGGTTTCCCTGCTTGTTCGGATTTTTGGGACACATTTTCAATACCAACCGAAAGTTTATTCTTGTGCGGACTTGTTTGCTTAGCTTCGGGGGGTGACTGCAGGACAGCTTGCATTGGTTTGTCTCTTACTGCTGATTGCGTCGTCTTTTGAACCGGAGCTTTTGGCGGGACCGATCTTTTGAGATTTTTGCCGCTGGTTTTCGGGGCTTGAAACGATTTACTCAAATGCGGATCTTTTGGGCCAGCCATTTTAGAGGTAGCCACGTCCTTGGAAACTTTGCCAGCCTGTGACTGCTTCGGTGGTGAATTTGCGACATCGGCTTGATTTTGACTGCCTTTCTGCGGTTGTTTCGAGGGAGAACCTTTTGCGTTTGCTGGTTCCGTATGTTTTTGAGACGTAGTATGCGCAACTTTTGACGGAGCGTTTTTAGAGGCTTCAACGTTTGCCAAGGGTTTTTGATCTGCTTTTTGGCTGTTATTTTGTTGAATTTTTTGACTAGAATTCGCCGTATTGAAATTTGACTCCCTTAAATTTTGAGGATTCTTGCCCCCTTGATGATTGTTATCACTTTTTGTGTGAGGAGAGAAACACAATGTATTATCGGCAGGGATTGGGGGTTTAATTGGAGGGGGCGGAGGGGTGGAGGGCGCAGTTTTTGCTTTGTCCACGACGGCGCTGCCAACTTGACCACTCTTTAATGCGTTTGAGGGCTTATGATCATAGTGCGTTGACACAATACTAGAACCCTTTAATATTGGTTTTTGGGTCGGAATACCAGGTTTCGCCTCCAGATGGTCCTGCAACAAGGTTTAAAAGAAAAAATTAATAAACCATTACGTTCTCTTGCCAGTTCTTTCCTTAACTAAAGCCAGTCCTTTCCTGTCTTGCCTTGCTGTTAAGCGGCGGCTCATTTATGTGTAAATTTTAACTTATGTTTTTTGTTTTTTTCGGCGGTTGAAAAAGGGAATGTGGACCCCGAAACGTCCCGTCTAAATTATTTTTATTTACAGCCTGTACCCCGTGTTCCTCTAATTTCATTTTCCTTAACTAAACGTGCATTTATACATAAGAGCCGTCCCTATATTGCGTTGTACAAGACATCGGATTTTCGGACCCTCCTCTCCGTCCAATCATTCACCCGTAGCAGAAACCTATAAACCCTCTAAAAAATAGACGTCACCGGCACACAGCGGATCGAGTCAATAGGAGAGGTCGGACAAAATTTGAAACTTTAAAAGCTCATAATTCCCGTTTATACAAAACTTTGAGGTTCTAAAAGTGGTTCCACTGATTACCTCGTGAAATCTTCCACTAGAAGCACCCCTAAAAATTTAAAGTATGACAAAATGAACATCAAAATTTGCAGTTTTAGTCAAAAATTTCATGTCCGATTCCTGTGATGGACTCGATCCACAGTGCAGTGGTGGTGGTGGTTATCTTGGATTTCAGGAGGGCACAAGGGTCTCTAATTTTTAAAGTTAAAAACTTGACTTTTTTAAAAAAAAAAAAAAAAAAAAAAAAAAAAAAAAAAAAAAAAACGAATTCGTAGCAAACGCAGCCCTGGAAGAAATTAATTTGGTGAACATTTTTCGGGATTTCACTTCACAAATTAAGCTAAGAGAGATGGATTGTATCCATATGAAAGACACGTTGTTGTGAGGAGAAATAGGCGTGCTCCATGCCGGGGCGGAGAAAAATTGACAAAACTACTGCGCGCAACTATTCGTGCTCCAAAGCCGCGCACATTGCCATCGCAGTTATTGAAGGCGAACTCGATAAGATGACATACACGCAGTGAGGGGATAAACGAGTGTCTCTTGCCAGAGAAAATGACTGAACTACTGCGCGCAACGAATTTTACTCCCAATGGAACACCGCGAGCATAATTTCGTAGCATCCACTACAATAAGCAGGGTCGTACTAGGAGTAGAGGACAATTTAAATCTGAAAATGATGAATTTGCATGATATTGTAACATTAAAATATATTCACGATTTTTCGACACAAATCATGTACCGGAACCAATCAATTTTGTTAGTCATTATTAAATAAAGAAAACTTGTATACACTTACTTGGTAACACAAAAAAATGTAGAAAACTACAATTGCTTTCATTTTTGCAATATTATTTTTATTTTCCGATAGTATGAGCTGGAGATTTCTTAGGGTAATTAACGATGTATTCACATTGAATTATTGAATATCCATGAAGTCTCCACAGAACAATGACCTTAAACTTTTAAGCATACTGTCACTAACCACCAAAAGAAAGATTTTTTTTAAACCAGAAAATGCATTCACTGAATTAAACTGAGCATAAATTCTAAGCGAGGACAACGAAGTCCTGACGGTTTAATTCTCAAACAGGATTTCATCTCTGACTGAAACAGATTAGCTATCTTCCAAGAGAGTGTATATTCACCATGTAAAGTTTATTTGTCGCCAGGGGAAATCAAAACAATAATATTGAGGGTGACTAGCCTCATTGGCAATGCAATTCCTATTTTCAGTGACACAAAATTTGTTTTAAAATTCTATTATTTGGTTTCCAGTCTTTTCTCTCGTAGTTGTCCTCGTTGCTTTTGTCCAAATTTTGATTTCCAAGCATTTTGATTCGCTGAATGAACTCCTTCTGTGGTAGCGTGGTAGCAAAGCCACCTCCAATGATCTGGGCTGTGTAGGTTCGCACTGTCGTGTCGAAATGACGGTCAAAAATATGTCCATCATTTCGACGACGAATTCCTCTGTCTAAATCCAAAATGTCAAATGTCTGATGGTTCTGGAATGATCCTGGTTCATGACTGATCAGTTCCTTTGAGGAGAAATTATTTTAATGCATGATTTCAAGTAGAATTAAGTGGTAAAGTAGAGAGTAAAGTTTGTCACTGAAATGGCAAAAGCCCACATTTTCGCACCAGCATACTTCTGAAACCAATATAAGGTTGAAAAATAGCTCGCTGGAAGTATGAAAATTGAACTCTACTAGGTTTTCGTTTAGAAACTGTTTGGATCAATCTTGTTCGTGAAACCTTGGAGGAAAAGTATAAATTAATATGACAAAAAATAAAAAATGGCGACAAAACTTCTGTCTCTTTAGCTGAAAACGACCCTTGAGAGCAGTCATGGCTCATCTTAAATACACATATTAGAGTACCTACCGGTGGAAGGACCGAGAAAAATTCAGCCCAGGACTTTTAGGAAACCATTATTCCGGATTACTGGTGGTTGATGACAAGAGCGCTGAAAATACTGGTGTCGAGTTCCAAAACGCATTTATTATCACAGTATTTTCAATCATAATGATACCTACCCAGGTCTGATCCACACCGGGATATCACTGCACACTAAACCAGAGATTGTACCTGGTCAAATTCACGGGTTCACCTTTGTTGGGCATGTTTTCCTGATGATTGTCATTTCCAGAGCCCGTGTCAGGTAGCTCTGCTCGACGTATCTCATTGATCGCGTTCAAGGCGACGAGTAAACGTCCATAATTCATAAATATGGAGCCCAAAAAGTAAATCATTTCATTTCCGTAATGACCCGAGATATTGTAACGCTAGTTAAGAAAGTAGTGGCAGAGTTCAGTGTTTGGTAGTGCTGAGGAAAGTCAAAGTGCAGCTAGCCCACCCCCCCCCTTTTTTTTATTGGTTGGTGACTATTATGGCCGCACATGGCGAGCACAGTGACCACAAGAAATTAAGCCCGTAAATTCACTTAAACTGAGTTTTTTTTTTTTAATTCGAGGAGTAATTTTGCCATTTTTTTATATAATACATAATAATAATTAAAAAATATCCATATACTAAAAGAGAAATCGAATTAAACATTTAAATTTGACGCACATGGCTCTTATAAATATGATTTGTTTGATCAAGGTACATCATCAACGTTGATCAAAACCGAAGAGTTATTAGGGGTATTACTAAGTCAATTTGTTAATTCTTGATAATTGAAAAATGATGATATAGGAGGCGAAGAGATTTCACCTTCGCAAGGAGTTGGATTTCGAATCTTAAAATGATAGAATTTATACTTGAATCTTTTCTCATCAAAACCTGATCAAGGAAACTAAACAGAACTTGTGCTTTCCTGATTGATATTTTCATTTCACTACTGAGTATAATCATCTAAAAAGTTAGGCTTTTCAGCGATTCGTTCAATAATGATTCTTCGCGGGACCCTCCTATCGATTTAATATCTAGAAAAAAACTGGGTTCACAATTTTAAAGGGTAAAACAAGCTACCGAAGATGATCTCTGTCAAACTGAAGTGTGTGTGCCTGATATGGTACATGGGGATAGCTGCAGTGATTCAGGGTCAGGTGAGCGATTTTATACATTTGGTTTGTTTTCTATTAACATTCATTCAACTGAAAAGCGATTAATTCTTAATTCTTAGTTCTTGACGATTACATTATCTTTGCGTGGAAAATTATGTATCTATTATTTATTTTAATTATTCATTTATTTTTTATCAGATTTTCAACGTTACGAGGAAATAGAGAGATTCTTAGTGGGAGTTAGGTATACGACGCTATTACTACCTCACATAAAGCGGAATTAAGCATCTGATTTTTTCTGATGAAAACAGAGTGATTCAACATTTTAAAACGCCAGGCTGTAGGAGCGTGTTCTATTGGTCAAAACAAGACTTTCTTCCATAAATTGGTTTTCAGATGTTGCTTTTTAAGGAGACTACAGCCACCCCCTCCCAGTTTTTTTTTAACAAAGTCTTCTTTCCTATATTTTGGGAAAGGTAATGCACCAATTCTCAAAAGAATTGGTAAAATTCCATAATTTGATACGCTGAATTCATTCTTGACTTTGAAAAAATATCGAAATATCAGTTAGAACTGGGGTTTCGGAGGATCGATACAAAAATACTTTAATCTCACTATCATTGTTTACTACATCCCTCGTTAAAATTGACAGTAGAATCCGTGTTCCAAAATACCATAGACCTACAGCCGGCGGTAAGATTTCCAATAGCTTCTAAAGCCGGCAACACAATTTCTTATAGCCTTTTATAGCCAATGACGATTAAGCAACAGCCTGGCGATAAAGTGTATGCTAAACGTTATTACTAATTACGAATGTCAGGACTTAGTGAGTTTTTGGACTACCGCTCTCTTTTTGGGCCGCAGTATCTTGATTTAATTTGCGTGGAAAGCTCCGTACTTTTGAGGGATGCCTGCCATTCCTAATATGTTGGAGTGCCTTCAATTTTGTATGATACTGTGCAATATGTACCTCTGGTGTGAAATAGTTGCTTCAAGCGCCGCGGTACGCTGCGGCGCGGCGCGGCGGGCGGGCAGCCAGCGCTGAACGCGCATTGGCGCCTACAAACCTAACAGGGATACTTCACGCATTGTGCAATTCGTGAAGTATCCCTGTTAGGTTTGTAGGCGCCAGTGCGCCGCTGCTCCGCTTTGTGTTAGGCTCTAATATTTAATCTCGCTGAGTCAGCGTTTTTCAACTCATGACTTTGAAATGTTTGCACACTCTGTATGGATTATTCTCATTTTAATTGATGAAAAAAAAATATGTAGTAAAGGAAAATATAATGTGCGTTTTGTAGATATTAAGGTGATTCCGTACAAACTTAGGGATTTACAAAGCACAAGAATTTCTACACAATTTCTTATAGCCTTTTATAGCCGATGGCGAAAAAGCAACAGCCAGGCTCCTACGGTATTTTGAAACGCAGCTCCTATCGCCAATTTTTACCGGGGATAATGTAAAATGGTGGAGCTTGGAGGACGAGGCGCATAAGTGCAGTTTTTGCTGTTTCGAGAAATAAGTGTTTGAAGGTTCGAAATTATATGGATCCTTATGGAGAAAAGATAGTCCAAACTGACTTTTTAATGCTTAAACAATTGTAATTTGGAGGCGAATTTTTATAGAATATGCATTAAGACTAGTTTTACTTGAAATTATTAATATCTCACATTTTCAAAAACTGCACGTATGTGCCTTCGCCTGCAAGTTCCGTAATGGAAGTTCTCTTCCATACCAAAGGTATAAGATATAATGTCATTTTTATTTTTATTTTTCAGTCAGTATCAGACTTTCCCACGTCAAAAAAGTGTGTCAATCCAAGGGAACAGAGTAACGAAGAGAACTCCTGGCAGTCCTTAAAAAGCTTCGAAAACTCGTTGCGCTCAGAAAATGATCTAATTTCATCCTCCGAATCCTCGAATGCACACAGCCTTATGATCGCCTTAAATAAGAGGATTCCCTCTCAAGAAAAACCGATTTCGCGGCTTCGGCTTGGAAAATTACCCCACAAAAGACTAAAGACAGCTCAAACATGTAAAACTGCGCTGTCTCTACCACTCAGAACTCAACAACCCATGCTGATCGAGATTCTTGATCAAACAAATCAACATCTCTCCAAAAATACGCACGGAGCTTTTAATGAGCCGATGAAATACGATATTCCTTTGAAAGGTTCCCAAGGCTTTGAATCGGATGATAAGAAAGCTCAGAGATCAGAGAGCTCAAGTACAGGAGCCAACGAGATACCAACCGTTGAAGAGCCTCCAAAACGTTTACACCGAAGATGGGAAGCAACGCCAAAAACCAATTTCGATAGAACCACCGTCGAAAACTACTTCCTCGAACTGTGTTCGGAAAAAAAAGCTGAAGGGGACGTAATTCATACGGTGGTCAACACTCCACACTCTAGAGATGTGGACAGGTCAGAGGTGGGTCCTGAATGTGATTTGAAAGCATGGAATCCAGAAGTACATCCAGATCAAAATTCTTTTAAAATCCCAATTACGAATTATGGCATTTGTCAAACTATCGATCCCCAAAATTCTTATGAAGATGTGCGAAAGTGCGGCACCCCTTTTCAAAACTTACTAAACTCTCAAAAGGAAAATATACCGAGCCACACACCTCTGTCAGATACTGTGGGTCGTGTGTTCGCTCCACGCGATATCGGGATGGAAAGTCAGCCTTTTACTTTCAATAAGCAGACCTTTTGCGATTCCATTTTGAAGCTTGAAGGAACTGACCCTCTAGAGGGCCCTACGCTTAAACTTCAGCGCTCCAGCCAGTTTATCCCGATCTGTCCGGAAGTACACAACATCACAGAGATATATTGGGAGCTGTGCAAAGACTGCGTGAGTGACGATGAGTTTTTCGAGGAGCTGAAGAAACAAAACTGGACGGAGGATATTTTGAAGCTACAAGGTTTTCCCCAAAATCCCACTTTCCAATCCCGAGACCCCATCCCAACGAGCAGTCTGGAGACTCTTTGGCATCGACCATCTGAAGCTGTAAAACCTCTTCCCCATGAGGCGTGGCAACCATCGTCCGTGGTAACTCAACCGGTCGGGAACGAGATTAAACCGTTGTCACATGGATGGGGTCAGCTTCCAACCAGTATCAGTGCCCGAGATGTAACCGATCTGAATAACTATTTTATTCCCCTGGAATCGCGAACCTACCCCCCTGGTTTGTGCGTTCCGGCCAACCCGAACAACATCAACAGCAGCAGCAGCAGCAGCAACAACAACAACAACAACAACAACAACAACAACAACAACAACAACAACAACAACAACAACAACAATACTAGCCAGGAAGTCAAGCCTTTCCCTGTCAGGAGTATGTTCCAGCCAGCAAAAGGGTTTGACCATGCTCGCGGTGACCACGACAACATCATTAACCGACAACTGGCAACCACTCCAAAAGTTTTCATTCCTCCGGATATTCGTAGGCCCGAAATCAAAATTATGACATCGAATTTTTCCCCGGATGCCCACACAAGTGAGAAGCAGAATGTCCACGAAAAACACGAGAAGGGAGGGAAAATAAGCTCAGAGGAGGAACCTGTGATCGGGGTAGAGTTTTTTTCGGCGTTCAACCAGGTGACGAAAACGAAAATCCTTCAGGCGCAGAAAGTCGAGAGGGATGGAGACATCATCTTGCTGCCAATAACCAGGGGTGAGAAAAGCAAAGATGGGAAAGAAGGGGCACGAGAAGTGGAGGTGCATTTGACGACTTTTAATTGCACAAAGCGGGACACTCCAGAGAACCTGCGGATGGAAAAGGTCAACCTGAAAGAGCTGCACAAGGGCGAGACTTGGCCTCACCTCACTTATCTTAAGCTCATACCACTATCAGAGTCCTTTGATCAGGAGCTTTTGCAGCGAGATAAGTCCGAGGAGGTGGCAGAGCTTCTCAAAACCAGTATCACCACCGACATCAAGCCCATTAATCAGACTGAAGCTGGAGAATAGTGTAAACTTGTAAATATATTAATGTGTTCCGGAAATGCCTCTGGTTTTTGCTCATTTGCCTTTTCCTGGAAATTTTTCTCATCCTAAGGATATGAGGGCACAAGCATGTCAAGACACCCCCGTTCAAAGATTTTCATGTTAATCGTAAATGGTAGGCATCCCAAAACTGGATATTTTGGTAATTTTGACACCTTTTACCGCACCAACTTCCCTTTAAAGCCCCCAAAACCCTTTTTTGCGCCTGTGGAGTATTTTCAGTTTCTTATCTCATATCATCTGTGTTATAGGCAATACTAAACAAAATTAAATAAAAAAGTGTGAGTTTTTTTTAAAAAAAATATTCTCAGTCATTAGAGACGATTAGGGGTCCAGAATGCACATACATAAGCAGGATTTAAAAAAGGAAATACCTAACTCTCATTCTATAGGACCAAATCAAATGGGTTGCATTTATTACGTTTTGTAAGTATTTCTGGTTTGTGTTTTTAAAATGAGCCAAAAATTTCCGAATTAAAGTCTGGATTTTACATTTCATATTATATCCAATTACTTACTCAGGATCAGGGCCGGATTAAAGGGGGTGGCCACATGGGCCACGGCCTATGGCGGCAAATCTAAAGGACGGCAAAAATTTGCAATTTTTTAAAGTGTAGGTACATAAAAAAATTCAGATTTATAAAAACGAAATTACAAACGAGAAAAGGCGACAAAATCTCTCATTTCCTGAGAGTACAGTAATTTCTAATTTTTTCGTATTTTAGTGATACAAGAGACAGCGCCCTCAATAAGTCGAGTTACGAAAGAAACCAAGCACGCAATTTGCCCTAGAACGGCGCGACTTAGAGAGTAATTATAACGAGGTTTTGAGATGAAAAGGAGAAGCCCTCGGCGCGGCGACCGGCATGTAATTCGTATTAGCGCCTACAAGACTGCACGAATACTTCACGCATTGCATCAAACACAGTGCGGCCATTGCGGTCAGCGTGAAACGCATAGCGCCTACAAGACTGCGTGAATTGCGCCGCGTGGCGCGGCGGCGCCACGCAGTTGAACGTTGAAGTTGAACGCAGTTGTCATTGAACCACATTTATGTTTGTTCTTTCATAATTTTTTCGTTCATTTCTTATGAATGGAAGGCCTTGTCCACACAGAGATAGGTTTACGGGACTTAACTTTCGCGCAAAGTTTCGTGAACTTTTGCTAGTAGTGTTGACAGGGCTCTCCCAAAAATGTGCTCAACACGAGTAAATGCGTCTTATGCACCCCACCCCCTCTGGCATGTTCATTTGATGGTTTTTATCGAGTTTCAAAACGAATGAGAAGGGGGCGGCAAAATATAGGCGGCCCATTGGCGGCAAATAGGTGAATCCGGTCCTGCTCAGGATACCGTACTTTCTTTGTTGACAATAATTATTGCTACCCGCGTCAAAAAAAAGAACGCAACTTTACAGGGCCTCCTCCTCAAGGTGTTGAAAACTTTTCACCGGTGCAAATAGATAGATCATATTTCACCAGCGATTAATTGTCCTCTGTCGGTTGATAGAGTGAGAAATAGGTAACGTGCCGTATTTGGCAACAAAATCTGTGCACGAAAAATAAATACAGTTTACTTTTTACGAAAACAAACTCCAAAGAGTGTACCTGCCCAACGCTACAAATCAAGTTCGTCCAATGTTTACGTCGCGTGCGCTAATGCAGCACCATGCAGGAGGTGTTTTAGAAAAGTTAAGGTCAGTAAATCAAGTGCTCCGACTTGCTTCATCTTTCGATAAGTGTGATGTGTCTTTTCGGGAAAAATGTGCGTGCGGTGTTTTATCAGACTGCTGGTCTTAAGTGTTATTATAATCTCCAGGGTAAGTTTTTGTAAATTACTTTAATCATCATAATTGTTGCGATTGATTTTCCAAAAACTGGCAAAAGTGTAACCTCAAACTACTCAAAACTGTCGTTACTGAGCAAAAACTCTAACATTAATGTTAGAGTTTTTTACAGGATTTTACATGAAAAATATTTAGATATTCTTCATGTAAAATTTTGAGGGAAGTCTTGCTTAATAGTTTCATTTTTACGTCGCAATTCATAATCTCGGGGGCAGCAACTTACTAATTCCACAAGCTTCGCATTTTCCGAGCAAAGGGTTTCACCGGAAGTAGCATCTGGTATTTTAAAATATCACAAAGTGAGGTGAGGCAACAGGGCGGTGTGGCAGAGAATTCTAAAGGCCGCAACTCGAGAATTGTTACATGATAATTTTTACATTGATAAAAGATGCTGACGTTAATCTTGAATTTACCCCAGGGATCTTCATTCATTTTATAAGTACACTGGAAAAAAACTGGTTGTAGAAGCCATGCTTACGTGCTATATAGACATACCGTCCACGGACTGGACTCATAGACCGAAAGTTCCGAGTGTAGCACTCAGGGCAGTCGAAGCGACGGCTTCAGCAGCCGGAACTTTCGGTTTCTGAGCCCGGAACCGACGGTATGTCTATAAAGCCCGTAAATATATTGCGGAGACTCTCGTAATCAATACTCAATATATATGAACTTACATATAAAACACAATCAATCAAGATATACGGAGCAAAATAAGTATCCAAAAACAAATAAAACAAATTGGTCACGTGGATGACGCGATCAGACACTAGAAACCGGATATCCGGTAGATGTCTTGTTCTGATGCCATTTTTAGGGATTCCGGATGCAGCTAGATAGATGTGATGGCCGGACACCCGGGACCGGAAATCGATCTCACAGATGACGCAATCGGGTACTAACCGGATATTGTCCAGATTGATGTCGACGTCGGACACAAATTTTAATGAAACCGGAAATCTGCCTTTTCAGAAAGTTTTGGCAAAGCGTAGGCTATCCCAGGAACCGACGCAAGCCTGTCTGGGCCTCGAGCAAAATCTCAATCAACAAAATTATTTTACTTTTGCCGGCAGAAAGGTAATACAAATGGAAACTTTTGTGATTCTGGGAGGCCCTACCGGGCCCCAGGGCTGGAGTCCCGGCAACCTCCCCCCCCCCCCCTATGTGGGAGGCCTGATCTACATGCACGCATATCCTGTTTTACTCCCTGGAAAAATTCTACGTTCAGCCGTAGTGTAGATCCAACCAAGATCCGGTTTCCAGTATCGGACCACTGTTACCCGACCGATATTTGGTATCCATCAAATAATGTATTTTCCAGTGGCATCTTTCTAGACAATATCCGGTTTACAGTAACCTATCGCGTCACCGTGAGATCGATTTCCGGCTGCCACATGTATCAAACCAATATCCGGAAACCCAAAAAAATCGACACCAGGCTGCGACATCTATCCAGACAATATCCGGTTCCCGGTGTCTGATCGTGTCATGCATGAGGCCGATTTCCGGTTTTCACTATCCGATCGTCATCAGAGACACCGCAATCACACGCTGAATGTGGGAGCTGAATGTGGTTTGAATGTGGAAGTCATCGGCCCGATGCCTGAATTTTGCGCGCGACGCGCAAAAGTCAGCAACGATTCTCAGCAACCATCGGACCAATTTTGAATTTGTCTGAACAATTCGAGTAGATTTAATACACATCTGGATGAAAATAACTCGAATTTGCTAAATTTCAGCCGTTGGGCGATGACTGTTGACTTCCACATTCAGCTGCTAAATTCAGCGTCTGATTGCGGCATAAGACCAATTTCTGTTCTCTGGAATCCAGCCGCCTTTGAGGCCGGAAATGGTCCTGGTATGTTTTCAGCGCCTGCTCCATTTTCAGGAAATTGGCTTTTCCAAATTACGCGTTTTTCAGTTCGGAAAAAAACCCTCTTTTGGAAAACTTGATTTTTCGAAGGTGCTGGAAAAAAATGCAGTTCATTTAGCTTTGGTTGCAAAAATTGGGCAGAAGTTATCCCATTAAACGCCTGAGAGAATTTTTTCCTCTTCCTTCTCCGAAGAAAAACATTTAGATGAGCTTTACATGATGGTTTATCGGCGGAAGGGGTCATTTGACTGGAAAAACTTCTATGTCAGATACAGAGGAGAAAATTTAATAGACATGCAATAAATGATTTCCCATAAATTTTAGCTACTCCATCCAAAAATGTCCTTGCTTTTCCTCTATCATGTAAATACATTTCCCTAAAAAATGAATTTTCTCTGATTTATATGCTTAATTGATAGGGAAAATTTCAATCTATTGTGGTGAAAAAAGACCAATCAGGTTAGTTATCAAGGTCCGACTGAGTGATTTCCATTCGCGTTTGCTCTCATTTGAACTAATCAGCTAGTCAAGTGCATCGCAAGACCCCAGACTAAAGTACTTACCGAAAAAGAGGAAAGTTGGGTTAACATTCTTAATGTAAAGAAAAAGTGCGAGAACTTATAAAATGCTGAATTATCCGCTACATAAGTTAGTTTTAGAACTTGGCATTGCTAAAGTTACTGCTGTAGCGGGTAATCCAGCATTTTATAAGTTCTCGCACACGTTTTTTACATCTAGAATGTGGTATCAGCTTCACTTTTTTTCGATGCATTTATAGGGAGTGTAAGGTCAATGCTTCTCACAAAGACTCTTAGGTTAAAAAAAAAATGACGGCTAGTTTAGGTGAGAGTAGGTGGGAGCGGGTGTGAAAGCGTTATTGCCAACCTTTGACGTTCACTACTTGTTACCAACCTTTGAATTATCTACACACGTGTGGATCCTTCAGTTGCCATACTCTGTCTGTAAGGTACTCATAGAGTATATAGAGTCGTAATGTAAATGGGAGAGCTGGCGCCATGTTCTGCTCGACGAATTCCGAGCCCGGTGTGCGCCGAGTTCGGGTCGCTTTTTCGATACATTTTCGATCCAAAATGGCGGTGTGGAATACGTGGTAATTCCTATCTCCTCTGTTGTTGTTGTTGTTGTCATCGGATGGCCGGGTACCCGTGTATCGCAAACAATCGATTATGTATCGAAAAAGTGACCCGGCGTCACACAGGAGTCTCGGAATTCGGGACATGGAAAATGCTTAAAAGTGGCGCCAGCTCTCTCAATTACATTACGACTCTATGTACTCTATGAAGGTACTTTACCCTAGACGACATGAAAACGCTGTCTGAATCTATGAGGGAGGTATGGGCATGGCACCAAAGAGTAATCCTCGTGCTATCTGCCATCTGCAGCCGCAGCTGAGCAACAGCCAAGATGAAATAAAAAACACAGCCGAAAGATTGGATAATCTAGCTGTCGAAGAGTTAAAAAAAATCTGGATGTAACTACCCGTTTTAAGGAAAACGCTCGAAAAAATTGATTGTTGGGCAGTATTGGAGATGTACACTCATCCAGACGCAACTACTCGCGAAAAAGAAAACAGCTGAGAAAAAATTGATTACACAGCAATTTTTGGTCGACGAGTATTAGTCACTCATTTACTGAAAAAAATCATGTCTGTAATTGATCAGCTGTAATGGGAAAACTTCCTTTCACTGTTTCTCAACTTCACATTTTTTGTCTTGAAGATGAATTCGAGGCCGTTCTCATTTATGGCCGGATTTTTCGCAGCCTATATATGTCATGAGGTTGCCTCATTTCAATTGCGATTCTCCATGCTCTGTGCGGCCTGTATTATACACATTAATTGGACAAGTCTCTGCCAAACGGAACTATGTGCATTATAACGTGAGCCCTGTTATGTTCATATTCTTATGGGTCTCAGGGCTCGTTTCTTCATGCACATAGTTCCGTTTGGCAGAAATACGTCCAATTACTTTGTTCGTTAAAGCGGACCGATCATTAAAAACTGGTGAGAAAGCTTCGTCTAGTTGTCTTATCGGTTCGACAAAAAGTCAACTAGGCCTTAAATTTGTTGTAAGCGTTAATCTTAAACTTTTTTATCAATGAAAAAGCTAATTAGAAATATTTAATAGCAATTATATTTGGACTGCATTTTGCAATTTGGACTTATAAATTCTGGCTCATCTGAATAAACACTTATGTGCATAGGGAAACTAATGACACATACGTTGTTTTTAAACCGGGCCGAAACTTATAGTTCCTAATTGCAAAATGTAGTCCATTTTTCTTTTTAGCAATCGTAGGGGCCAAGGGGCAAAGGAACCTCCCTCGGAAAATTTTTAAATCTTAGCCCCTAAAGACAGCCCATTTTAGCACATATAATATAAATTGGATGTATTTCTGCCAAACGAAACTATGTGCATTGAGACACGAGCGCTGAGACCCATGAGAGTATATGCCTAGAACAGGTCTCACGTCATAATGCACATAGCTCCGTTTGGCAGAAATACATGCATGTGGACCTATAGTAGAAAGGAATACCACGCCATATTCTCGGAAAATCAGGAGCAATTTGAAATGAGGCTATTCCTGAAGTTAGATTTGTGATGAAACTATGACCCAAAATTGTCAGTACTATTTAAAATTATTCGTCACCTCAAAGAGTCCTGTTCATTTTTCAAACTTCAAGCTTTTCAAAGCTAAATCACGCTTTAAAAGGTACTACAGGCTTTTAGAGATGCGAATATGAGAAAAATTAGTATATCTTGCGTATCTGTTCATCTGAGTTTATTCAGATTTTAGTCGATTTGAATGAGGTTTGTGGTCATGATATTCATAGTCGTTTACTGAAACGTTAAGACCTACTTACCCTCAGCCGTAAGACTTGCATTGGTTAAGGAAGTCTTGAGGAAAGACTGTGAATACGGCCCTTAAAACCTCCATATTGTAATGGAATTCCTGATTACTGCTCTGGGAGAATTTGGATGTAATACATCTGAAAATGCCAAATGCTTTGAAAGCCTGAGCTGGTGACGGATATTGATACTACATTAACTGACTATAGTTTCTCCGCATGCACTGATTTTAAAAAAGGGTACACGGACTTTATGTCCACTTTTTTTACGTCCACAGACTTTTCGTCCACAATTTTTACGTCCACAGTTCTAAAGCCCACACTATTGTTAAGTCCATTACTTAAACGTCTACTAAGTTAAGTCCACAAATGTAAAATCCACTAAAATCAAATTCAAGCGTCATATTTTAGTCCGTGTTCAAAATTATATTGACAATATCGAAATGAGAAAATTAAGAGAGAATGAGGTGTTGTTATCGTAACTCAAATTTTAAATGAAATGTTAATTTCTTCTTTTGATTCATCTTTTCAAATTGTCTTTGGTAAATACTTGGTTTCATCCTGTCCTTGAAATTTCCGATATAAAATATGCCTTAAATGTACATTCTTTTTTTAATGAAATTGATTACTTCATTTTAAAAACATTTACATTTTTAAAACGTGGTAAATATTTATAAAACCTTTTCCAAGCAATGGCATCGATATGAATCTCAATGAGCCGTAGTTGTGATGAAAGAATCTATACAAAAATTCATAAAAGAGGAAAAAACTAAGAAGCACGCAATTTTTTGTTTTTAACTTATTTGTACATCGACCTTCTTGAGTCGAATTTGTCCAATTTTGAGCGTTTAGTTGCGCTTACACCACGCTGCAGCACAGTAAAAGCCCAAAACATAAAAGAATAAATTTGAATGCTTTGGAAATAATTAAATTTGACACGGAACGACCATTATATTTACAAAAAACACATTATATTTTCCAGTAGTACATATTTCTTTTGCATCAGTTTAAAAGGGAATAATCAATGCAGATAGTGCAAACATTTCAAAATCATGAGATGAAAAATGCTGACTCTGTGAGTTTAAATATTAGAGCCAAACACAGAGCGGAGCGGCGTGATAGCAGCGCAGAACGCGCACTGGCGCCTACAAACCTAACGGGATACTTTACGCGTTGCGCGACGCGTGAAGTATCCCGTTAGGTTTGTAGGCGCCTATGCGCGTGTCACGCTGGTTGCCTGCCGCGCCGCAACGATTTAAGCAACTATTTCGCGTCAGAGGCGTTGCACGTATCCTACAAGATTGAAGGCGCACGAAATAACTAGTTAAAAAGGACTTTCATTTTGACTGCATCTGTTACTGAAAAATGTTTAATTTGGCATTGGAGCGTTTCTTAGGCTCCCGCTTTGGTTTTCATCTTATCATATCCGTACAGTGTACACATGAACATATGTTTTTATCTGCTCTTAGAGTCTGTTCTCTTTCATGACTTGATTATTCACGAATGAAATGTTTTTAAGAATGAAGGAACTCTTCACCTCTCTTAATTTAAAAATCTAAATTTTCGTATGTACTCCCATTTTCAAAATTCTCTGTAAAGATGTTAATAGCCTGTGACGTTGAACGTCTTAAAATATACTAACTAACTAGTAGTAGTATGCATTTATTTTTGAGGTGTTTCCTGTCATTTAAATGAGAAGAAAAAAATGTGGACATAACATGTCCACAATTTGGACAATTTTGGACATATTCATGGTTGGACATTAAATCATGTGGACTTAATAAAGACTGGACTTAACGTTTAGTGGACATAAATAGCGGTGGACATTTATTTAATGGACGAATGGTAGGTGGACATAAAGTCCTGGAAGCTAAAAAAGGGCCTAGAGGATAAGTGCATTTTTTGAAGGAATTGAGATATTTTATGATTTCAAGTAAAACTAGTCATCATGCATATTTTGTGTGAGATTCGCTACCAAATTCCAATTTTCAAGCATTAAAAATCAGTTTGAACTTTAATTCCGCCATGAGGATCCATGTAATTTTGAAACCTTAAACACGTATTTCTCCAATTAAAAAGCTGAACTTATGCACCTTGTACTCCAAGCCCTTCAAATGGGTAAACTAAATTGAAAAAATGCGGTTATGAATTTTTACATACACGGAAAAAAATGTCAGGGGTTATCCCCTAAAATTATGGTACTACCCCAATTTGTTGGATGATATGGACATTTCTAATCAATTGTATTATAGCCGCAACTCAAGTTTGGATAGTACCGCAACATTTGGGTTAGTTACCTAATTTATCGGGCGGTAAGACTACCATAATTAATTGGGGTACTGGTACCACCATAATTAACTGGGGCACTACCACAATTAATTGGAAATTTCCAAATCATCCAACAACCTCATGCTCTTTTTTTCCGTGTATATTTGGATTACATCTTTCAAAAAGGAACCGAGAACATTCTAATGTTGCTAGGATTGTGCAAATTACATTCGTTGCAGTAAACTTACCGAAATCACGCAACAAATCAAATTCACAAAGGTAATTTTCGTCTTGAATTTATAGTTTATTGGGAGTAAATCTAAAATTGTTTTCGATGACCAGCTTACCTACGTTTGCAAGGGGGAAAAAGTTGCACAATCTTAGCAACATTGGAATGCTCTTGGTTCCTTCTTGCAAAATGCAATCAGTTTTAACCTTGGGACGAAACTAATGGTGAAAAAACATTTTTGTTCACAGAATCAAGCATGCAGTCACTGTACATCGAAACATCTCGCTTCAGCGAACCCGAAATACGCTTTGAGTTCCAAGTCGATGCCCGGAAAAGATCTTGGCGTGAGCTATCAGAAGAAGTACGCAGATAATGGAAAGTATCTGACCGGTAGTAAATCACCTTATGCCAAACTCAGCAGAGTTAACTCCGACCTGGATTATGAGCACGACGATTTGCGAGGAATGCGACGAGAAAGTGTTGTGGGACGCAAAAGGAGCTCAACTGAGTGGAGTGGATACGGTTCGAACGAGGCTCATTATGACTCATTTTCCAGTGCGAAAAAATTGCAGAAAAGTCGTTCTGGTGGTGATTCTGGGATTGGTATAGATAAGATTCGTTCCTACCTCCTGGAGCAACAAAAAAATCGTTTGGGGCCCGTGTCCGTTGAAACCAGTCGAGAAAAGACCAGTCCATACGTTGGGGCGGATCGAAATAGAGACCATTCCTACTGGGAAACATCTCGCTCTCGCACTGAAGCAAACCCGGACAGGATTGCCTCCAATTTGGAACCGGTTAAGGTTGGTCAAAAAAAGAGTGGATATGGAACCGTCGATCAAATGGGTAGTCGGACACAGATGAGTAAAGACAAGAATTTCAAAATCACATTTGCCGATTCTGAAGAGTACCAGCCTCCGGTAAAAAATAAGCAGTATCAAAATGGTTTTGATCAGGGGTTGGGTCAGAAAAAGTATCGAATATCGGAAGGGTCGGATGAGCAGGATGAGAATATATTGCAAACGCTGGGCGAGAAGGAATATAAAGGCTACAGGAAATCGGATGTCATGGAGAAAGGCACTCTTGGTAAGTCATCTCGCCAATATGAATCCAAACAAAGGCAATTAGAAGCAGAACTCAGCAAAGAATTGAATTATAGAAAGAGTTTAGTCGATGAGCCCATCGAGAGAGAAGACACCTTTGAGGATAATATACTAGGAGCGATTCCTAAGAAATCTACGGCTGTACCTCTAGAAGATGTAGATGATTATTTAACCGACTCGGAGGCCGAAAACATTTTAGACAATTTAGAATACGATCCGCACGATGTGAGGAGTCCAAACGAACATTTGCCAGTTCGAGAATCCAAAGGGAGCAGTGAAATAAATTACAGAGACTTCCTGCAGCAAGTCGAGAAAGTTTACAAGATTTTGAGAAATTCAGTCGCACGTGAAGCCAAAAATTCGGACGACCCTGATCCCTACATTTCGAGCCCGGGGAACAGAGTCAACCTCCCCTACTCGAAGGACCAACTGGAAACTCAAAGTCTGCAGAGCTCAGTGTCCAAACGTCCTACCGGTGACAAAAGACGGGGAAATTATTATGATTATGAATTAGAGGAATACCCTGATAAGCCAAAGAAACTAGGATCGGACTGGGAGGCAGGATCAGGATCTGATTTCAGGAAACAAGGTGACATCCGGAATTCCAGGCCCTATCCCGAAAGTTATTACTCGAACCCGGAAACAGACACAGACTTGAGATACACCAATAGCAACTATCGAAAATCTGAAGTTAGTCGTGAGCCGCCTGTGATCAAAAGCTCAAAGCGCAGACCGGTAGCTCAGGAATACTCGAGGCCCAGGGCAGAATACAGTTCTCAACGGAGTCCCAAGTATAGTACAAACCCCGAATCCCTACAGGCAACAGGTTTGTCACGCCAAGTTGCCACGGGGAAAGAGTATTCAGAATCGGACTATCCGGAACATACCAGGAGGGGATATCCGCACCAGGACAACTTAGCTTCTCCGAGATGCAAATTTGAGGACTTGAACCCTTCGAAGGAGGCTGTTTCCGACGAGGAGGACCGAAATATTCAGTTCCGGAGTTCTCAGCGGAAGTCTGGCAACAAAGCAGGCACTTATGACCTCGGCGCCACCGGAAACCAAAACATCAACAAGAACGTAAACGCCGCCAGACAAGACCAAAACATCGCTGAAGAAAGCTTGAAACCGGCGATGTACGAAGGCCAGCTTAATGAAATGACCGAGCCGACACGCGTGGGGAATTCAAAGCAGGACCGAAATTCACCAGACTCGAATACGAAATCTGAAAATGTATATGGCATCACAGGCAGCAAATCACCTGTTGATGCCACGAGTAACATACATTCAGAACCTAATGAAAAAATGTCGTATAGTCCAACTGATAAAAAAGCAACGGGGGAAACATTAAATCAAGGGGACTACTCTCAAACTGCGTCAGATATTACCGCGCACCCCCGCATTTCATCGAATCTTGATGATTCGAAATTAACAGAAATTCAAAGCTCTCTCAAAGCGGATTGGGAGGAAATTACGGGTGAAGCTCAGTGCAAAACAGGAACGTGTGCGAAGTCCAAAGCGGTTGTCACCCCTGATCAATTCCAAGACGGAAAAACGGAAAAAAATGAGACTGAAGGAGAAAGCGAGACTGGTGCTTCTGATAAAGCAGGATGTGGTGACCTTTTCCGCTGCCTGGCGGAAATGGGTCAGACGTGGATCACGCAGAACAAACCGGAAACGGAAACGAAAGCGACGGATGAAGTTGGTGCTGTTAAGCGTGTTTTGCAGACAAGCCCAGTCATAGGAACCAGAAATGAAGCCCCGAATAGTCATGGTTTTGCACGGGATGCTGCCAGCGGTGGGACCAGCGATGTCAGTTTAATCGGAAGTCCAAATGCTGCGAAAGCATCTGCTTCGAACTACGTTCAGGATCATCCTTTTTACGAATTAGTCACCAGTATTATAGACGCAGCACAAGAAGCGACTAAACGACGTCTTGTGGAAGAAAAGCGTGCCAAGTTGACGTATCATCCTGAGAAGACGGTCCAGGCTCCACATGTCCCGACCGAAAGTCAGAGACCGCCAGAATTTCCGAGTGCGGCTCAAAAAGTTGGCGTAGGGATGAAACTTGCCAGTGCGCCGGGAAATAAAAAATCAGTGGGAAAGTCGATTCCCTCGGTCGGGAGTGGGAAGGGGGCTACCTCCGAAAAACGAATGATCGGGAACGGGAAAACGAAAAACATCATCGGAAATCCTAAACTCGGCAAGTCTGGGGCTGTCGGAAATGATTTCTGGAGCAAGCTGAAGATGTCTGTACCGCAAAAAAGTTCAAACGTGGCACAGGGAAAGAAATCAGTGAAACCGGAAATCACCGGCAAAGCTAAGAGTGTCGGTAGCTCTGGACCGAGTAAGGACACGGGGCCGTCATCGAAAAGCGACAAAAATGTGGGGAAAGTTGGAGCTGTAAGAAAAGTTACTTTTACACCGGTGAGCCTAAAAGCACCGGTTACCCAAGTTACAGCTGCCCCAACTTCCAGTCCAAAAGTCGAGCAGAAAAGTCAAGCCGATTCTAACGCCCAAAGTCAGAGGAATGACCCTAAAACTGTCGGAGTGCCATCGAAGAGTCGAAGTCCTGTGTCAAAAGTACAGAATGCGTCTCCCACCACGTCATCTTCGGGCTCTAACGTCAAACGATACCCTGCTAGCGGATGAATGCAACAAGCAAATCATCTCAGAAGATAGGCGATACAACGGAAAGGTAGGTCATGCATGCCGCAGAGTCTAGATTTTAAAATGCTCAATCTGCTCTACTGCATTTCACTGCATTTTTTTAAAAATACTGGAAGAGCTTGGAGTACAAGGCACACAAATGCAGTTTTTAAAAAATCAAGATATTGATCGTTTCAATTAAAATTAGTCTTAAAACATAGTCAGAGAAAAGACTCACTCCGAAATTCCAATTTTTAAGCACCAAAAAGTGAGTTTGAACTTTCTTTCCGTCATAAAGCTCCATCATAATTTTAGGACTTAAAAGCACGTATTTCTTAAAGTAACAAAAACTGCATTCATGCAGCCTGTCCTCCAGACTCCTTAATTGATCGTACTTAACAAACAATTATAAATCAATGCGTTCGTCTTGATACTCGAAGAGTAACTCAAATCAAATCATATTTAAAAAAAAAAAAAAAAAAAAAAAAAAAAATCATGCGTAGGTAGTTTTTCTAAAAAAAAAAAACGCGTTATTTTTACCTTGGAGTTTCCATAAACTCATTTTTTTACAATTGATCATTTAATTGCTTCCGTAGTAAGAAATCGATTAATGTTACCCAGGCAATTTTCAACTGTTGAAACATCCCTCGCCGAAACACATGACAGTTATCTAAACTGTCAGTTAAATGCCGAGAAAACATGTTCAACTGAAATAAATTATGAAATTTCCTTCACTCGACCTTACGAAATATTCTTATTCAAAATTGGCAATTTTGAACCTCAGGAACGAATAAGCCGGTATTCGGTGCTCTTATCACAGTTTTGGAGTTTCTAATTTTGAAAATGGGACTGTAAATTCAGATTTTTTATTTAAAAATACTTCAGAATGCCAGTTTGCATTCAAATCGGTTCGAGATCCAAATATTGTTTTAAGCTACATCCGTCATTTTGGATTTTCGAATTTTTAAAAGAACCTGTCCAAAAAAAGTTATTCTTATGCTCTTTTTGGAGCATCAAATTTTGTCCAAATGAGTTTAAACAAAACCTCATCGATGGCCATGATGCGAAGCCACGTACATTCACTGCGGTGTTTCGAAATCCCCGCTCCAATTTTATTATTTCGAGGTGAATCTAGTCAACCTCGTAGCTTGAAATTTCGAACAAGAAATTTCTGCTAATATAGAAAGAAAATCGAGAAAATTTTCGAGAAATGACGTCGGCTAGTTTTTTAAAGAATCAATGAAGCATGACAGGAAGTCTGCAACGTCGCAAAGAAAGACACGTCCGGTTTTACACTTTGGCCATCGTTATGATGAGTTACTCCCTCGTTGAAAGTTTTAAATTTAACAAAAAACTCTACTTGGCAGTATACAGCATTGCAAATTTTACATTTTTATCATTAAAAAATGGTAAAAATTTGAGGTTCATCAGTTATAAAAAACAACTTGAATTGATCCCTTTGCATTTTCTGAGGCGAAGAATTAACAGTTGATATGTGACTCGGCATTAAATCTTGCTTTTGAATCAACGATTTAAAAAATTATCGCGATTTAGCGTTGCAAAGTTTACACTGTGTCCCTGACTACTGATAGGTTTTTTTCTCGGTTATTTTTGGTCGGACGAAGTTGGAGGTTGAATGAGGAATTGGCCCCGCAGGATGCTGGAAGGGGGAGGGGGGACGGTTCAAAAGCATAAAATTCGAATTCTTTGGGGTCAACTCCTAATTCTATCCCCAGGCTTCAACTTTGTTCGACTGAAAATAACCCAGAAAAAAGCGTTGGATCTGGGGCACCGGACACCCTGTATAAAAACTTTGCAACGCTGCTCCCTGTAACTCGCCCATTCTCTTGATCTCTATGTCAACGACGGTCTTCGCGTCAAGAACATTAGTTGATGATACTGTTCCTTAGAAAGTGTAAAGGCATCACTAAAGTGTTTTTTTTTTTCTTTCTTTCTTTTTTCTTCTTTTTTACTGAGAGACCTAAAATATAAGTATTTTTTAGTGGTAAAAAAGTAAATTTTGGAACACTTTTTCGCTCAATCAAAAAGTTTTAGTGGATGATTGTCTCATTAAAAGGCTTCGGCTAGGAGACCTTTTAATGAAATTCCTAAGGCTCCAAAATAGGCAGTTTTTGGACTGTCGACGTGTTTAGGCGGAGGGAGGAGGCTATCAAAGGAAGAGAGGTTTGGTTCTTGTTTTTATTCTTTTTCACACAGATCATGCTGCCATGGAGTAAAATTCACGCGAAAAATACATACAAATGAAATCCCAAATAAGCTCCGAAAAACTCCAGCATATCACTACTCTTTCGTGACTACAGCCTTGCCATATTCGTAATGTGAGCGCAATGTAAAGTTGTTTATATTTTTGTTTGCAGTGTGGTCTACGAACAAGCTAAGCAAGTACCCAGACAAGTATAAGGAGTTTGCATCAATGCGCCGACGAGGTTGTTCTTTATCATTTGGAGAAAATATCGTTATTCGCCGCCGATTATATCGGTAAATGTACTTTACAGTAAGTTTGCAACAAGATGTCGAAGCAAGTTTGCAGCAAGGTGGTGTATCAAACTCACTAAATATTATCGTAAGCTTACTGCACCCTTGCTATAAAATTCTTATTCGAAACTATTCTTTATGTAATGGTAAGCTAGCAGCAAGAATTAATTTGCCTGGGGCAAACCAAAAATTACCTTGTTTTACAGCTGAAAATTGAGCTTAGAAATTCTTTGCATCCAGCCTCAAACATTATCGGAGTAAAAATTGTATCGATGTCTTATTGGAAGTTTGACGTTGGCTGCTTGTCAAACATAAATCCAACTATCTTTCTGCAAGAGCAAGGAAAATTGTCCCGCTTTTCGTAAAATTGCAGAAAACTTGCAGCAAACTAACGATTGCAAACTTATTCGCCAAGCTGTTTGAAATATTCTAACAAGATTCATTTTTGTTCAGCAAACTCTCTGCAAGTTTTATGTACCTACCTACGTTGCTTATTTTGTAAGATTGCAAAACACTGTTAGTGAGATTCCAATCTAACCCTAAAAATCGTCTCTCTCCCAATCTTTTTATTCTATTGAGAAACGCAGTTTAATGGTGAGACCTCAATCATACATGAACCTAGCTGCAAGTCGGTGTGCTAACTAGGTTTCAGCATCGTATCTCACAGTCATGATTAACACAAATTGATAATCACAGTGTATTAGGACGTAGACGTTATCGCTTTCATAGATAGTTTTCTAATGCGAAGTTCCGTTTTCTAATTTTTATATCAGTACATCAATTTCATCGGACAAAACCGTTATTGGGCTTTGTTCTCGCTGGTGAAATGAATGTATAACCGCGATATGACCTCTGGATGCAATGCAGACCAATCATTGACGCTAAAAACTATGAGCCAAAAACTAAATAATTAGAAACTATGACTGCGCTCGAGAGTCTTAGCCTGCCCCTACTCTCACTGGACCCTGGGACAATCGGTCAAATAAACCGATTACCATACCACTTAGTTTATATTAACATTGGATTTTTTTTTATCAGAAATAACAAATAGGACTGAATTAAGTTATTTTGGATCTATTGTCCATATCTTTTCTACTTTTTTATTAATACATTTTGTAAAAACTTTTCACGATGTTGTTTGTCTTTTTTTGCTGCACCAATTCTATCCAACATAGATATTTATCCACCCCGATCCCAAAATTGAAGCAATGCAAAGTAGATAAGTGTGTAATCTTGGAGAAACACGAAAATTTAAAGTGCATCAAATTTATAGCTTAGCGGATAGGAAACGAGAACATTCTAATTTTTACGAAGCTAATTAGGTGATTTTGTGCAGTAGATGAAAAGCCAAAATACAAGGGACAAGAGTCTGACCTCCAGAACACATAATCAGGAGTGTGTGAACAGGCGTCACACATGACACAGGTGAACACATAAGAAGATCGTATTCTACGTAAAATTTAAATAAGAGAACGTATGTTGGACGTACTTAAATCAAAAGGAACCATATCCACTGTGATGTGATGTTCTCATGGATCTCAAGGCCCGAGTCGGAATGTATATAGTTCCTTGTGATGTAAATACGCTCGATTGTTGTTCTCAATTGCGTGCTCTGTCTGTCTAGTGTTGTATTTTAAAGAAAACCTGATAATATGAACAAGTATTTTATGATCACACAGAAATATTATGAATATTACTTTAGGCATTGCAAAAATACTAAACAGAATTAACTTCCGAATCGCTGATTTCCGTTGTTACAAAAAAGTAGTAGTTTCTAAATTCCATTCCGTAAGAAGTATATTGCAAAACGAATATCAAAATGGAACACAACTTATTGTAGAGAAAATTTCAATTTCTTACCATAAAATCACGATATTTTTACATAATTTGGTCAATTGATTCCAAATTTAAACGAGCAATTAAATAAGTCCCTTATACCAGCAAGTGGAAACTTTGCAATGCACAGAAAATTTTAGTTATTTCAATTTGATCGTGATAAATATCAATTAGAGGAGCTCCTTCAATTAATCGATACGCAACAAACATAGCATCTCGATGCTATTGTAATAATCTTACGATGTAATCGCAATTTTTCGAAAACTATGCAGCCAGAAGTAAGAGTGCAATACACCCAGTTCTATTCTGTTAAACTCAATAGCCAAAAGATATTTTGGAGCCGAATAGATTCTATGTACTACTACTTTAGTAAGTTTAGCAGTGTAAAGTTATTTCTACATCATTTGAAAAACAGATCTTACGTCATCTAGGTTAGTCAGAGACGGAGTAGAGAATTATTTAAATTTTATTCGGAACTTAACATCTGAGCATGCAATGGTAACATGTCTGCGTTTCAGAAAATGTTTGGCTTACCTCTACCTTTCATGGTTATTCTAAATTTGCGTAAAACTCCAGCCACCCTGTAGCTACCTACGTATTATTCGCTATTTCTGCCGATTTGGTATGATACTTAGATTAATTTTCTAGAAGTCGGCATTGACATATAGAAAATTAATAGCTCCAAGAATATTACACCATTGATAATGAATACTCAGAAACTTTCTTCAGTACAAATTCAAATTACTGTTGGGTCATGCGCAACCGCGAAACATTCAGTGTTTTGTTTGCTTCTCGTTTTTATTTTTCTTATGTATATTTTTTTAATTAATTTAATTTTTTGACAATGCAAGCGTCGATTGTGAGTTTGTTACGGCATCAAGCAATACAAATTATTCGCAAAACACTACGTTCGATCAACCTTTGGAGGCACCTAAACCTTTAATGAAGAACAACTCCATCAGCCTATTAAAGCACACAATAAAATAACAACTTAATTTATGGAAAGGCTGCACAACAAAACAAAAGATTTGTTGTAAAACAAGTTTTTAAAAAATATCCCGGAACGTTTATAAATTTTTGACAATTCCACCTCTGAAGAATCAGGTCAAAGTACATGATTCTGTTAAATTCTATTTTGAACCTTAATTTCATATAAATCTGCAAATAACAGATTTAAAACAGTAATTCTAAAACCTTGGATCTCAAAGTTCAGCGTTAACTCTTAATGCTCCCGAGACACGAATTTCGGTCATTTTTCGACCATCTTTCCTGACGGATCAAACATTTGATTTTGGCTGTCATTTATAAAAGATACAGTTTTTTAACGGGGTATCAGCTATTAATTTTTTAGATGTGGATTTTCTCTGTACCGATGAAGACAGGCCTGATTTCTTTGCTGATGGTCCCTTTTGAGATGGAAACATTCCCAAAGTTTTGTTTTTCTCTCTCTAACCGTTCAAAAGTTACCAGAGGGGGTACGAACTTCTGAGACACCCTGTATTAATAGTATCTTGTTAATTACAATGTTGGCTAGACTTTCAAACAAAAGCCCGGTTCGAGTCCCGATAGGAGACCTTAATACCACTGTAAATGCCTTTAGGGATTTGTTTACTATGTAATATCAAGAAAATAATTCAGAATAACATCTTTATTTCAATTAAAATATTAATTATGTGTCTTTTAATGCAGAAAATGTACTAATAGACGTTACTTACATTTCTAATCAGCGTGAACCTCAATTGTAAAATAAAACAAGGACCTATCACATTCAAATTAATTTAACGCAGCGTTTTCTTACACTTGAGATAGAAGAAAAAATTCAGAAGAAATTATCCAGTAATTGAAACCGTTGTAGATCTGTGCCTGGTCAAAGTCAATACTTATTAATCGATTTAAAAACATGGTATATTTCTTGGATCATTAATCAATGACGCACCATATCACCATATTGTTTTGAAATATACTATACTTATTTCATTTTTATTCCTAACATGGTGATGGAACTTTCAGTGACAATTCTACCATTGACCATGTTTACAAAATTTTTCGTCATCCTTATCTGGCTCATGTCAAGGTGGATTATCAAACTCTACATTACAATTATTTAAGCACTGTATTTACATTATATTACAACGAATCTGTTCATTATTCCAAATGAAAGTAATCACAATATTAAACATTAAATACAAAAATTACATTTTCTTCGAGATCATCAACAACGTTATTTGGAACAATCGGTTGATCTGTATTGTGGTCTTATTGTGAACATTACCAATCGATGACATCATTATCTGAAGCCGACATTTAGGTATTCTAGGGTTTTTGGAATTAACCTCCCAAATGATTTTTAATTAGAAAGATTAGACCTGGATTGCATGAAAAAATTCAGCAAAGTCGATTATGCTCACCGTCTTCAGTGCCTACTCTACCAAAAAATCAAGGAGTCAGTTAAAAGTTGATGGGTGCAGTAAGACAGAATTTTCTTGAAATGTTATTATGACTTAAAGCGTCGTTAATGGAGTTATTGCATGTGTGAGGGATTTGCGATTTGACTGTTGATTCTTGTGTAAAAGTTCGCGAGAAACACGATGTGGCCACTGGTTTTCTCTGAAATTAACTCCCAAGCTCAAAAAAAGCTCTCAAGTTAATGCCAAAATGGAGGTGGCCACGCTATTCTGAGAGTCCACCTCTACATCAAGACAAACTCTCCATGCAGAGAAAGGGAGCAAATAAATTGACAAAGCTGCCACTTTATTTAGGGACTCCACAACTGAAAACACGGCAACCCTGCTAATGTATTTGCTCCCTATCTTTGCATGGAGAGTTTGTTTTGATGTAGAGGTGGACTCTCAGAGTGGGTGAGATATCCCCTCCATTTTGGCCTCACTTTGAGAGCTTTTTTTGAGCTTGGGAGTTGATTTCAGAGAAAACCAGTGGTACCATCGTGTGTCTCGCGAACTTTTACGTAAGACTCAATGGTCAAATTGCAAATCCCTCACACATGCAACATCTCCATTGTCGACAAAACTTTTTTTTTTTACAGGTAAATCCGTGCGGATTTAAATTAAAGTCAGTGTTTTTTCTTTAGAAACACGTTGCTTTGTTACCGTTAAGTTTAAGTCTAAAAAACTTCTGCAAAATTGAAGTATCGCATATTTGAAGAATTATAAAAAGTTTAAAAAAGTAATGCTCATAAAACATGGATATGTAAATCCGCACTGATTTAAAAAAAAAAAACCTAAATTTTTGTTGATCAGAAACGACACTTTAATTCAAAATAATATCTCAAGTAAAACAATTTCCGTATATTCTTTGGCGGCGGCAGCGGCGGCGGCGGCGGGGGAGGGAGGATAAACCCACCCATATATGGGCATACCTCAGCCAAAAGCTAAAAAACAGTTTTAATCATGGAGTCCACTCAACCATTTATCAAATATTCTGTAGATTTGACAAAGACCGCACTTCTCGCAAGGTAACCGAGCACTCTCTCAGACTCAGTTACTTTCCATTCAAATGAGCACTACTTCCAGCACTAAATGATACATACGAACATTAGCTTCATGATTGGAGCTCCCATAAGACATGCAAATGATAACTTCACCCACATCGTGTTGTATCTCATAATGACTTAAAACGTATCGTAAATTTTGTAATAATGAAGTAAGCATGCATTCGTTTTCGAAACTACCTTTCATTCTTCAAAGAAGGAGACGAAGGAAAGATAGTACGAAACTTTTACCGTATACATTAAAAACTCTCGACATTAGAAGTGTCAATTGCTTGACGAAAGCAATAAATATGGCTGACGTAACAGAGCCCCCGGTTCCCATCCCAATTTCAGTAGGAAACTCCAAATATCACACGTTCCTTAATGCATTAATACAGAGCTGTCCTTTAGGTGATATTACTTGATATTGTATGCTTTAGTGGTCGTTGCCCCTGTAGTTGTTGCCACCGTCTTTGTTGCCTCGGTGGTGGTTGCCTCGGTGGTGGTTGCCTCGGTGGTGGTTGCTTCACTGGTGGTTGCCTCGGTCGTGGTTGCCCCGGTTGTGGTTGTCTCGGTCGTTGTTGCCTCGGTGGTGGTTGCCTCAGTGGTTGTTGCATCGGTGGTGGTTGCCTCGGTCGTGGTTGACTCAGTGGTGGTTGCCTCAGTTGTTGTCGCCTCAGTAGTTGTTGCCTCTGTGGTGGTCGCTTCGGTCGTGGTTGCCTCAGTCGTTGTTGCCTCAGTGGTTGTGGCCTCAGTAGTTGTTGCCTCAGTAGTTGTTGCCTCAGTGGTTGTTGCCTCAGTGGTTGTTGCCTCAGTAGTTGTTGCCTCAGTGGTTGTTGCCTCAGTGGTGGTTGCCTCGGTAGTGGTTGCCTCGGTGGTGGTTGCCTCAGTGGTTGTTGCATCGGTGGTTGTTGCCTCGGTGGTGGTTGCCTCGGTAGTGGTTGCCTCGGTGGTGGTTGCCTCAGTGGTTGTTGCCTCGGTGGTAATTGCCTCGGTAGTGGTTGCCTCAGTCGTAGTTGCCTCCGTCGTGGTTGCCTCGGTCGTGGTTGCCTCGGTCGTGGTTGCCTCGGTTGTTGTTGCCTCGGTAGTTGTTGCCTGGGTGGTGGTTGCTTCGGTCGTGGTTGCCTCAGTCGTGGTTGACTCAGTGGTGGTTGCCTCAGTTGTTGTCGCCTCAGTAGTTGTTGCCTCTGTGGTGGTCGCTTCGGTCGTGGTTGCCTCAGTCGTTGTTGCCTCAGTGGTTGTTGCCTCAGTAGTTGTTGCCTCAGTGGTTGTTGCCTCTGTGGTGGTTGCTTCGGTCGTGGTTGCCTCAGTCGTTGTTGCCTCAGTCGTTGTTGCCTCAGTGGTTGTGGCCTCAGTAGTTGTTGCCTCAGCAGTTGTTGCCTCTGTGGTTGTTGCCTCAGTGGTGGTTGCCTCAGTGGTTGTTGCCTCGGTGGTGGTTGCCTCGGTAGTGGTTGCCTCGGTGGTGGTTGCCTCAGTGGTTGTTGCCTCGGTGGTTGTTGCCTCGGTGGTTGTTGCCTCAGTGGTGGTTGCCTCAGTAGTTGTTGCCTCTGTGGTGGTCGCTTCGGTCGTGGTTGCCTCAGTCGTTGTTGCCTCAGTGATTGTTGCCTCAGGAGTTGTTGCCTCAGTGGTTGTTGCCTCTGTAGTTGTTGCCTCAGTGGTTGTTGCCTCCGTGGTGGTTGCTTCGGTCGTGGTTGCCTCAGTCGTTGTTGCCTCAGTGGTTGTGGCCTCAGTAGTTGTTGCCTCAGCAGTTGTTGCCTCAGTGATTGTTGCCTCAGTAGTTGTTGCCTCAGTGGTTGTTGCCTCCGTGGTGGTTGCTTCGGTCGTGGTTGCCTCAGTCGTTGTTGCCTCAGTGGTTGTGGCCTCAGTAGTTGTTGCCTCAGCAGTTGTTGCCTCTGTGGTTGTTGCCTCAGTAGTTGTTGCCTCAGTGGTTGTTGCCTCCGTGGTGGTTGCTTCGGTCGTGGTTGCCTCAGTCGTTGTTGCCTCAGTGGTTGTGGCCTCAGTAGTTGTTGCCTCAGCAGTTGTTGCCTCTGTGGTTGTTGCCTCAGTGGTGGTTGCCTCAGTGGTTGTTGCCTCGGTGGTGGTTGCCTCGGTCATGGTTGCCTCGGTCGTGGTTGCCTCGGTCGTGGTTGCCTCGGTCGTAGTTGCCTCGGTCGTAGGTGCATCGGTCGTGGTTGCCTCGGTCGTGGTTGCCTCGGTAGTTGTTGCCTCGGTCGTGGTTGCTACGGTCGTGGTTGCCTCAGTTGTTGTTGCCTCAGTAGTTGTTGCTTCAGTGGTTGTTGCCTCGGTGGTGGTTGCCTCGGTAGTGGTTGCCTCAGTCGTAGTTGCATCGGTCGTGGTTGACTCAATGGTGGTTGCCTCAGTTGTTGTGGCCTCAGTTGTTGTGGCCTCAGTTGTTGTGGCCTCAGTTGTTGTGGCCTCAGTGGTTGTTGCCTCAGTAGTTGTTGCCTCAGTAGTTGTTGCCTCTGTGGTTGTTGCCTCGGTGGTGGTTGCCTCAGTTGTTATGGCCTCAGTTGTTGTGGATTCAGAAGTTGTTGCCTCAGTAGTTGTTGCCTCTGTGGTTGTTGCCTCGGTGGTGGTTGCCTCAGTGGTTGTTGCCTCGGTGGTGGTTGCCTCGGTAGTGGTTGCCTCAGTCGTAGTTGCCTCGGTTGTGGATGCCTCGGTAGTGGTTGCCTCAGTCGTAGTTGCCTCGGTTGTGGATGCCTCGGAAGTGGTTGCCTCAGTTGTAGTTGTCTCGGTCGTGGTTGACTCAGTGCCGGTTGACTCGGTGGCGGTTGCCTCAGTGGTTGTGGCTTCAGTGGTTGTGGCCTCGGTAGTTGTTGCCTTAGTGGTTGATGCCTCGGAGGTGGTTGCCTCGGTAGTGGTTGCCTCGGTAGTGGTTGCCTCGGTAGTGGTTGCCTCGGTGGTGGTTGCCTTTGTGGTTGTTGCCTCGGTGGTGGTTGCCTCAGTGGTTGTGGCCTCGGTAGTTGTTGTCTTAGTGGTTGATGCCTCGTAGGTGGTTGCCTCGGTAGTGGTTGCCTCGGTGGTGGTCGCCTCAGTGGTTGTTGCTTCGGTCGTGGTTGCCTCAGTCGTGGTTGCCTCGGTGGTGGTTTCCTCGGTAGTTGTTGCCTCAGTTGTTGTGGCCTCAGTTGTTGTGGCCTCAGTAGTTGTTGCCTCCGTCGTTGTTGGCTCGGTGGTGGTTGCCTCAGTCGTGGTTGCCTCGGTGGTGGTTGCCTCGGTAGTTGTTGCCTCAGTTGTTGTGGCCTCAGTTGTTGTGGCCTCAGTAGTCGTTGCCTCAGTAGTTGTTGCCTCTGTGGTTGTTGCCTCGGTAGTGGTTGCCTCAGTCGTAGTTGCCTCGGTGGTGGTTGCCTCAGTATTTGTTGCCTCAGTAGTTGTTCCCTTGGTCGTAGTTGCCTGGGTGGGGGTTGCCTCAGAGGTAGTTACGGTAGATGTCGTTGGGCCGGTGGTGGGTACTTCAGAGGTCCTTTCCTCAGTGGTCGTTGCCTCAGTGATCGTTGCATCAGTGCATGGTGGCTCATTTGTTGTTATCTCGGTCGTCGTTGCACTAGTGGTTATTGCTTCAGTAATACATGTGGTAGTTTGTAAGGAATTAGCCGTCGTAGTGGTGGTAATGCAGGACCATTCGTGTTGATTCTTGCGGCAATCCTGTAACTGTTGCTGAATACAATGAATAGCTTCTTTGGCGTCCAGAAATGTTGACAGTGACACAATACATGTGTCAGGCAATACCACAGTGGTTTCAACGGTCAGACTGCACCCATTTAGCTTGGTTTTATTTAAATACATGTCAAATACCGTAAACGGAACTTCCGTGTTTGCATCCAAGATAACGGTAACGTCTTGCAACTGGGAGAGGCTTGCGTTGATTTTTAGGAACGTTTCGACATCAACTGTACATGTCCGGAGGTTTAGCATCACAGTCTTAGGGTCAATCTTCCGTTTACAGTGATTAGTGTAATCAGAATGGATCATGACTTTTTTGTACGCATCAAAGGGTACAAAAAGATTTTCAAAAACTCTCACTACCGTCAAGTTTTTAAGGGGGGCAAGATACTCTTCAAGGACTGAGTAATAAAGTTCAAAAGGCCCGCAAAGGAGGTTGCTCGTAATCAGATGTACATCATTCAAATTACAAAAACTGGCTTGAAGAATCTTCACTTGCTCTGAAGGCAACATTTCCCCGTCTATCATAACTTTGGTTGAGTTTGAAGGAAAACAAGAATATCCAAAAAAATTTATCACGGCATCAAAGACGCAAAATGAAACGTCAAGGTACGGCCCCAAGACAACTGTCAGTTCCTTGACAGGCATGGATGGATACCGACATAGCAGCTCCTTGAATTCGCAGTATGGCATTTTATCACCGCAAGTGAACTTGACGTATGCGCAGGCAATGTTCTCAGCGGACCGAATGATCAGCTTCAATTCTGGCACCGGGATTGGTGTACCTTCTGGTAGCACGATCGTGTTGAGCTGAGATTCTGTGATCTTGTTCGAGACGTCATTTCCTGCGCACTTTGAAATTACCGAGCTTATTTTACAAGGGTATTGTACAGAGCTTTGACAGATGACATTTTTGTGAGGCGTCAAGGATAGCGCTCCGCTTTGGACTTCTTTGGGTCGGAGTGGAAGTTGCTTGCGGTTCGATGACTTGCACTGAGACTGCGTTCCTCCGATATTTGACTCCAGGAACTGAGGACGGAGAACTCGACGGCTGGGACAATACTCGTAATTTGCATTCGAAGACTGAAATAAAGTCAGAGTTTGGTCAATTAGGTGCAAACGTTGATTCTGTTTAGATGTTTTTGCAAATATCTGAATGAGCCAGATTTTTTTTAATTAAAATAAATGTTAAAAATAGTGGAGTGGGGATCACGTTATTGATGGGCATTTGATCATATTGGAAGATCTGAAATCAGTACCCATATTCCAATATATTCTACCTGTGAAAATAATAAGTTACAAGTGCAATACAAGTGCTCATCTTAGTATATTGCCTCCATAGGTAATAATATACTCGGTAAATTATAACAGTTCCTTTATATTTTAGAAAGTATGGAAATAAGGAGAGCAGTTCTCTGTACAAGGAAAGGGCAAAGCATTAAAATACATTTACACTATAAGTATCTGTCCAACCGTGGTAAACTGTTCTGATGTATCGCAATAAATAAATTACCATCATAATGCGCGTGCATCAGTATGTCACCTTAATTTTATTTATTTTGTTTCCCCGTTTTAGTATGAAAAGAGGATCAAAATGCGATCATTTAGTCACGTGCACCGCGCCACAAAACCAGCTGTAAAATGGCCCACACGTCTATCCTTTCGGTCCGAAGTAGGATTTTCTCGTTCAAAACAGGCACACAGAGGCTTAATTGCTTTGGAAATGGCTCAAGTTTTTTCATTGATTTCGTTTCTCTTTTTTCTTTCCTCTTAGTTAAGGTACATTTTTTTGCCGAAAAATGCATGCCCGCTGTTCAAAGAAGATTCCCGTTTCACATAACCTCTAAAATAGTTAATGCAAGAATTCAAAATGCGAATTATGTATCGATGCTTAAATGGATATATTTCTACCAAACGAAACTACGTGCATCAAGACATGAGCCCTGAGACCCATAAGAATATATACTTAACAGGGCTCACGTCATCATGCACATAGTTCCGTTGGGCAGAAATACGTCCAAATTAGGAACGTCTTGATTTCCACTTGCAATTTTTTAAACTTTTCGCAAATGGAGGCGCTTTCAATGAAGAATGGCACCTATTCAATTATTATTTTCAATTTGTAAAGCTTTGTTTACGACTTTTGCGCGTTTCGCAACATATCGACGATTCGACGGTAAAATTCTCAAACCACATATTTCGTTTGCGGTGTACAAAAATCTCCACTCCTATTATATTTTTTTAGAAGAGAACAAATCAACATTATTCCTTGAAGTTTCCTCAGAATTTGCTTTGTACGGAGAAGAAAAAGCAGGGAAGATTTCAAGAAGTGACGTTGAGTAGTGCTCCACGTAGAAAATAAATACTCATGACAGGAAGTCTGTAACGTCGCGGAGACCGAGGTACCTACACAGTTTAGGAGTTTTACCGTTGATACTCTCTATGAGCTAAGCTCTGTATAAGCTGTAAGGTAAATTGCCAGTCCACCCACTTTTCCCAAGCAAAAAACAAGCGAGATAATTTACTGTGAAATATGGCAATCGCAAATAGTAATTATTTAGTATCAGCATCGATGTAGAGGCTTGTGTGGTAAAAAATTATTTACCTAACTCTAATGATCAGGGTGGTGAAATTAGTTCATTACTCTTCATTGATGATGGTAAACATTTTACCATTGCAGTCATTGCACAGTTGCCGATGTGGTTTAATAATAATGAAGCTCTATAAGTTGACTGTCAACTGATGGAAGTATCAGGTTTGGACTGGCCATAAGGCCGACCTGCCATCGGCAGATTTGTCTTATGGCCGTGAGCGCGCTCCTCTTCCAACTTTTGGCAAAAAAAAAAAAGAAAAAGAATTCCATCAAGCAGATTTAGGGGGTGGCCACATGGGCCACGGCCCATGGCGGCAAATCAAGGGGGCGGCAAATTTTGAAATTTTTAAAAAAAATTACAGACGAGAAAAGGCGACAAAATCTCCCATTTCCTGAGAGTATAGTCATTTCTAATTTTGTTGTCTTTTAGTGATAAAAGAGACAGCATTTTTCATCAATCGAGTTAAGAGAGGAACCAAACACGCAATATGGCCTGGAACGGCGCGACTTAGAGAGAAATAATGACGAGGACTTGAGATGAAAAGGAGAAGCCCTCGGCGCGGCGGTCGGCATGTAACAGATATTAGAGCCTACAAGACTACACGAATACTTCACGCCTTGCGTCAAACACAGTGCAGTCACTGCGGTCAGCGTGAAACGAATAGCGCCTACAAGAATGCATGAATACTTCACGCATTGCGCCAAAGACAGTGCGGTCAGCGTGAAACGCTTTGCGCCTACAAGACTGCGTGAATACTTCACGCATTGCGTCAAACACAGTGCAGTCTGCGCAGCGCAGCGCGGCGGCGGAAGTTAAAATCATTAAACTACATCTATGTTTGTTCTTTCATAATTTGTTCGTTCATTTATTATGAATGGAAGGATTTGTCCACACAGAGATAGGTTTACGGAACTTAACTTTCGCGCAAAGTTCCGTGAAATTTTGCTAGTAGTGTTAACAGGGCTTTCCCAAAAAATATGTCCAACACGAGTAAACGATTCTTATGCACCCTTTCCCCGCTGGCACGCTTACTTGATGGTTTTTATTGGTATTTCAAAACGGACGAGGAGGGGGCGGCAAAATACACAATACAGGCGGCCCATGGGCGACAAGTAGGTAAATCCGGCCCTGCCATCAAGTTAAATTTTGCTATATTTACTCTACAAGATTGATCGACTCTGGACCAGGAAATATTGAAAAATTGCGCTTAGGGGGGTCTGATTTTTCAAAGTTTTCCGGACCTCTCTTCTCGCAGGAGTGTAGGGGATGTTCTTCCTGCCAGGTGATATATCATATCGGTGCCCCTTAACCAAAAGTCACCTAACTCACATTTTTGAAAAAAAAAATCGAGATAAAGTCGCTTTGGAAATCTCCAAAAACGGCTCCGTGTGTGTGAAAAACTTGGTAGCCTTATTTTACGCCGGTTATGAGATACAGAATTCAAAAAATTGCGATTTAAATTAAAGTTAATAGGGCCGGCACGAGGTTTTCCTATGATATCTCGGAATGGCTACAGAATGGAGTTAAGCACCTCCTGACTGTCGGATCCTAAAAGAATCTATAACCACAGAAGTGCGAGCTGCTCCAGCCTTGAAAAGTTCCATTAGGCACCGAACAAAAGGTTAGGGGGGAACATTATTTTAAAATGAGGGAGTTTACTTACCAATAGTAGACTAGCAAAAAAAATTCCAACTAGTATGAGACGTTTGAGCACCATTTTTGATCGTATTAAAAAAAGGCCAAGATACTGCAACCTCCGCGGGTTGCTGTATTCTTTATTTTCGAGTGCAAGAACGTGTATTATAAACAAAATCACAGGAATTCGTCCTCACTTCTGTCCATCGTATTCGCCCATTAAAACTGATTGTAAGGGTTTAATGGTTGTATTTATAACCGTTATGCTTCACAAACCCCTAAACTTATCGCGAGGATGACTGCCACCGATTATAAATTCGCTTGCAATGTGTCTTCTAAGAGGCTCCAGAAGTCACTCATCTCGCATAAAAATTAGCAAAAATTAGCTTCATTGTTTCCAAGGGGGACGATCAACATCAAAAAACAGGTTCGCAGAACTAAAGATCGGGTTGTATTAAATCAATTACTCAGTATCTTATCAATTCGCAAAGCGTGGGATCTCGTTGATCAATAAACATTCATGGAAAAAATTATCAAGCCAGCAGGATGGTGATTCTGGACTGAGCGCCCCGCAAATTTTTACCGTCAGATTCTTTTGAACGGCACGAGGAAAGTTGCAGTTTCGAGTGGTAGTGGATATCACATGCAGCTGTAAAGAAAGACTTTTGTATATCTTAGATATATACGCTGGCGTAGAAAAAATATTTATCGTGAACATGAACTTCGTCGATGCAAGTGTTCCGATCTTGCAACAGCGCAGGTGCACCCGAGGAGGGATGCTGTGGGTGACTGACGTCATTATCAACAAATTGACGGACAAGTGTGAGAACTATCCGTAGATAAGTTAAGAAGATCTGAACGCAAATAAACGGGAGATCAAAACTGCTCCTCGTTATACGTTAAGCAATTTGAAGTAATTTTAGGTCAACTTTAAACGTTGTTGTACGTTTTATGTGTATCTTAAATTCTGATTTATTTTTATCTGCATCTTATTGTCCTGGAGATTATTCTTAAGTACTCGCAACAGCTTAGACATGGATGAAAAAAATTGCAGGTGCATTACAAGTCTGGAGAATAAACGATGGCATCTTATTTTGAGAGATAATTCCAAAAAACCCTCCGACGTCCAATTTTCCCAACCAACCAGACTGTCACGTGCTGACCAAGTCTTAGCTCGCGTCTATGTTTTTGCCACAAATGCTACATTTCTCTCGAGCATCAATGTCTCACCCNGGACCCCCCCCCCCCTCTCACTTGCCTACCTTTCCCCCCAAATTTTTCCCACCATTTTCTGACAATTTAAAGTACAAGCAAACTAATTTATTTGAGGTAAAAGCAGAATGACTCGTTTTTTTTTTATTTTAGGCGAAAGAGAAAATAACTTTTAATTGTTACAAAATAATTTTATTTTATACCAAATCTGAAATGGACGTACTTCTATCAAACGGAACTACGTACATTAAGACATGAGCCCTGATACCCATAAGAATACGTGCATAACAGGGCTCACGTCATAAAGCACATAGTTCCGTTTGACAGAAATACGTCCAAATAAAAAATGTATTCATGAATGGATCACTAAAGTTCATGTTCAGCTGTAGGAACTTCTGTGAATTAAAGGACTTGAACCAGTAAATTCTTTATAGAATGACTACTAAATTTTGAAATACCTGATTAAGCTTTTCAATTTCAAATATCCACTTTTTCCCTCAATAAATTAAGCAATGATATGAAGATTGCATTGAAGGAGTTGGCGTAATAGGTTCAGATATTCCCCCACCCTCAATTATTTACGGCAGAATTGCGAATACGTGTGATGAAAGCAGCCTGTCCTGCCGTGCTAAGGAAGAACGTCGTATGAACATTCGAGAATTGCCAAATTTTCTTCAATAAAATGTATATTTTTGAGGAAATTTATGAATATTTTTCCTTGAAATTTTCAGGAACTTCAGGTGAAATTGCGAACAAAATTATCTGAAAAATTGAAGGGAAAATATTTATAAATGTTCCCAAAAATTCGTGATTTACCAAAGGAAATTTGGCATCGCCGAAAGATTCATACGACGTTTTCCCTTAGCACGGTAGTGCTGTAGTCTGATTGTCAAGGTAAGTATGTGGACTTTTCTCAATCTGACATGACACACACCGACGACTCAAAGTCGTGCTAAATCTTCACAGCAAATGAAGTCAAGTTTAAATTAGTCAAATGATCTCCATTTGCAAAATGCCTCCATTTTGCAAAACCACGTGATCCGTGCAAATGAGGTGAAAAAATATTGACGAGATAACGCGCCATCTGCTTGTGAGACTGATTATCTAGACTTTGCATCCAGCATTGCAGTTATGCCGCTTAAATTACATAATAATAAGTGAGCCTACTTACGCGAGGATGAATGATCTACAAATGAGCAGTTTTGTCCTAGAAAACCACTTACAAGATATCTTGAAGGGGAAAAAACTTTCGAGCGCAAAGCACCGGCTCACAGTGAATCGAGTCAATTAGAGAGGTCGGACATGAAATTGTTTACTTAAACTGCAAATTTTGATGTTAATTTCGGCACGCAATTTAAATTTCAAGAGGTGCTTTTGGAAGGAAATTTAACGAGGAAACCAATACAGCCACTTTTAGAACTGTATAGTTTTTATAAACGGAGTTATAAGCGTTTAAAGGTTTCAAATTTTGTCCGACCACTCCTATTGACTCGATCCACTGTGCGGCTGCAGTCGTTTTTCCAAAGTTTTCCTGCCCTCGGATATCACTAAACTTTGAAAGTCTAACAAAAACATACCTGGCTCATCATACATATATATCAAATTTTTTTTTACCATGTTGCCTATTTTTTGACAAAGATCAAATACAAAGATGAGCGGCTAAAATTGAATCGGTCAGTTACAAAAGGGCTCAAACGCCAAAAATGAGAGTTTGAGAAAAATGGTGATGACCGTTTTAATTGGCCCCTTCTAAATCCCATAGCTCTAAAATATTAAAGCGATGGATTACTTAGTCACATTATTAATTAATCAGCGATTTAAAACGAGTTGGTTCATACAGTTTCACCGTTTTTCCGTGTTTTTATATCTGGCGCTTGAGCCCTGTTGTGACTGACCGATTCAATTTCGGGAGCTTCTAAGCTTGCCTGTACCGAACCGTACGCTATGAAAGGACGTCAGTAACCATCTAGATGAACGTTTATCTATACTTAAAGCTGGGATCTTCCAAAAACTGGAAAATCTAAAACCAAGGTAATTAAAACTTCTTTGAACTAACTATCAACTTTTTCAACAGATGGGCTGCCTTCGACGGAGACAAACTCGTTCCACATATCTTCATACTGGAGTACACAGATGCTCCCCTTGGAAGAAATCCTGCTTCAAACCTATTGATGAATCGATGTTTCTTAACTTTAACTACATGCCTCTGATGCCACATGCGTTTTTCTCGCTTTTGAGATGACCTACTTTAAGAAGCCAACTGCCGCATGCCCAAATTTACCTTTACCGCTGAGATATCCTCCCTCCTCAAAAACATGGTCTGTTAGGCGCAATCTTGCCGCACCAGTGGCGAGGCGTGAACGATCGATTATCGATATTCCCCCATTTAAGTTATGGTAAAAAATCGATTATTTAGGTGTTCGTTGCAAACACCCTGTTTATCGATCATTTTCCATAGGTTTAAATGACAGATTAATCGATGTATCGCAAAGCACTCGACGCTACTGCTTGCCGCTAGTCAAGAACACGGGGAAGGAGAGTGGCTCCTTTTCGTAACGGTCAGTATGCACCCCTCTATCCCGTATTAACTTCTTTTAAGCATGATGTAGTGGTCCGAGATTAAACGTGATAATATGAGTGATTGGCTACAAGTAACATTTTATATTTTACCCATATTTTTTTAATTTTTCCAGTCACCCATTTCACGATGTTTTGATAAAGGGCTGACTTTATGGCTTACTTCCGAAAATCTTGGTTGAGGAGAGTATGACATAAGTGAAGATTATAATTTATAAGTTGAATTAAAGGTCCAACGTCGAAATGAGGGGCTTGGAGGGTCAGGCGCACAAGTGCAGTTTTTCCAATTTCGAGAAATACGTGTTTGAAGTTCCGAAATTACACAGAGCCTTTGACGGAAAGAAAGTTCAAACTGGCTTTTTGATGCTTAAAAATTGGAATTTGGGTGCGAATTTGTTACAGAATATGCATTAAGGACTAGTATTACTTGAAATCTTTTATATCTCAATTATTTCAAGAACTGCACTTATAAGCGCCTTATCCTGCAAGCCTCTCAAATACAGTTTGCTAGATCAAACGTGTTTGCACTCAGATACTTACAGGATTTTTATTTTTGTTAACTGCGAAAGGTTCAACAAGAATTACTTTGGGTAAATCCCCTGTTGAAGTTTATTTGCATAATACTTATTTTTTCATTCCCGTTATGTTTATGCAAGGAGACGATATTTGCCACATTGGAGGTATTTATATTTATTAATTTCAGTTAGTTTTGGGAATAAAAAAAATAGGTAACTTTTTCTCTTTAAAATACTATGTTTATAGATGTAAATTAAACGTTTTTTCTCCAACAGTTTCTCGGTCTTGGGGGATTATCCCGTCCTTATTCTCGCCATACCAATCGTTTTTTAAATTGAAGTAAAATTTCGTTTGCTGGAAGAAATTCAAGTTTAATGTCGTTTATCATAAAATAATGTATTATCCGCATCAGCAGTTTTCACCGCATATTTTAACGTTCATCATGATCTTCATCATCGTCACCATTATACTTTTGGCGTCGAGCACGATAAGGGACCTTTACGCAAAACCTCAAATTCAGATATCCACAGTTATTCTAATGATACCCGCCTACCTTTCAATTGCCTTCATAAAGGAAATTGTCAACGTCATTAATTGGAGTGGCGCCCTCTTGTCGTAATTGGCCGTCGAAAAATGTATTGATTTTAAAAATACATCAAATCTTAACTATACACGTTTAGAATTTTAATTGTTTTTAGACAGCCCCGCTTGGCAAAACTGGAGTGAGTGAGTCTTTGACATGGGTGGCCGGAATCTCAATTTTGATGTAAGATCAGAGCCAGAGGTCAAAGAATCCAAAGGTTAAAGATAAGCGAGAGGTGATCAACAAGAGTCCATCCTACTTTCATTAACTCGATCATTCAGTCAAAACCCAACGACGCAGCTACCAACTCTGAGTGATCAGTTTTTTTTTAAATTGTTTAAGTTTCTCATTTTTGTTTATAAATATTAAACTATAAACATGAGTTTCAGCCGGAAACACGTCTCCCTCTTGGTGCTCGCCGCCACCGTTGCTGTTCTTGCCTTGGTAAGTAATCGCTTCTTGTGAAGTACTGTTCTTGAACAAGATGAAGCAAAAAAGAAAGTATTAGTGTCATTGTGGAGAGTGTCATTCACAGTGATTCTATCTCACAGTTTTCTCAAAATTATAAAATAGTAGGGCGAAACATTTGCCCTCAGAATTAGCAGGATACCTACCTGTTATTCCATAAATTGCAGGAGTTGAGGAGTTCACATTTACCAGTCGATGACAATTAATACAATAGGTCAGTTTCGCTGGTCACAAAATCGTGTTTTGATGCTTGATTCTTGCAGATTACCTAGAAATAATACGATCCGTCCAAATCGATATTTTCAGATATCGCGCTTTGAAAAGTAGGGTTTTTGACGTCTTCCACCGCGGTAGTGACACCCTTGGTTTCGTCCATCAAAAGAAACCGTCATCCACCGCGGTTGAGTACCGCGGTGGATGACGTTATAAACCGAATTTTTCAAAGCGTGATATCTCGGTTAATATTGAACGTAGAAAGTTACGGTTTGGACGAATATTTTTGGCTAATCTACGAGAATCAAGAATCAAAATACGATTTTGTGATCAGCGCAACTGACCCATTTACGATGTATATCACATTTTCCTTGATGAAACTTGCTGTTTAATTTGATTAGTATACAATTAGTAATCAAATTAAGCAGCAAGTTTTATCAAGGAAAATGTGATGCATATCGTAAATGGGTCAGTTGCGCTTGCCCTTGACACTTCAAGTTCTGATCATTAACATGAGGCTGGAGTGAATGGACCACATTTTGCAACAAAGAAACACTATTTCTGGCTCATTTTAGAACAACATATATGCCATTGGTTTCCCTACGTAGAAAAGTGATTTTATGGAAGAGTTGGATATAGTGGTTCCGTATATTGCAAAATGTAATCCAAATAATACATACTTTGATACTAAAGACTTCTTTTTGATACCGCTCGGGTCTAAAAATCAATGTGAAATTCAATTATTCCTTCAGAATGGGGGGGGGGCTATTGAAGTTATGGCTTTTGAGGAAACTTGATTATTAACTAGGTATAAGTGGACTTTATTTTGCAACTATAGGAACCACAAATTCTGGCTCAGCCGTAAAAAATTTGATGTACTTATCAGGAAACTTATGGCACATACCTGCGTCGTTTCTAGATTGAGTCAGCGACTGTTCTTCCGAATTGCAAAATGTAGGCCAATTGTCCTCGTGTAACATGAAAAATTAATTGTTGGTTAAAAGAAAATTGAAAGTTCAGTAACAATTCAGTAGAGTAAGACTATCAGTGTAGCTATTTATTAACGGTTATCTCACTGGACCGTTTGGTTAATGAACATTGATTGGCATTGAATCATTAAGGAACGGCGAGTTGACAGTTCGTTAATTTTCGGTCACGCCTACTGCCGAAAAATATACCATGGTTCTTTACCTTTTAAATAGTTCTTATTCATGGCTGAAGTAAAAACATAGAGTACATAGAGTCGTAATGCAAGCGAGAGAGCTGGCGCCATGCTCTAGTCGACGAGTTCCGAGCACGGTGTGCGCAGAGCTTCGGTCACTTTTTCGATACATGCTCAATCCAAAATGGCGGTGTAGAATACGTAGGAATTCCTATCTTCTATGATTACATCGGATGGCCAGGTCCCCGTGCATCGAAAATAATCGATTATGTGTCGAAAAAGTTACCCGGCGTGACACGGGAGTATCTGAATTCTGGACCTGGAATATGCTCAAAAGTGACGCCAGCTCTCCCACTTACATTACGACTCTGTGTACTCTATGAGTAAAAGCAAAAATGCGTGATTTTGATTGCGTATTCACCTATCTCCGTGCATGTTTCATCTTTTGAAAGGAAAACTGTATTACCAGCAGTCTATTTTGTAAACTGCTGTCTACCTTGCAGATTTTCGATTTAGTTTTTATCTCCTTTCCTTCAAAAATATTTGCCGAAAAAATACGAGGGTTCTATAAGAGGTATGTTCATGTGATCCATATCTGATACACTGAACCTACTTAGATACATCAAATCTATATAAAAATCTCAGGCCGTGGTAGCTTGCATCGGGACATGAATGTTTTTTTTTTTATGAAGAGGCAAAAGTACTGGTGCAACCTGCCACGCAAAATTGAGCTTTAAGTTTACCATGGACTGATTTTCAAGTTCCGTAAACAATTATCCTCCTCAAATGTTTTAAAAAACGACTTTTCGAAAAGTACCAGACTAGGTCAAAGGTTAAAACATAAAATTTAAGAAACTCACTAGTCGGAGAATTTTAACAATCCGACGCGTTTCGACCATGAGGGTCGATTAATTATCCTAGCCTTGAGAAAACTGAAAGTAAACATATCAAAGAGAGCAATGCGTTCCATTGCACGATTGCCTATCGCCTGGCTTGTAGGCGCCTCACGCGATTGGCTTCAACTCGTGCCGACCTGGACATGACCTAATTTGACCGTATCTAAGCAAACAGTCCTGAGCATTGCTGGTTATTTTAGATTAATTTAGGTTAGTTTTTTTCATGAGCACTAACGATCAACAATGAACTGTATGGCTGTTTTGTTTAATCATTGATTTGTGATGCCAGGAAGCACAAGCAAATTAAATGCATTTCAGCAGGTAAAACTACCCAAAAATAACGATGAGCTCGTCGAAAATGTCTGAATTCAGTGGATTCCACCCCTGAACCCAAAATTTTGGTTTTCTTTACGTAATTCAAAATTTCCTAAGCTTGAGGACACTGTTTTCTACGTCGTTTGCAACAAGATTTGCAAATGTATTGGTGTTCACGTGTAATTCCTGCAGTCTTAGTTTGTTTCCTCCTCAACTACAAAATGAGGCAAAATTTTGCGTTAAGGAGTAGATTTTAGAATTTTTGACGTGTTTACTCATATTACATTTTGGACGGTATTACCTCCTGAAAATTAATTCATTTATGTGTGTGCAACTATACTCGTAGACGAAATGATCAATTCCCTTGGCTCAATTGTGGGCAGGACAGCCATAGTTTGAAGTCGTCTTTGCGGTTTACTTAAATATATAATTCAAAAATTTCCCAGTCTTTTACTGTAATGGTTGGGCCCTTCAAAACCATGAATTTACAAAAATATTTACTTTGACTTTTCTTTAATTTTTTTTCATTTGGGTTCTCAGGTCATGCCTCAAGCAGCCGGTGAAGATCAAGTTCATCAAGGCCTGGATAAGCTTGGTGAGGACACGAAGAACTTTGTGGAAGGTGTTCGGAAGCAACTTAAAGACGCTTATGATGGACTGAGTCCAGAGACAAAGTCAAATATCGCTAGTGTCCAGAAGACCCTCGAGGATACAGCTAAGTCAATCAAGGAGAAGACTACATCTGCCCTTGAGAGCGCTAAGGTCGACGAAAATGTTAAGGCTTTCCAGGCCAAAATAGGCGAACTCTATGAAAATGCCAAGAAAGGTTTGGAGACACCCAAGAGCAAATAAATTAATCTCCTTAAATAAAAAAATAATATAAATAAGAATACAATTTTTAAGAAAACCACTGTAATCCCTAGTAGCATAACGTCGCAGTTAAAAAGAAAAAAGGAGAGGATGAGAACTTAAAAAACTCGTCAATTTTAAAAACTGAACCTATAAAAAACCGGTCAAGTTTATATTTTAGGAAACCATCTTGTGGAATTTCTTAAAGTAAACCTTGAGTAATCAAGTGTTGAAAAACAGTTTGAAGATCCTATGTGGCTATTTGCCGCTTAAAATATTTTGAAACATGTTAAAAGAAGAAAACGCACAGAGTAGGTAAATGGTGGTATTTTTTTCAGATGTGTCTACGCAAATGTTGCCGAGAGGTGAATTTCACTTTGAAAAAATAACCAAAAAGAGTTTCCCGAGAAAAAATTTAGAGCAAATATTTTAAGAGTTTTTGAAAATTGTTTTCTCAATATCATTGCTACTGATGAATTTTCTCTATACATTATCGATCAGCTAAAAAAATAATGATGCTAGTATTAAAATTGTGATAAAGTGAAACAATTTATGCTCATAATTTCTAGACCTCATATTTATTGTACCTTGAACATGTAATAAAAAATGAGTCACTGTCATCATCCGTCGCCTTCTTTTCTACGAATACACTTAAAAGAAACACATAATAATTTGGCCCGAATACTGTGAGTAATGGGCTGGTAGAATTAGTGTCGGGCAAATGAAACGTTATTTCAGCGGAAGACAAAGTTAAAAATTCTTAGATCTCAGTTCGAGACTTAGACGCAGGCCCGAAGGCCAAAATTCACAAAAATTGGCGTTTTCTAGTGTCTCATACATCAGATTTCATGCTGAGTCCCAAGGTGATGCTTGACCATCTGCACATATTTTATCTCTGATGATCTTAAATAACAGATTCAAAGCTTATGATCCGTCACACTGAAGCCCAGCATGATGATTTCTGATTAGGGACACTGGAATAAACTAATTTTTGTGAAAATTGGCCTTTATGTTGCGTGAACTTCTATCAGTTTGCCGGCTTCCAGGACTTTATGTCCACCTACCTTTCGTCCATTAAATAAATGTCCATCGCTATGTATGTCCACTAAGCGTTAAGTCCAGTCTTTATTAAGTCCACATGATTTAATGTCAACAATGAATATGTCCAAAATTGTCCAAATTGTGGACATGTTATGTCCACATTTTTTTCTTCTCATTTAAATGACAGGAACCACCTCAAAAATAAATGCATACTACTACTACTACCTTCATTCTTAAAAACATTTCATTCATGAATCAAGTCATGAAAGAGAATAGACTCTAAGAGCAGATTAAAACATATGTTCATATGTACACAGTACCGATATGATAAGATGAAAACCAAAGCGGGAGCTTAGGAAACGCTCCAATGCCAAATTAAACATTTTTCAGTAACAGATGCAGTCAAAATTGAAAGTACTCTTTAACTAGTTATTTCGTGCGCCTTTGATCTTGTAGGATACTGTGCAACGCCTCTGACGCGAAATAGTTGCTTAAAGCGTTGCGGCGCGGCAGGCAACCAGCGTGACACGCGCATAGGCGCCTACAAACCTAACGGGATACTTCACGCGTTGCGCAATGCGTGAAGTATCCCGTTAGGTTTGTAGGCGCCAGTGCGCGTTCTGCGCTGCTAACACGCCGCTCCGCTCTGTGTTAGGCTCTAGTATTTAAACTCGCTGAGTCAGCGTTTTTCAACTCATGATTTTGAAATGTTTGCACTCTCTGCATTGATTATTCCCTTTTAAACTGATGAAAAAGAAATATGTACTACTGGAAAATATAATGTGTTTTTTTGTAAACGTAATAGTGGTTCCGTGTCAAATTTAATGATTTCCAAAGCATTCAAATTTATTCTTTTATGTTTTGGGCTTTCACTGTGCTGCAGCGTAGTGTAAGCGCAACCAAACGCTCAAAATTGGACGTATTTGACTCAAAAGGGTCGATGTACAAATAAGTTAAAAACAAAAAATTGCGCGCTTCTTAGTTTTTTTCCTCTTTTATTAATTTTTGTATAGTTTCTTTCATCACAACTACGGCTCATTGAGATTCATATCGACGCCATTGCTTGGAAAAGGTTTTACAAATATTTACTACGTTTTAAAAATGTAAATGTTTTCAAAATGAAGTAATCAATTTCATTAAAAAAAAGAATGTGCATTTAAGGCATATTTTATATCGGAAATTTCAAGGATAGAAATGAAACCAAGTATTTACCAAAGACAATTTGAAAAGATGAATCAAAAGAAGAAATTAACATTTCATTTAAAATATGAGTTACGATAACAACACCTCATTCTCTCTTAATTTTCTCATTTCGTAGTGTCAGTATGATTTTACACGCGGACTATAAAATATGACGCTTGAATTTGATTTTAGTGGACTTTACATTTGTGGACTTAACTTAGTGGACGTTTAAGTAATGGCCTTAACAATAGTGTGGGTTTTAGAACTGTGGGCGTAAAAATTGCGGACGAAAAGTCTGTGGACGTGAAAAAGTGGACATAAAGTCCGTGTCCCGTTTGCCGTTCAGGTGAATGATTTAAGAACGTTTATATTAGTTAGCATTTCCATCCTCCAGCAGGAAGATCTGCTGGAGAAGTTCTGGCAGGATCTCTATCAGTGGCGGTTGGGTGTCGTAGAGCGCACAGAAGCTCAATGTGAGTGACTTGTCAGTAGCAGTAGCATTTCGATAAACTATGGACATTTTTTCAACATCACAGATGTTTCTCTTTTGACTCAACGAGCTCTTTTGAGACAACGCTCTTTTGACTCAAAACAACGAGACCAACGATGGAAGAATGTACGAAGTTGAGTTCGAACCCAACAGGCAACTATTTTAACTCTACGGAGGGCCGGGTTGCATACGCTAGATTTTTCGGGCTAAATCTGAGATCTGGCCACGGCCTATGCAGTGGAGTACAGGTGCGAGCAGTGTTCTCATCGAACATATGCAATTACTCTATCCACCGCGGAGTTAAAAAAGCTGCAAGTTGTGTCCGAACCAAACCTTGTATATTATCCCATCGTTTTACGCTCAGTGCATTATTCAAATGCCGCGGTCGTTTTGCGGAAAGCATTCCAGTTGGTTAGAATCTCTTTGCCAATCTGTACTACAGCCTACAGGAGCGTCCAGAATGGATGACCGCAATAGACGCCTCGCTCGAAGAAAACGCTACAACTGCACCTGTTACCCCAATGGCGTGACGTGAACAATCGATTATCGATATTTCCCCATTTGAAGCTATAGCAAAGGATCGACTATTAAGGGTTTGTCACGAAAACCCTGTTTATCGATTCTTTTCCATAGGTTTAAATGGCAGATCAATCGATGTATCGCAAAGCACGCCACGCCTCTGCTGTACCCTATCGCGCGAGCCGTGGGCACTTGGGCAGATCTCAGATTGCGCCCAAAAAATCGAGCATATGCAACCCGACCCATCGTGGGGTTAAAATAGTTGCATGGTGGGTTCGAACCCAACTTCGAAAATTCCTCCATTGTTTCCCACTCCGCAGAGTTTATGTTTTGAAAAGGCATTCCAGTCGGTTTATTTTGGTTTACTTTGTTTATAGTGTTTTTATCTACTAATTAAGGAAAGTTATACGACATATTCCAAGATAATTCCAATATCAAAGGGGGTAATGGAAAATGACAAAATTAATTTTGAACTGAAAATTGTATTTTTTAAATTAATTTTTTAATAGGTGGAAAGACTGGGATAATACTTTCCTCGCTTCATTCGAAAATGACCAGAGCCTAAAATATTAGTACCTTATAGGAAAATGTAGTCAAATTATTCAATCTTCTCCTTGTAATCATTCCATTATGCTTTCAATGTTTTGCTGAATTGCATACTTTCAAGCTCTCTTGATAATTCTTATCAGAATGGCAGTGACACAAATCGCCAGGGGATGGTCCGTGGAGCTGCCAGGGAGGGAGACCCCTTAAGTATCTGTTGAAAGTCTGAAAGCAATGACCTTTCAATCGCTCATTAAGAAATATTTTACCTTAAATACGAAGCTTTTAAATTTAGGAGGGGGGGGGCAAAGAAACAAATAAATGATATTCGAGATAAACATTTGTTTGTTAATGATATTCGAGAAAGTAGGCGTGAAAAAATTACCAACAATAGCAGTTTTACACATGTATTCTCCTTTTAATTACAAATATTGATGAAGAGGACAAGCGAGAAAAAGGTATACAGTAATGTTTTTGACCGTCCGTAAGATCGAGATGTCTCACTACCGAAAACTTAAATCAAATCGAAACCGTGCAGGTTTAAATGACGAGTCATGAGAACACGTTTTTGAGAAGAATCATTTTTACTTTCTCGCTACCCTAGAGTAGAGGAAGTATTGTCATCCTGCAAGGGGGGGGGGCGTTAAAATTTCACTGGGAAAAAATAAAATCATGAAGTTGGCTTGTTTTTCCTTGAAAAGATAAAATAGGGGTGGAAATTTTGAAACACCGCAATGGAAATACATGGTTTCGCACTTTGGCCATCGATATGTAGGAGCTCGGAGTGGTAATGGAATGAACTCTCAGCAGCCTGATTATTGAAATTTATGTCGGCACGACAAGAATCGGACATCGATATATTACACGGCGCAGATAGGACTATGTCTTGTCTATCTTGCCGACAACTGGTTAAAGTTTCAACAATCCGGCTGCTGATTTTGAACAGTGTTCGTCTCTTTTGTCTAATTTTTTCATCTTTCTTCTTACAAAATGTTCACTCAGAGCGCATTCGGTTCATGGATTCCCATCACATCTCGTCTCATGGAGCGGGTGATTGACGACACTACTTGGTTGACGGTCTCAGTAACTCGGTTCACCACACTCCTCACTGTTTCCATAACGTTCGCAAAAGGTCCATTCGGGTTGTTTGGATCCGGGCTTACCACGTAGGGCACGACCTGAAACAAGACCTTCTTTCGTTGGCAGTATTGCAGAGCCTCAATTGTCTTCTGGTTTTTTAGCCCGAGGTAGTGTCGAAAAGTGCTGATAATAATTTAACAAAATGGATTAAAATATGTAAAGATAGGCAATCGAAAAAGTTTATTCACAGCAAAAAAAGGCTGACGTCGTTGCACGAGACGAGAAGGTCAATTAAGGGGCTTGGAGGACAAGGTGCATAAGTGCAGTTTTTGCTGTTTCGAGAAATACGTGTTTGAAGTTTCCAAATTACATGGATCCTCGTGGTGAAAAGAAAGTTAAAAATGTCTTTCGACGCTTAATAGTTGGAATTTGGGGCGAATTTTTCACAGCATATGCATTAAGACAATAAGTTGTGCTTAAAATCATTAATATCTCAACTTTTTCGAAAACTGAAATTATGCGCCTTGTCCCCCAAGCCCCTCAATTACTGTTACCAAAATTTTTTGCGTCCCGCACCTGTTGTTTTAGGGCCGCATCGTACCCTGTTTGGGTCTCCGCCCTCAACCGTCAGGTGTGGGACGCAAAAAAGTTTAGCACCGCGCCGATTGATCTGCATTTTGGAATCAGGAACTACATACGTTGTTTGTAAACTGATTCAGAATTTATAGTTCCTAACTGCAAAATGTAGTCCAATGGATCTACAGCTGT